TTGCGAAGAGCTCGTCGATGTAATTAACAACTCAGCCCAGCCAACGGCAGCAGCCATGTGGCATAATAGCTATTTAATACAAAAAAAACTGGACAAAGCAAACAATTGTTAATTTATTGGATTGTGCACGATTAATGATGCTTCAATGCGAGCCGGCTCGTGCCTCTTGGAATGGGCAGACCTGCGTGCGATGAGTAATAAAAGTGCGGGCTAAAAATCTTAATCACAGCCTGCTATTTTGGTAGCACCACCGGGGCAAGATCAATGCCTGCTGCTCCACCGACTCAAGGCAGTGATGACCACCAACCATGGCAAATGGGAAACCCACAAACCATGGCAACCCAAGTTAAGCCTTCAATCTAATGAACGTTTTCCTACAATGAGAACAGAACTTGGACCACATAAGAGTGGAAGATGCAATTACTGCGGTTGCTAAGACTAAGTATTCAAGGCTAATAAAAAATCAATTGGCCGTGAAGAAAAATATGTAGTAAAAATGCTCTAATATAAATTTATTCTAATTTTTTGTAGACCATTAAGTTTTTAGTTAACTATTATTAAACTTCCTAAAAGCTTAAAAGGTCCGTCCACTCTTTTGACTTAAACTTTTTAAACTTAAATATCTAGCAGATTCGTTGCATGATTGTCTCAATCTTTTAGCCAGACTCTTGGCTCCTACCAAACCAACTTTGGCTGTATCTTTTGTTGCATCTTGGCAATCTGCAATTTTTGGCAACTGCATCTCCCCCCTGCTCATTAAATTTCGGCTGTCGTCAAGTTGCCGCAATTTATTTTGCGGCTCTTTTGCCTGTTATTTAATTAACACGCAAATTATTTGCCGTTATTTTATTGAAGTGAACTCCTCGCTGATTTTTTTTATTGTTACTGGGCCGGCAACAGATAATTACATTTGTTTTACATGCAAAATTACCGTTGACATGCTTATTGGCCAGGTTTTTGTGTCTGTTGCCGTTTCGCGTTTTGTACTTGAAGAACCCGAAGGTTAGGACCACCCAACGCGGTAATTGCGGAAACTTTAGTGGAGTTAATTAATTTAAATTCACTTGATGGGCGAGCAAAGTGTATAATAATACGTTGCAGTACTTAAATCTTAGGAAGGTAATGGAATAAAATTAATAGCTAGGAATACTTTTAAATTTAACTACTACTAAAAAGGTAGTAAATGGATAATTAATAGCGCGTAATATAATCTATTAAAATAACATGTGCAGGGATAATTAAACGAATACCTGGGAAGGCAAACTGCAAATTAAATTATTTAAATAAGCCATGTGTGGGTAACTCCATACAAATTTATATTGATTTATTTATGCTTTCGCGAAAATAGATTCGCCATCGCGATAATAGATTCAAGTGAGTTTATCCATGAGAAAGCCTCGTGCGAAGCGGAATCCCGCTTTCCTTGACCAAACAGATTCCCATGTGGCTGAAGTTACACGTTCGGCCAACACGTCGTATGCGCAATTAAGCAATATGCACACACAACTAATCAGCAAACAATGTAAAGCAGTTCCCACCTGGGATGCTAACGATAATAATGATCAATGCCCCAGCATAACCGCATAGAATATATACACTCGTATTCCCGGGCTCTGAGTAATTTAGTGGCGGTGCAACGTTTCCGCAATCCGTTGCAGAATGTAAATTGAAAAGTTGACAGAAACACAAAAACAAACAAAACACAAAAAAAAAAAAAAAAAGCAGAAGTGCAGGCATTAGATGACACGCAGAAGGCCCGCGGCTTGGCCAAGTGGTTATGGCAACTGGTTGACCGGCGGCTGTCAGCCAGCTGATGGATGGCTGCAATCTGCTGTGTGGCCGCGTTGACGAGCTGCCGTCAGCAGCATGTGCATGTGTCAATTAGCCATGTTTAAAGAGCGGAATCGGCGGCAGATCGCCACTAACCTCCGCCATTTGTTGCCCTTTTGCGGGCGATGAGCAAACGCCTTTCGGGCACGTTCTAAATAAATTGCCGCCTCTTTGGCTCCGAGTTCGCCTCTTCTGGCTTCGGATGCACCTGCTCTCTGGCTCTGAATGTCAGCCGCGATCTTATCGCGGCTTCTACATCCATTTGCAACCGTTCACTTTTCAATTCGCCCTCTTAATTTAACCTTTAAGACACTGATATAATGTCGCACCAAATGCCCACCTTCTTACACTGGGAAAACAGTAGCAGAAAAATAAATATGTAATCGAAAAAAATAAAATCTTATATTTATAAATCTTGGATATATTTATTGAGGACAAAGGGTAGATCATATTTAATTTTCCAATTTATAATCTTTCAATAAAAAGGGGAGTTTATTAATCGAAATAGTTTGTACATTATTGAATGTACAAATTTAAACAAATTGGCAATTTCCGTATTTCTAATAAAAAGAACTTGTAAATGGTATAATCCAGGGTAGACAAATGCATCTTAATTTTTTCTAATTTTTTTCAAAGTACATTGACACTTACCACGCTTTATTTGCTTCTGTTTTTCAGAGCTTATCCCTCGCTGCCATCAGTGCCTTTGCCTACGCCCAGATCGCTCCTGGATCCAACGCATACCTCCCGCCAACCAAGAACGGCTACGACTACTCGGAACCCAAGACCCCCTTCGTGAGTATGGCTCCCATCGGAGTTATCTGGCTGTGCAGAGCTATGTGGCCAACCGCCTCAAATTGAATCCCAGTCAACGGACTAATTACGGCCATCATTCTGGGAGCATTTGCAGGCCGGGTCAGCCAACTCCAGGCGGCAGTCGAGATTTGTCGCCGCATTTATCACCCCGACGAATGCTGTGGCTCAACTCAATAAATGCTGCCCGTCATGCTGCTGAATGTCGGCCCAAAATGATGGCCCAACATTTCGAATCGGTGAAGGGCTTTGGCTTTGGCAGTTGAAAATGACTGGAAGTTAACCTTTCGAGATCTCCCAGCCGAGCGGTAGATCGTTGCGAAAATAACACAATGCAGGTGAACTTCCATATCGCGAAGTTCAACAAATCAAGTTTTCCTCGGCTAACAAATAAATAAAACCTCCTCTAGAGTTATAATTCAGGCTGACAGCTATATTAACCGAACATTAATGGTGACCTGCACATCATTTCTTCAAGTCATGAGTTTTACTTTGAACTGCCGAAGTTTGGCCCCCGTTTGTTATATTTTATTGCACCACATTTATAGTTTGCCAGTTGCTAAACTTTCTGTTAATCCACAGAAGCCTGGCCCACCTGGCAGACCATCGGCACCCGGACCTCGGCCTCCAGCTCCCCCCGGTCCTCCCCGCAACATTCCCGGGCAGCCAGCCGATGTGAGTATGCCTTCATAATCCATAATCGCCAGCCATCAAAAAAAGATCAAAGATCACTTGGTAATGTAGCATTGTAATGGATTTTCGAAAGATCTTTGTTTATATTTATTTGATGATCGCCAAACTATAAACTGGTAATTATTTATGCACAAGTGTGAGATCAGAGATCAGTTTGTTTGGGCAGAAATACTAATAATGCTATTATGGTCGTAAAAATTATTATTTCGATAGATTCAAAAATTAATCTGTTAGATGGAACTGCGGTACACAATCTGTATAACTTTAAATAAAGATATATAAAAAATGCAGGTGTGAGATGTTGTAAAATTCTGTAATAAAAATTTAACGTTTTTATTGTTTTTAATAAAAATCTGCATATTATTAATAATAATCCGGTTTTTACCAAACTTAGGACCATGTCCACGTGCCTGGAATGCCTTACGACTTCGAGTACGCCGTCCAGGATCCGGAGACCGCCAACGACTATGCGCACAAGGCGTCCAGCGACGGCGACGTGGTGACCGGCGAGTACCGCGTCCAGATGCCCGACGGACGGACCCAGATCGTCCGCTACACCGCCGACTGGAAGACGGGCTACCATGCGGACGTGACCTACGAGGGCGAGGCCACATTCCCACAGGGTCCCCAGCCGGGAGCACGTGGCGGCAGTGGTGGCGGCGGTGCCGGCGGGTACAAGTACTAGGCGTGGGTGGTGCTTCGACTGGGTCAGCTGGGGTCACATATCTTGCGAAACGTGTAAGCCTTACGATATACCAATAAAAAGTATTGATAAACTAAAGCGCCCGCTGGTGTTTGATTTTGAGCACTACGACCAAGTCCTGAGCTTTACGATATTCAACTGGAACCACTAAAAGTTAGGTCCTGCTAAAGCTCACATTTTTTAAGGTTCTAGTTCTAGTTTAATACAAGACATAAGACATTCTATCTTAAAACAACAACATAAAAATTTAAAAAAATCGGAAAAAAAATAACTTATGATACAATTGGCTAGAGAATTAAAATACAGGCTTTTAGCGGTATGCCGCATCAAAGTCTGATTCAAATTTGAAATGTAATGGACTTAGAATTAGTGAATTTTGGAAATTTGGAAAGGGGTTCTTGTATCATAAAAATTGAAAAAAATAAGTATACAAAAATGGCCAACTTAATTTAGATGCTTTAAATTTCGAATATAAACTTTTTGTAAAGCATGTGGCTTAAAATTATTATTCCTAACCATCCTCGAATATCGCCCTCTGTTGACCATTAAAGAACCTTATTTTGAATATGAGATTTTTTCAACGACATCTGTTCTCCGCCCGCGCAAAGTTTTCCGGAAGAAAAGCTCATTGGCCAGCCAACTGTCACCCTTCGACAGCTGAAGCAACAGATGTTTGACCAGCTGTCAGGACTCCCATGTCAACATGGGCCAAACGCATGCGCGTTGGCAGGTAAACAAACACCTGTGGGACTTGAATTGAGGTAAACAAGTCCAAGGCGCAGAAGCGCCAAATGTCAGAGCAGGCGCACTTGGCCAAAAGAAGAGTTCAGCGAATGGCTAGTGGGAAAACTTAGTGGTTATCCCTTTTCGGCCAAGGGAAAACCAGTTAGCGAGCTTTAAGCTGGCCCAGAAACGTCAAATAAACGTCAAAACGGGCCACGACAGTGTAGAGAGAAAAGTTTTCGCTGGCCAACAACACGCACACACCAAAAAGTGCTGGGTCGCGCGAGAAAATTGTTGAAAATTCATGAAAATTCGGTGAAAATCACAAGGGATAAAATGTTCTGTGCTTGAGGGATATAGAAGGATATAGAAAGTGAGATCTAGTGAAGCCGCGGGTGGTATGTTACCGGATGGCCAGGGCAGGTGGCCGAAACCGAGCTAACGGGATATGTGGTGCAAACGAGTGCGTGTGTGCCTGTGAGTGTGTGTGTGCAGCAGCAAAGTAGGCTAAGAAAAAGTCGCATCGCCTGGTATTTATGTCGCGCTCCCGCTGGATCGACCTCCATCATCAGCAGTTAGTGAATCATTGGAATCGGAGGATCCTGGGCAACCATGTCCTGGTGGCGCCTCTATTTGGGCCAGCTCGCCATCCTGGTCTGTTTGGCACCGTACGTCAATCTGCAGCCAGCCGAGAACATCAACTACAATCTGTAAGTGCGGCGTTTTTTTTTTTCCGGGCTAGCCCATCATCTTTAGAGTACCGCTTTTCCACATCCAGCGTTCATTCCTGGGCCGACAAATTGGGCATGGAGCTGTTTCATCTGGGCGATTTCATCACCAGGCGCAAGGAGGTGCAAGAGGTGAGCTGCCGAGAGCATTTTATTGATTTTTCCGCCGCTCCGTTTTCCCCATTTTCCGTTTCCCACTCCCCGAGTCCCCCCCTGCCGTGTGTGTTTTTGGTTCTGTTTTTGTGCGCTCCTTGTTGACGTCTCTCTGAGGCTGAGACTTCGGCTCCGAATTTGGGTTAAAGCCTGCCCGAGCGGCAATTACAAAAAATGTAAAGCAGTTGTCAGATCGGAGACTGTGAGGCAGTAGGTCGAAGGCTCAATGCTCTTGAAAAGGTTTTTTAATTGGCCCTTAAATATTTAAGAATAATTTTAATATGTAGGAAAATATTTTAGGCATAACATAAATCAAGTTATAGAAAAATTATAGTCATTAGATATAAGGTTCATATAAAATTGCGAACTTAGGTATATACATATAATCTTTAAAGGGTATTCGTAATTTGATTTAAAAGCTAGAAGTATATTGTACTCGTTGTAGCATACTTTTAGGAACCAGTTCAAGGGATTTCAAATCTCTAGAGTTTTGTTGCCCTAAGATAATCTATTTTCAGGTAATAATAGCAAGTGGTATTATTTGTTTGAGGATAAGTTATAAATAAAAGTCTAGAAATTTTGATAATTGGCTTTCTCGTCATAAAGGGTATCCTATCCTAGGGTAACTAAACACAAAGCCAGTAAAGTACAATATTTGGCCGTCTTTCGTTCTTTGTCTTCCTATTTGAGGTCAGTTTGCTGCTCGGCACAGCTGGTAATTTATTTTTAGGCAACGCAATTGGATTTACAAATTAAATATGTCTGCCCCATGAGTTACAACCGCCTTGGCGCCAACTGTTTATAATGCCCTATATGCATGTAAATGGGTTTGTCGATGGTTCCTCTGGGGCCTCTAAATCGGTTTAACGGGGGGTGCCTTTCCCCATATGACGTATGTACTTTTTTGGAACGGCAATGGGTTAGGGAAAAACATTTATTTTTTTGTTGTATGATTTAGTTAATATATTTGTATGGTTTTGAACAGAGTTTCAAGGATGCGAAAGTCGTTTCGCGCAATGGAGCCTCCATCGTCGATTCGATGGCCAAGGAAATCGAAATGATGATGGACCTCAAAGTCAGTGCAGTGAGGGTAAGTTTATTTCATGATTTTAAATTTTAGATTTGCATTTATTAGATTAAATCTAATTAAGTATAACCTTACCTTTAGCGCATTATGGACACGGCTGAGAATACGGCTCTGTCGCATCAGAACGAAAAGGCGGACAAGATGTTCTCCTACTACAGTGCCAAGGAAATGCTGGAGCCCGGCGATCCCGTACCACCCATTCCCACCCCGGCGCCCGATATGGACAAGGATATAGGCGAACCCCTGATCTATGTCCAGCCGAAGGTGGTGGTCCTGGAACCGCGTCCAGAATTCCACAACACTCCGGTCAACTTCAGCGTCAGCTCGGTCCACGTGCCAGTCAATGTGTTCGATCGAGGTTTGGAATAACACTCAGCATTATAATCCCTGTATCTCTTCTCTCCGCTCTCCACCAATCTCTCTCTGTGTTTCTCTCTCTTTTGCTCTATGAAATCGTAGTCGTATTTGTCGCCTGTGGTGTTGACTTAATCTAACGACCCTTAAGTACTATGCGATCGAGTTTGGGGGCTATGGAATTATTTTCAGAGCTAGACATACAGTTTTTCTTTTCAAAATAAAAAATTCCTTTACTCATTTTTATAAGGACTTCAGTTTAGAACTTCCTACAAAAATCTTTTTAATAAGAGCCCAAATTTTAATATGTACTCGTATTTACTAATATAAAATTATTTAAAATTTAACAGTATTTAAATTACAACATGGTGACCCCAAACTCGATTTGCCAGGGTTGTAGTCAATGCTTTTGAATCAAACACCAGCTATAAACTAACCAAACACTCTTCGTCTTTGTCTAGCTGCCAGAAAGTAGATCCTTGAAAACGCCTCTAGCTCTCTCGCTCGCTCTTTCTAACTATCTCGCTCACTCGCTCCTTAGCCATTTGCTATCTCGCTTGACCGTAAAAGTTGTTTTTTTTCGTATGCCATATGAACTTTATATTATGATATGGATGTTATAATATAAAGCCTTACGCTGCGCCTCCTTTATCTTTGTTTTTTTCGATTTCCAAACCGCTTGCGTCAATGCGTGCGAGGGACGCGTGCACACGTCAAGCAGCGCATTGCGCCGCCCGGCCCGCCCACCGTACCTAATGATCCGCCGACGACCTTGGCGATCGACCTTGATCTCCGGGGCCGCTGGCGGTGCAATGAGCACGTTGACGACGCGCTCGCGTTTTCCGCCAGGGAATGCAAAAATACGAATGCTCCACAGCCGAAAACACGCGGAATGCTTGCCAAAAACCGTATAACACCCAACTTGAGCCACCAGAACACGTAATCCTTAACAAGATAGAAACCAGAAAAACACCTGAGAGCCCGTAAAAAAAATAGGTTTAAGTGTGCGCCGAAAGATGAGGAGAACTAATCGAGTTTCTTACCAAATTCTTCCCCCTTTCTCAATCATTACATAAACCAAATAACACAGCACCGGATGTGATTAAAGCAATTCAGTGGTCGGAGAATTTGGATCAGATATTCCGCGACAATTACAAAAACGATCCGACATTGTCGTGGCAATTCTTTGGCAGTTCGACGGGCTTTATGCGTCAATTCCCGGCATCGAAGTGGCGAAAGGACGTGCCGGTCGATCTATACGATTGCCGACTACGATCCTGGTACATGGAGGCGGCGACGAGTCCGAAGGATATTGTTATCCTGATGGATGGATCCGGTTCAATGTTGGGACAGAGGCTAGATATCGCAAAGCATGTTGTCAATACGATACTCGATACATTAGGTACAAATGACTTTGTGAACATCTTCACCTTTGATAAGGAAGTGAGCCCAGTGGTTGGATGTTTCGACGAGACACTGATTCAAGTATATATCAATTTTATTGTCCTTGTTTCTCTTAATTTTCGATTAACGCCAATTTGATTTCTTTCTTTCCCCACAAAAAAACCAACAACATCTCACGAACACGAACTGAAAACCAAAATCCAAAATCAAAAATCTCTTAACAATACACCCAATTGATGCAACCGAATACGAATGCATGTGCCCACAACCAATTACATATCTGAAAACCAAAAACACTTGCGAAATTCATCCAGGCAACTCTGGGCAACATACGTGAACTGAAAGAGGGGATTGAACTGTTTTCACCCAAATCGATAGCCAATTATACCGCTGCATTGACAAAGGCATTCGAGATATTGGAAGATGCCAAGTTGAATTCGCGCGGGGCGCAGTGCAATCAGGCGATCATGATCATTGGCGACGGGGCGCCGGAGAACAATCGCGAGGTCTTCGAGTTGCACAATTGGCGGGATCCGCCGTACAAGCCGGTCCGCGTGTTCACCTACCTGATTGGCAAGGAGGTGGCCAATTGGGATGATATACGGTGGATGGCGTGCGAGAATCAGGGCTACTACGTCCACCTTAGCGACACCGCCGAGGTGCGCGAGATGGTCTTGAATTACATACCGGTTATGGCCAGGCCGCTCGTCTTGGGCAGGCACGATCATCCGGTGATCTGGTCGCAGGTCTATGCGGACATCGAGGTGGGTAGCGCCCCCGAAACGGGGCTCCAAATCCTTACTCTTCTCTCCACTTTCGGTTGGCAAACTATTCTCCCCCAAAAAAATCCCTCTTTTGTGCGTAGGACACTAAGCTCTCCGACTACCTGTGGGACATCAGCCAGTGCGAGTACCAGAAGGCGGACGTCCTCCAGTTTTGGCAGGTGCGCGACCGGATGCTGGAGCCCATCGAAATGCACCGCCGGAAGTACAGAAGGATGAAGGAGGTGGGTTTCAGGGTTTCAAATCGAAAGAGATTTAAAAACATTGAAGATAAATGAAGGTGCATATTTTGAAAAATGTTATGTCTGGTATTTAGCTTTTCTTTTTGGATGATATATGCTACTCATATTTATTTTTAATAATATATAACCATCTGTTTTTTTAATAGACCTGGAAACAGCCCGTGGACTCGAATGTGTACCAATTCATGACCACCGTATCGATGCCCATCTACGATCGTCGTGAGAATGCGGTAAGTGAAATTGACCCGAAACCGGTCGAGTCCCCTGGCACGGGGGAGAACCTATCGAATCAAACTCTATCAAGCGAGTTAGCACTGCAAAATTCTTAGCGGAAATGAAAGAAAGAAAACTGAAATCAGAATCAGCAGCCGCCGAAGCAGCGACGAATTCATTTTGCCCCCAACTCATTAACGATCGAAGCAAGAAATCGAAATACAGCAAACCAATCTGAACCTATCTATGTAACAACTCACTTTATACTACTACTACTACTACTACTACTACTACTACTGTATTAATAATTTATGCGTTATATATATAACACACTACTACCTACTACTACTACCAAACTATACACAACTATACCACAGAATATCACCGAAGAAGTTTTAATAAATGAAGCACTCTGGGAATTGCAAACACGTGAGGTACAAACTATAATGCCAAATTCTAACAAATAACAACCAAATCCAAACTTAACAAATTTCGAACGAAATTTTTTGCGTATAACGTATTTACTGCTCTTAATGAAAGTTTATATACGCCAATTAATTGCATATCGTATTGAGCTCTACCTATACTCGTATATACATTATCCGTATATAAATATATCAAATAAAGTAAACGATTTGTTATACTTTGCGCTACATACATGCATACCTAATCCATATTTAACCGATATATACTATAAATTACTATAATATAAATCTAGCTAATTTGGTCTAGGACCATGGCATTCTTTAGCAACCTTTTGACATTATAGTTGACCACGTACTGGGTTCAACCCCCAAAATCGAAACCAAATCCAAAAGTATTCTCATGTAATAACGAATTCAATTCGAATTGGTCCAGTATTTAACGATATCTAGACATTGTTTTCTTTATATAACCGTACTCGTAACATTATGATAATTATTATAACAAATTATGAAATTATAGCTATGCCTAGTTGATTACTTAACGTATAAATAGAACATTTTATCTAGCATTTTGAGTAGTAGAGTTTTCCATTTGTTGTTTTAAATAAGAAAGATTGGGTTGAGATCGCGATCGACTAGACTCTATATATATATATATATAATGCTGATTGGTAGTCCCACCCCGTCCATAAAGAAAATCCCCCGCCCCGTTCCCAACGAATAAATGTTAGAAACCATTGATGTTTAGTAAGTACAATCATTGACAAAGCGAAAAGCAACCAAAAATCGGAGAAATCCTAGGCTACTGCTGAGGACCTATAGAGCACACAAGAACAACCACAACAGATCAATTTCTATATATAAATATAAACCAAAGACACATCTCTGCACTCAAACAACGGGAAGCCCGATACCGCTGAAGTTTTTATACCCTTCTGCTGGGCAGGATATTGTAGGAATAATTTGAGATAGGATCAGGATCCTTATACGCATCCCGCCGCGCTTTCCGCCCACCGAAACCGCCACGCCTCCAACTCCACCCGCCCCTAATATAACCCTACTTAAGTTGCTTTCGTTCCTAGAAATTAATTTATTACAAATACGAATTCACAGAGCATTAATCTAACGACCGATATAAATCCGGCTGCGAAAGAAAACGTTCAAGTTGTGAGTAAATTGTATCTAAATCAAATCAAAAAACAACTGCAAAATCTAATGAAATGCAAAAGTCTATCCTGAATTTTGTCACTTTCGTTTGTCTAAGCCGCATGCGTGACTTGATCGAAATTATCTGTTGCCTTTTGATTTTTAACTGATTTTCTTTGGAGCACCAACGAAACTCTTTTTTTATTTACCAACCATTTATCGCAATGCCTATTTCCATGCCACCAACCCCTTGCCAAAAGCCACGATGCAAAAATTTATGATTTCTTAGCCAGTCCGATCAAGTGCTTGGTACTAACCCGAATGGTTTATTTCTGCAATTCTAGATTAAGATCTCTCCGGCACTTTCTCTCTCTGTATCTCTGTGTGTAAAGCTTTGCTATATGGACACTAAAAACTGATCGATCGGTGATCGAGTTCTCTGTCTGTGCTCCTCTCTGTAACTCTTAATCTCTGGCAACTGGTATCTTGTAGATTTCCTGCCAACACTCAAAATGTTTATGTGAAGGGTATAAAAACTGTAAAAATATATACACACTGCCAACACCGAAACACCAACAACGCAAACAAACACGCACAAGTGTAATTTCTTCGAGAAGAAAATCCCTCCACACGTCCAAACAGCTTTTTCACATATTTTCATTTGAAGCCCTTCCAAAAATCCACTATTTTATACAAAGAAAAAATTGTAAATTACACTCTCTGTCTCTATTGTTTTACCACTTCGCAATACCTTTCCTCGATCTTACACTTTGGTTTTACATTACTGCTCACACTGCCTCCCAAAACTCAACGCTCTCATACGCTCTTAGTACTACTCTGCTAGCCATGTAATTAGCCGCTAAAACAGAAAGAAACGCTTTACTAAATTCTTTGTAAACATCAATACAAGAAAACAAAAAGCAAAAAAAACGCTAAAAATCTTTGAAATCGACTTTCTTGACTGTACTCGTAAGTTCTTGCGTAGTAAACGATGCTTCTCATATTTGCATTCGACATTGTTTCCGTTTTTGATTTACATCTTTGTATTTTACTTTGAGATGCCTTAAGGCGTTTTGTACTAGCAATGCCATTTATCGAATTCAAATTTCAAATTCATTTTTCAGTATTTGATTAACATGCAAAACCAAAAATTAACTACCAATTCTCTGTACTTGTAAAATTTAAAGTCCAACTTGTGTATATGTTTCGTTTTCACTCACTTGACCCGACACCCCTCTAAATATATCTTAAAAATTCTCATGCACAGACTAAGATTGCGAATATATTGGGCGTGGCAGGCACGGATGTGCCCATTAATGAAATCAAAAAGCTGCTGTCGCCGTTCACGGTAAGATTGGATTACTGAAGAGTCAGCAAAAATATATTTATTTATACTTTTATACCCCTCAGCTTGGCGTGAATGGCTATGCGTTTATAGTAACCAACAATGGTTATGTACTATTCCATCCAGACTTTCGTCCAATTGTAAGAAATCTCCTTACTTACTTTATGCAATTTGTAAATTACCTTATGTCTTAATTTTTCTAGTTCCAAGGATACATATTAAAGCCATCATACAATAGCGTTGACATGATTGAAGTCGAGCTGTTGGATGACGATCGGGCCGCCAGAGACTTTAATCCACTGCTGATGACGGTAAGTGTTATTAAACCTCTTTTATAAATGGATAATAAATTGGTAATTAAATATTTTTCAACAGATAAGAGATTCTATAATCAATCAATCGACAGGCAGCAAATGGATGTTGGTCAAGAATCATTTCGATGAAATGGTAAGAATTGCAAACTAACTAAAAATCGTCGTATTCTAATAACTTTTTTTACATTCAGAAACGGGTGGCTCGCATAAAGCGGCAATATTATTGGACAGCCATTAAGAAGACGCCTTTCACTCTGGTAATTTCCTATCCGGAGCAATATGGCGTGAGCCACATGGACATTCGGGCCGATCAGGAGATCCATCGAATAAGCATTAAGGGCACGAACTTACGCAACGTCTTTAGTGGCAAGCGCTGGAAAATACATCCCGATTGGTGAGTTCCTCACTATTCAAAACTGAATTACTGACTACTAAATTACTAAATTGAATAATATTTATAGGCTATTCTGCAAGCACAGCAACAGGACATTCAAAACGCCAGAGATCGAACTGCTGTACTTTCTCGAGCGAATGTCTGAGCCTGGCTGGCGATGGCCGGGAAGTCGGAGTGCAATGCCACCGGAACACGCGGCTGCCATGTTTTGTAAGTATCTCGAACCCACTCACTTCCGGTACCATCCATTTTCCGATACTCGATACTCGATACTCGAATCTATCGCTTCGATAAGCCGCCGCTTTCCCAGACTCTCTGTTATGCGTTTTTGTGTTCGATGTGCGAAAATTACGATTGCGATTTCAATGTTCATGCAAATTCACAGCTAACAACTCATCAACTGGCCGTTATCCATCAATCAATGAAAAAGAAAGATACTATTGTGAGTAACAAAAATCCAGAGTCATCAGAAAGCCACAGTTGTGCACCCACCAAAAACAAAACATGCACTCAGTAGCACCTTTCTCATTTCCGACCTCGCACCTGCACTACTGGCACCACAGCACTATGCCAGATAACGTAGTTTGATCCTAACTCAACTTGAAACCTGGTTTCGAAATCCGCCTGTGAAAGGTCTGAAGTTTTCGAGATAACCCTCTTTTAATGATCTTATCAAATTGCAGAATTGCTTCGGAAAAAAACGGCAAAAGAAGTAATACGTTTTACCTAATTGATTGGGTCCAGATAAAACCTTTACTCAGATTGAAAATTGAAAAATGTTTATTGTTTTGGTTACAAAGTAGTGTTTTGATACACATTGTAGTTAGCTGCGGAATTTGCACACTCGAATCGTTGCATGTCACAAAAAATCTTTTCAATACATTTTAATTAGCTTTAAGTATGCTGATATTAAGGCTATATTTTCGGTTTCAGAAAATCAAATAAAGTTAATCTAGAGCTAGTAATGCCACTGCAACCATTACTTACATTACAATTACAATTGGGAACTGTTTTTACCCTTTACATTTGCCTCTTTCAGGCGATCGGCAGCTGATGCAAGCTCTGGTTTTCGATGCTCGAGTCACCGGATGGTTCTCCAACAACACCAGCTTCAATTCCAAGGACGACAAGGGGTAAGTGGTTATGATCGAGGACTTAGGGGATCTATACTTAATGCTAGGCTTGACTCGTCAGACACCTTCAGTACAGTCAACGCCATGCACTCGAGTTAGAGCACTGGAAAAGCAGCACATATTAACCATTTTTATTTCTGTGTACGCCCTTCTTTTTCTCACTTTTATTTGCATTTTATACCGATTCTTTGTGTCGTCCTTGTCGCTGTCGTTTAATGTCTTTCTCATAATGAATTTTCGCACCCACCACTCTGATACTACTTCTCTGAATATATAACTAAATCAACTCTTGAATATCTCCTCAACTTGATACCACAAAACATATTGCCTCTCCATTATGAAATACCAAACCATTCACAATCTAGCACGAGCGCATCAAGCCCAATAGCCGTTCTAATGGGTTTGCTGCCAAGGTAAACAACGAACAATATACTTTGATACTCAGTCCTGTAAACTAGTCTAAGTCTTCAGTCCATTGTTATTCGTTGAATTGTGTTGTCTGGCTCTAACACTTAATATATCTGTTTGCACAGAAACGAATTCAAGCAGCGATTTGGCGTCACCGTCGCCTTCTTGGCCACCCACAGTGGTCTCACCCGCTGGCACGAGTTCCACTCGAATGCTGCCGAAGAATCTGGAGCCGGGTAAGTCTGGAAAAACAAAGGACTTTAATGAGGATTTAATCTTATGGGGATTCCACCTGCAGCGAGACTTTCAGCCAGAACAACACTCGGGCCATCGATGAGATTTGGTACAAGCGAGCCGTGGACCAACACTTTGTTAGGGAGGAGAGCTTCGTTTACTCCGTGCCCTTCGATGCGGGTGGTAAGTCCATATATATTTAAATTTATTTAAATAGGTATTACTAATTTATATTAATCTTTAGAGAGCAATTCGGAGATCCTGGTGACGGCCAGCCACGCTGTTTTCCACAATGAAGGCGGCAAAACTGCACCCGCGGCAGTTGTGGGCTTCCAGTTTCAGCACTCGGCGCTCTACAAACTCTTCCACAACATCACCGGCAATGTGGGTTAAATCACCTTATATGAAATTCATTTATTTACAAGTTCCGTATGCAGGCCTGTGCCGTGGATGACAAAGACTGCTATATTCTGGACAACAATGGCTATGTGGTGATATCGACGCGAGTCCACGAAACGGGGAGATTCTTCGGGGAGGTTAACGGAGCCATCATGAAGCGTCTGCTGGAGGAGAATGTCTACAAACAGGTCACCGTTTACGATTACCAGGCGGTGTGCTTCGAGTCCAAGAGTGATAACAACGCCTCCAGCATGTTGCTTTCGGTAGGACTAGTTCAGATAATTAACTCGATCCATTGCAGTCAAACTTGTATCACCCAACAAACCTTCGAGTTTCGAGTTGTATAAGTTTGGTTGTACCTAAACCTACAGATACTAATCATCTTAAAACTTTTAGCCAATTTTCCATGTGCTGCGCGTGGGCAAATGGCTGCTGCATACGGCGCTGTGGTATATTGTACAACTGTTGCAGTGGGCGCCCGGGGTGTCCAGCCATTACGCGGACATGTACGGTGACTCCAATGAGACGGAGCCACCGGCGCCGCCGCCGGAGGACCATGGCCGCAATGGGAACGGCCATGGGAAGAAGGACAAGGACTACTGGCTGCGCTACCTGACGCTCCACCGCACCAGACTCAAGCCGTGCGACATGAAGCGCGAGCTGTACACACTGTTCAAGGAGAAGGACAACGTTGTCTACAATATGACAGCCCATGCATGTGAGCGGCCATTTGTCGTCCTGCCCATACCGTTCAGCAACCTCATCCTGCTGGTGATCGACCAGCTGTGTCCCAGGGACGCCACCGTCATGCTCACGGTCAATCCGCAGCCGATCGACTACCCCTTGGCGATCAATGAAACGCTGGCCTGCTACAAGCACGCAAGGGAGTTCAACCGCATGCGACCCCACAGCTGCATCAGTCGGCACGCGAACGTAAGTCCTTTGGGGTCCTTGGGGGGTTTGGTATCCCGGGTTCCATGGGTGGAGTGGGATAGCTACGTAGTAAAGAGCAGGTGGGGGGTGGGGGCTTTCCACAATCAGTTGGCTTCAGTCCCACGCTTAGTTACAAATCAATTTATAGGCAGCCATTAAGTGGGGCTAGTCACTGTTGTAGTAATTTCGATAATACTTTTTTCAAAATTCCACTAGATACTAGATATTTTTCAACTATGAATCCTTACAGCACCCTTAAGTTGATTCACAACCATCCTTCCCACCTAACTAACTTGAATTTTCCATTCCAGGAGAGCGGCATCAAGCTGTGCGGCAAGGCGTGTTCGATCTACGCAAATCTGGGGCTGCTGCTCCTCTGCCACATACTTAGTCGCTGGCTGTAACGTCGGCCGATGGACTTAGCTTAGTTCTAGGCAATATGTTTTTGTATTATATACGAAGGGCAATCCAGGAGGTGGGAATTTTTTACTCTAACGCTTGAGCGCAGTTCAATATTTTTGGTCACCTAGAGAAACTTTTCCAAATTAGTTGTTAAGTAGCTAAATATGAGTATCCGTATCCGTTTCGAGCGGACACAGTGAACGCGGACAGTGTGTGCCGCCTGCGATGGACGCGGCGCTGGGCTTATTGTAGACCTTCCAATAGACAGGACAAACACACATATATTTATTGCCTATATATTATATATATTGTATACATGCGTATAACTGAAAATTCCAACAACGGCCTTAAACGACTTGCGAACCTTTAAATAAGCTGAATGCAAAGCGCCGTCGTCATCCGGGCGATAAAATTATGGCACACACTGTACCCAATGCCGACTACTGCCCATGGTTATGTGTGTGAGTGAGTGAGTGTGTGCGAGTGTGTGGGTGCGTGTGTGCAGGTGTGAAGGTGTGCGTGTGGAGGTGTGAGTGTTGATCCTAATCTAAGAAGGCCACATTTGTAAGTAACACCTAGCTACGAGTTTATGTTTAAAGAACGGATCAAGAAACCTATCGATAAAGGCGAATAATGGAACCATTTAATTATATATATACACACACACACACACATACGATAATACGATATATACCTACGAGTACGCCCGGTACATGCTAACTAATTTAAGTAGCTTTTGTATATTTGCTTAGCTTAGCCCAAAGAAACACTAACCGAAAGTTCAGCCTCGGAGCCTTGGAAAACTACATACTTTTATAGACATTCGTTAAAAGATGATATGTAAGCCACTAAACAGAAACCGAAACCAAAATGAAAATGAAAAGCGAGAAAAACCGATTTAAAGGCATTGTTTTTATATACACTGATGATGACGATACCTAGCATTACCCACAAGTACCTACATATATGAGAAATACTTTTTATTACTAACTACTTGATACGAGCCACAGAACTGAGCCGAGGTCGGAGACGATTGAGTAAAAGCAACAGCATCTAGTGACTAAATAAAATAAATTATTAATAATACTACACTTAAACATTGACTAGTTGAAATTTACCAAGACAAAAACTATCGTACATCTAGACAAACTCTCGAACGAGAGGATCTCTCCTCCGATCGGAACAGATCTTGCTAAGCTTTAGCCCCACATCTCCCCATGGTAGTTTAATCAACTTGTGCCATTCGAACTGCCTAGAATTTGTTATTAACTATTTAATATTGAACTCATAAGCGCCGTTTTAGATGCGACTAACCGGGAAATCTGTTAATCCTCTCGCAGGTTGTTTCATTCCTTTATTCATTTTGTACATTCCTGCCCGATTGAGACCGCTCGATTCGAATGTAGGGTGAAGCAAATATCAAACTAAAACCAAGCTTGCAGGCCTCTTCACCAGGACATTAAGCCCGATCTCAGATTTAAACTCTCCTCACGAACAAAAGAAACAATACACACTCGCTGGCAGCCACAATTGTACTACATACATATACATATTTCGAATTCAATCAAATACAAGTAAAACCATTTGTCTAATGTGCTAAAAGAAGAAACTGATAATAAACACAAAATAATTTCGAAAATCAAATCGATCGTTTGGCTTGGGATCAATAAAAGAGGCATCGGGTTTTTGAAATATTTGTTATGCTTAACAATTTATTTTAACACAAGTTTATATTATTTTACAGAACTTTCATCATATTACAAAAATGCCTTAAGTTGATAATTAAAATCTAATTTAGCTAGATGACGAGTTTTGTTTTGTCGAAGTTTTCTTTTTCAGCTATTCAGTAGTTGCCGGGCTTTAAAAAAACATAAATACGTAATCAATTTTAGCATAATCGTTTAGACCAATCATATGTTTCGTAAATGTGTGCTGAAGTGGTACACAGTTCTACATAATGTATTTCGTATGTATAGCAGTGACTTCTAATTAATTCGCGTATTATGTATGCCTATGATGCATGCAAAGAAAGTAATAAACGTATTTTACAAGACGATGTGTAAAAAAATAAAAGAATCTAGTCGATAGGTAAAATGAAGTCTCTCTCTGTTTTGAAATCTCAATTCACAAAAGTAAACGTCAGGAATTAACGATCAATATGACGAAATCATAAAGAATACACCCTTCTTTTAAAAAAAAGGTCAGCCAGCGCTTAGGTTGAGTAGTCGACTGCTCCACTGCCGTTTTGCTGCGTGCGAACAGATCGACGTCGCGTCAGGATGCGAGCCGGTGCCGCCGGAGCAGCTGGATCGTTGGCATCGGGGAGAGACCCCACCGTTTCCGCGCTAACGTTATTGGTCACCGCTGCAGCAGCGGCCGCTTCCTCGCTAGCCATCCCAGCTACAGCGTTATCCAGAATCAGCGGCACGGCCACAGGCGTCGTCACGGGCTGATGCTCCTCCTCCTGCGAGTTGCGTTGCGTGGTAATACCGCGCAGCTTGGACTTTTGGGCGGCAATGTTCGGGGGGCGGTAACTTCTCTTATTGGCAGCGGTTCTTGGACAGTATTGCCCACTGTCGTTGGCATGGGCACCACTACCATTGCTGGCGTGGGTTCCTCCTCTTGGTAGTTACGCTTTCGCGCCAAACGCGCCGCGTTTCCGTTCCCATTGCTGCCCTCATCCGTGGGTGCGACTTGCGGCACATCCACAATCTGTTCGTTGTTAGTGTTGCCATTATAAAAGTCTGGATTCGATGGGTTCTTGCTCGCCAGGCAGGCGTTTTCATCGATGGTCTCCAGCTTGCCTAACGTCTTTATTGCGCCTCCATTGGTGGCAGCTGCCGGTGCTGCCGGCTCATCCTTGGTGTTAGCCTGCTTCAGCTGAACGTTTTCCTTCTCTAGCGTTTGGATGCGATCGCGCGTGGTCTTCAGTTCTTGCTGTAAAAACAGAATGGTGCTCTGCATTCCCTCCACATCCTCGTCCAGTTCTTGCAGAAAGTCGTCGAGCTCTGCGAATTTATGAGTTAATGTTAATTGCAGGCCCATTCATTGTTTATAGTCTTATTAAAAGTTAACCTACCCGACTGAGACTTCTTGACCTCCTCGCTGAAGCTCTTCTGCATGGCCAGTTCGGTCTCCAGCTTGGCCAGTCTGCCGTTGGACGTCATCTTGCCTAGCTCCTCGTTCTCCTGGTAAAGCAGTCGGCACTTGGCCATCAGGCGTTTGCCCGTATTGGAGTCCGGCGTGAATTTCCAGGCGGACAGCTCATTCTGGGTCTCCTCCAGTTTGGCCTTGGTGGCCTTCAGTTCCTTCTTGAGCCGTTCAAACAGGAGATTCACCGCAGGATCGAGAAGAGCAGTGCGCAAAGCCAAGGCAGTTGGCGCCTGCTGGGCCTTGTACTCGGCAATTTGGCTCTAAAAGGAATATGATAATCATTAATCTTAAAGTACTTTATAATAATCAATGGTCTACCCACCACATAGTCCTGGAACTCCTGCTCCTTGTTGGCCAGTCGTCGCATGAGGATCTTCTCGCGCCGCAGGGCATCCGCGCATTGCTGACCCATGCGGACCTGCTCCAGCTTGAGATTCTCGATCTCATCTGCGAATCGAAGGATATGATTAGTTACAAAGGTCGTTAAACTGAGTCTTCCAAGCTGAGAGAGCCACTCGGTTTTTGGTTTGCACGAGACTTTACAATACATATATATTTTACAAGTTCTTATATGGGCAAGGCAAAGTGTTTGTTTTTAGGTGGAACTTAATACGAAATCATACCAATGCGTTGCAATCATTCGTGTAAGTTCGTGACATGGTCGGTGGAAACGGCCGCATCCCGTCGTCAATCTCTGGCTGATAATGATATTGATTTAGATTCGATGCGAGGGTCACAACCACTTGAACTTGGACACGATTTCCATATCTTCGTTGGCATTATCTCTGGCACTTGAACAACCACACCTGCCAATATTCTCATTTTTTGCATTTGCATTTGCATCGAACTGAATTGGCGATTGGATTTGAATCTTCGCGGTATTTTTGCATACACTGTGGGAAACAACGACTGATTGATATACATTTTTTGTGGCAAAACTGAAAATATTTTTGAAAAACACTTGCAAAAAACTCGACGCACACACTGGGCTCTCGAAAGCTTTTTCGTATATATTATGAATTTGAAAAGCTTTTCCCCTTCTCTTTTTTTGCGGCATTTTCGAACACTCTTTTGTCATACAAAAAGTTTATTGACTTTGCTTTTTTGTTGGATTTGTTGTGCAAACACGTATTTTTAGTTGTTGTATTTGTATTTATACAGACGAGTAATTATTTATGTATTTATATTTTGCAGAGGCAAACAAATGTATGTGCGTGTGGCCCACATTTTATGTTTATTGATTGATTGTCGTCCAATTAAGGGTTTTAGCAATCAATTAAATAATTTAGTCAACGGCAGAACACACGCACATACACGTTCACGGACTTTTGGCGCCATTTGTTAAAATATTTTGCATTTTACACACAGGCAAAGTTTTGGCATTCACTTTTTTATCACAATTTCAACTGAAAAATAATTTAACAATTTCTCTTCGGTTATGCACTTCCACTTGTTTATTTGATTATTGTTTTGATTATTATTATTTAAGCTTAACAAGAGTGAGCGTGAAGGGGCATATAGAGAAAGAGACAGGACTAGGGGTAGGGCGGGGGGCGCAGACACGTTGGCTCTCTTCACCTCTTCTCTGCTTCTCCCCTCTTCTTCTTCTGGCACGTAGGCAAACGAAAAGTGGTCGCAAAACGAAAACTGTACACGACAAAGAAGACGACGAATAGAGCGAGAAAACTAGGGAACTTTAAATCTTCGCTCTTAATTCTTTCATAATTTCAAATACTTGAATAATACCATTTTATTATCAGAAAACTGACTTTCTTTGAATTTTAATAGATTCTGTTAAATCTGGCTTCGTTATGTAGATTTTTCTCAATACGTAACTTTAAGATATATTTGTTTATTTTTCTTATTAAAAACCCTTTCGGGATTTTTACGTTTTTTATAACATTGCTTAGATTTGATTTGTTTAATATTTGTTAAACCTGATAAGAGGTTATATTTTTTATTTATTGGCTTATATTAAAAATAGTTCTTTTGCACAACACTTTGTAATCACACTTTATAACTTTTTCAGGCTTGCATTTGCCTTTTAGTTCATATTTATTAATTTTGATATTTTTCATGTTTGTCTATTAAAGCACTTTCACTAATTGGAAGATTTTCTTGGGTGGTGTATAAAAAAATAACTTAAAAATTAACCAAAACGCCGCTTAAAAAATGTTTTTTTTTTTTTTTGAAAGAGTGTTCGCTTCGATTCGATTCACATAATATACGTTGAGTTCTTTTCCGAGTGTTTTTCATAAACAAATTCAATAGCACAAAAAAACCCAAATGAAGTAGGTACAAAAGTAAACTAAATAAACTATGTTCTCTTATTTCGATTATACAATTTACACAGAGTTAACACTTTTGATCGAGGTTTCTTTTTAACGAGTAGAGTATGTATGTATATAAAGGGGGGTATTATATAGATCAGAGATCTCTGATAGCAGTGTACCAAAATGTGCAAAATACCTTCGAGCAAGCGTTGTCGCTGTTCGGCGGCTGCAACAGCCTCTGCAACAGCTGCTGCGTGTTGCTGCTGCTGTTGTTGCTGCTGCTGATGTTGCTGCTGCTGTTGCTGCTGCAAATGTTGTTGCTCCTGATGATGATGATGGTGCGGATGCGAATGGTGATGATGGTGATGGTGCGACGGATCCTCGAGACCCGAGGGCGTTGGGGAGGCGGGGCCGCCACTGCCACCTCCGCTGTTTTGGCTGCTGCTTATGATATTTAGGTTTTGCTCGTATTTGGTCGGGGGCATTTTTTCGTAACTGTTCATCAAGGGTCTTTGATCGTCCATAGTCATTGCAGCGACACTCATTATTTGGAAAATTAATCGCCTAAAACGCTTTTCCTGCTGTTCGGCTTTTAGTTGCTGTTGTTGTTGCGGGTCCTTTGCTGGCGTTGTTGTTGTTGCTTTTCATAGGGGCCGCTCGCTCACATTCACACGCACGCTCTCACCAATACTCCCTCACTTACACACACACTCGCACACTTCCAATGGCGACGCGAAAATGGTGAGCGTTTGGCAAAACGTCGATTTCGCGTACTTTTCGCGCTTGCACAACGCTCAATTAATAATTTGTTGCTGGATTGTTCTTTGATTCACACTTTATGTATGTTTTCGGGCGGTTGTGGGCACTTTTTCTCCGTTTTTTCTTAATTTTTCAACGCAGCGAGGTGACTTCTCGATTTCAGAGGTGGAGAAAACATCGATAAGAAAATCGTTTTCCAAACATCGTTTTCGAAACATCGTATAAAATATCGATACATCCATTGGGAAACAAATGTTGGAAATAACGATATTTTGCCGCGATGTTTTTTCAAAACAATTTGGAACCTTACATTTTTGTAATAAAAATGTAAGAAACTACAAACGGTATGTTATTTAATAATAACAAAATGTGAGATGCCTAAAATTTTCGTTGCATCGTTTTTGGGACCTGTGAATTAACGATGGAAATTTATTAGGTTAAGTCGATAATTAACTTCGGACGGTGGGAGTCTTGGCTACATTGGGTCTCAGTGCGGCCGTTCTGCAGTCTTTGCTAAACCATGCATTTTGGGACGGCTCACTAAAATTAAACTTGATGCTTCGCAGATTGACCACACTGTTGGATTGTTTTGGAAATTGTTTTGTTTTTGATAATTAAAAAATATGGCAGAACCCAATATACAAATAAAATTAGAACAACAGAACATAAGGGAACGCCTCAATCTGCACGTCAAGCGGCGCCTTCAGCAGGATGTAGAAAATCCCATCGAGAGTCCCGAGTTGTTGACCAGTGAACCCATTTCAAAACGCAGCAAGGGAAAAGAGGTTCCCAAACCTCGAAAACCTTATCAAAAGCGCACAGAGAAACCAAAAACAGACGCAACAAAAGCCAAGAAAGGTATTTTTATTTATTTCTGGCGATAGTAATCACTAAGATAAGGTTCTTTGTTAGTTGGACAACTTGGCAGCCCGGCAGAGGCGGATCCCTTGGACGAACAGGATCCGGAGGGCTTTTCACCGGAGACGGCGGAGGGAAAATCTTCAAGTCGGGATCGCTATAAAAACGCCGACATACTCAATATGGTGTTGAGTGCTAAAAAACGCATTCTAATGCAGGATCCCGAGGTTCAGGCCTTTTGGACCGAAATAATGAAGGCCATCAAGAGTTAAAACATAATTAAATCCGCATATGCGGTTTACTATCCAGGGAATAGTTTTAAATTCGTTAATTAATTTTAAGATATGATTATATAAAAATAAAATGTAACTATAACACTGTAAAATATACTTTATTTTAAACAAACAGTAATAAATAGGAAGTGTGATTTGACGAATTATATAATAATATTAAACGTTTTTTATATATAATTCTAATTCTGGAATAAGGAATACTAATATGCAAGAACCGGAGTAGAAATTAAAATTTGTATGGATCAAGAATTCTAAATTAAAAGTTAAAGTTTTGAAAAATAGTGCCTCAAGTTAAAAGGGGTTTAAAATGGTTTTTCTTAAAATTATTTTGAGTGCAAATTGATTTTTCTGTTTATTTCCTTTACTTTTGACTTCAAAAATATTTGAAATTGCTCTTTTAAAAAATATCGGAATTTCGATTGTATACTGCGCAGTCTCAATCTCTTCCGGGATACTTTCTCCGAGAGGATTCTCTCGGAAATCTCGCCGGCCGCCAGAGAAGCGGCCTGCGGACAGCTGCGGATTTTTCGTAGCGCTCAGACAGAATTTCACCGTGTTTGGGGTTGCATCGCGTCGCGTAACCGCATCACAGTCCACAAAAAAGGGAACCCTTGGCCATAATATCGACTATTGTGAGTCCAAATTAGATTGCGTGACTACTGAAAAGGTAGCCAGTTAATCGAGTCGAGCGTAAAGTGGCGAAATATCGCGATTCTGGGCAAATCGGTATATAAAGCCGTGTTAGATAATCCCGCTTCAGTGGCGCGGTTCGCTATCGATTTAACTTTTTTCGCTTGCTGCCTCGAAAGGGCGCTCGAGCCCCCTCTCTTTCTATCAAAGTCCAACCCTCTCTTTCTCGTTCTCAGGGTGACTGGCTCTCTCTCTCTTGCGCTTTCTCTTTCTCTGTTTCTCTCGGTCGCTTTGACTTTGTGCTTCGTCCTTGCGAGAGAATTTGCACTGAAATCGCACTTAAATCAGCCCACCCCCGCGAACCCTGCACCCACAACCAGCCACCCCTTCACCCACAAGCCACCCTCTTTTCCCACCTTTTTCCCACCCCCTTCTCCCCGCTGAGCCCTTTTTCCTTGCATCCGCTTTTCTTTTCGCTTTTCATTTCGGGGCCCTTTCATTTCCACTTTGGTGTCATCAGCTTGAAATAGTTCGAGAGCCAGGGAATTTCCAAATGTCTCCACTCTTACGTAAATAAATAAAAGAGAATTGTTTCGAAAGGAAAACTTTGTGGTAAACTGTCGAAAATACTCGTGGGGGTTCTGCTATTATATAACTGTTAAAGTAAAAGTGAAAAGTGACTTCAAAATAAAGGATAACACCGAAGTGCATAAGTGATTACAAAACAAGTTGGAGGAGCAAATGGTTTGGAAAGAAAGTGGACTACAAATAAAACTAAATAACACCAAAGCTGAATAGTTCCTGAAATAAGCCCGAGTAGCTATTAAAAAGAACACTACCTAACCTTAAAGTGGCTAATTAACTGTTAGCCAAGTTTACGAGCACCTCTAAGACCGAGAATCCTTTAATCCTCGAGGTCTTCGACGGCATTACACAACAAAAGTGAAGACCCAACCCCCGATAATTTTTACCTGTGCCACCTGAGTGACTTCCCCTTGCCACTTGTTCTGCTCAATTTTTTGTTCGTTCCATTTTTTTAATGGCTAAATCGATATGCCAGATTCGTGCTTCTGCCAATTGTCTGGGCTATTACATAACAACAAAAAGAACCAGTCCGAAGAAAAGTCAACTGGCAGGAAGGCAACTCAAAACATTTCCCGCAGGAAATGCCAAAAGACGGAGACAGTTGATAACAAAAAAATTGAAGAAGAACGAACGTTGGGGGAGGGGGAGGGGGGAAATGTGGGCTATAACAGGACCTGAACTGGGTCAGTTATTGAATTTTCCGAGTGGTAGAGGCAGGGTGTTGCATGTCATGCTAAATGCAACTGAACATCAAATTGCGATGGGAAACTAACATGAAGCAGACCCACTCAATCAAGCCACCCCCAATATATATATCTCTATCCCCATATAGGCTGGCGATTGGAACTCTTCCTGTTTCGCCTGTCAGTTGGCCAACAACAACCCCGTTTTGATGGGATTGAGTGGCCGACATGACAACGGCCCCTTGACTACCATATTGATTGGCTTTTCATTCGCTCGGTTTCAGCCGTCTTACATGTACAGATGGACTGACTGACTACCTGTGTTTGTGTGCCACAAACCCAAATTTCGTTGGCTATAACGGGGCGTATGTGTAATAATTCTTGCTCCGATCTGTCTGCCGACTGTGCATTCGCCCATTCCCCTGGGCCTGGCCAATTTGGAGTGGACCCATCTGCAGTGCTCTAGAATCGAGAAATAACTACGGCTTCAGTGCAATGCACTTTTCCCGATTACATGCCCCCAACCAGTTGGCAACCGGGTTGTGGTTAGATCGAAATGGCCACTTGAACTACAGGCAGTCCCGGAAATGGGCTGACAATGTAATTACTTGAGTGCCCAGCAAATTGGTTATTTAACTCTATGTGAAGTCATAGCAGGGTGCGACGAGTGAGTCATGTGGAGGCAGTTTGGTCTTGTTCAATAGTAGTTTTAAGAATATCTTTTGGAAAGCCCAAAGGGTCAAGAGTTTTGGAGGTGTATTTCGCAATAGGTAGCTAATTTATAATGATTATTAATGAATTAGCCAAAGCCATAGTTGGTTACTAAAATTTTTTTTTGTGTTCAATTTTCTTTTCCTTTACAGTAAATGATTTGTTTTTAATTTTACTAAACATTTTTCTTTTGCTTAAGGTTTTTGTAATGGGAAAAAGTCAAATTATTGCTAGCTCGATTAATTTATGAATAACACTTAATGTATTGACAGTGCATTTATTTATTTTTTATAGCAAGTTTTATATTTTTACATTAAATACGGTTACAATATGCATTGTTGACTGCACACTTAAATCAGTATAATCAGTTTTGAACAGAACCCTGTTAGCTTCAGCAAAGCCAAGCAAAGCCTTTTTGCTAGACAATCATACTAAAACAAGAAAATAGATTGAACCGTCAACTGGGGGGCCTATCAAATCACTTGGTCACAAATCGCAAACGATGGCAAAACTATTAAAAGCTCCAAGGAGCGGGAAGTTCGGGGGTTTTGTGGGGGCGATACGTATTGGTAATTTGTTACCTAGCTACCGAGAACCGTTAGCAATTACCCACCATCCACAAAGCTGGTAGTGCTAGCTGGGAAAATCAATTGGCTGTTTGCAGAAAAGACGAAGGAGCGGGGGCTGCGTTCGAGCAATCATTGCAATCCAATTAAATGGACAGTCTATCCAAAGACAAGAAAAAAAGAACTTGGCAAAAACTGGAGAAAAACTGCCAAGAAGCTCAAATGAGTTCCAAATGGGATCCACAAGCTCACTAATTGGGTCGCTAGAGGGCGCGCGTCATCGGAGCGAATGAGAGGGGTATAGAGAGAGAAAGGCAGGGAGAGAGCGAAAGTGGGTGGGAAGGAGAAAGAGCATTTCAGATGCATTGCGCCGTCGCCTTGCTTTCCCTTTCCGCCGCCCCCTGAATTGCACTTGTGTTGTTTTTTACTTGCGTCCCAGTTTGTATTTTTGCCCCATCTCTCTTCTTCTTCTTCTTATCTTTCCTTTTGGACTTATTTTTGCTTCGCCGTGTTTCACTATTCATTGCAGTTGAACTATAGACAACATATTCGCTAATCGTCCGCGGGTTATCAATCAATGAGTATGAAGATGATTTAAGTACCAAATTTCACATTCACTTTCAGACTAACATGCTAATCTAGCATCGCAGAAGTTCACAAATTGTCCAACGAAAGCGAAACCTAAACCGTCAGTCAACAAATTGTTGCTTCAGGTGCCGGGCATAGAAGCGTGGATCCATAAAAAATTGAGCATAAATAATTAATTTCAATAAACCCAAATACATACAAAATGTCGCCGTTCATGGAGAAGACGCTGTTGTTGTTAGGCGTGCTCTGCTGCATACAAGGTAAGCCCCAAAGTTTATGCAATGCAAAAAAAAAAACGCACAAACCCACACTCACACACAAATAGGCACACGCGCACTCACACACTGACGTAGTTGAAAGCCCTGACATTTTGTGGCACAGTATGCCATAATGCCACGGATCGGAGAAAGTAGTCTGAAACTTATCGAAAAGTTATAGCTTATGTTTAGTTGTTGAAAAAGTGATTTTTTTGTATTCATGTTGAATGCAGTTACATTCTTTACTATAACTAAATACTATATTTTAAACTCAATATTACAAAAAATTTGTATTTATTTTATTTGTGCACTTCAACAAAACTTCTCCAAAACGTTTTAAGTTTACAGTTTTGGTAGTGAAAAAAAATGAAATTGTACATTAATAAATTTTCGTTAACAAGATTTTATGTTCATAAGGTCCACCTTATGGAAGTTAGCCTGTAAAAAGTAATTTATAGTTCCCTTCCCTGTTTTATTTATTTTGCCATTTCGCTCAAATTATATTTCCATAAAACTGTCTTCGCTATGTTTCATTTGCATTTTATAAAAAATGTTTGCGAATTAAGCTTTTAAATAATCCACTTCGCAATCATTATCTACCCATTTATTTTTATCTATGCTTATCATTTTAAAAATCGATTATTCATGCTGCTAAACCGCTTACAAACAAAGTTTTTATAATAGCAAACACAAAATTAGGAAAATTTAATCCCTTCTTATCCACTTTAAGCTCCACACAAAATCAAGCGTTAAGACAAACCGCAACATCGAAAAATTATAATCGCAAATTGTGTTTCGGTTATCATATTGAGCAAGTTGCACAACATGGTGATATGTTATTAAAAAAATTAAACCACCACAACATATTCAATTAAAAATGTTCAAAATTAAGACTTAAGTTAGATACATTCATATTTATAATTTGTTGTAATATTCATTTACCTCTTCCTATTTTAGTTACCACTGCCGTGATATGCTATGACTGCAATAGCGAGTACGATCCCCGGTGCGGCGATCCCTTCGAGCCTTACTCCATCGGCGAGGTGAACTGCAGCAAAACGGAGCTGAAGGAGCACCTGAAGGACAGGTATCCGCCCGTTCTGTGCCGCAAAACCGTTCAGAAGAGTAAGCTTAATCTGGTTTATGGGTAAAAGTCAACTACTTACACTGACTTCCATTGCAGTTTACGGTAAAACCCGGATCGTACGTGGCTGCGGATATATTCCAGACGAACACACCGATTCCAAGTGCGTGAGGCGCTCGGGAACCCATGACGTGGCTGCCATCTACTGCTCCTGCACCAAGGATCTGTGCAACGGCGCCAACTCACCTGTTGCCCAATGGATGTGGCTGCCCCTCGTCCTCTTCGCCGGATTGGCGATCCTGCTGAACTCGAGGCACACAATACGATTCCAGAGCTCGTAAATTGAGCCCGACCTAGCATTTTACTGAGTTCACTTATACCTATCGTTTCTGACTTTGTTTTTAGTGGTTTTTCGATTCAGATCTGCAATTGATGTTCATTTAGTTGCATAATTTACTTAAATATAATTTATTTACTTTAATAATAATTTAATGTGTTCGTAAGCGTAAAAATGTTAATAATAATATAAAAATCAACTTACCTTATGGGTTCACACACATTATATAAAATAGCAGAACAAAAAACGAGAAGGTAAACACATTTTTGGGGGCAGTAATAAATCTACATTTTTAATCCCTTGTTTCAAATTAATTTTGAATACAGAAAAACTGCCAATAAATGTCTCCGCCTAAAAAAATTGCAACCTTCTTAACCTTATAACCTAACAGTTCATAACTCAAGTTACAAATAAGTCAGAGAAGCAGAAATTCTTTTCTTGTTCTGTAGCGGTTTTACCAACTTTGCTTGAGACGAGAAGGGTTTCCTTGTTCTTGGCTTAAAGTTTTTGAGTGAAAACTTTACAACGTTTTATATACCATTTTATTTCCATTTAATTTGTGGCAAATGGGGTAGGGGTAACCTGAGACCTGTTGAAAGTGTTTCTATAATGAATAACAACTCATTCTAAGGCAACAAGTTTGCCATAAATAGAAATCAGAGCTTCATTAAGCCAAAATTATATACGTCTATTTTATCATTTCGGCTTTAAACCAGGTTAATCATTATAGTTGCTATTTTGTAGTCCCAATACACAATATTTTATGAATTTTTATATAATTTAAAACAAAAAGTAGAAAAGGGCAAACCTCAAAGGCAAACCCTTCATGAAACCTATTAGTGCAAATTCTAAAGATCAACATCTATCTTTACGGCAAAGAGTTTGCATTAATTAAAATTCATAACTCATTTGAAACCGGAAAATCGTTTTAATAGAGATCAAAATAAGAGAAACGTATTTATACGAACTAAATAAATTAAAAAAACCTATCTGCAAAACAAAAGAGAATCCATAAAATACTTAAAATGAAAGGGGAAAACAAATTTTGTCCATTATAAGCTTCATATGAACTAAACCAATACGTACTATTCGGCAATGATTTCTATGACATTTTCGAAGGGCTTTGAAGAAGGTCTGCTGAAAGTGAAGTTGCTATCGTGGCTGATATACATAAATCTTCCTAATAATTTAGACGGAAAGTGCATCAACATTTTGATTTGTGTCCCCGATACAATACTAACACAAACCAAGGTACAGTCAACACAAAGCATGGCAAGATATTTAAAAACAGAAACACTAGCCAACATATAAAAACCAGTTACAAACACATCATTTTGTGTAGAAAAAAAAAGAAGATATATATATACACATGAAAAATTGCATAAATTATATAACATTATATTTATTTAGTTAAATATTATTAAGAATTATATGGAAAGATAATAAGATAAAAACAGAGAGAAGCGTGAGCATATGTAGATAAACCTAACTAATTTTAATTTATAAAATGAATAACAAACACTAGCCGTTGTATCGTAATAGAAAACAAAACAAGAGAAAATTTAATAAATCGAAAGGAAAAAACTTAAAATCAGTAATCCATTAACTAGTCAGAGTACTTAAGATTCCATAACTAAACCAATTATGATGGATACTTATTTACACTTTATTGTTTTTCATCGGAAGAAATTTTCCAAAATAAAGGTATCGCAAGAATATTGCAACTCAAGCACATTCAATATAAAAACAAACAAAAACACAAGATCACGCAAAAACTTTAAAAAGTGCAAAACGATTGAAATAATAAAAAAAACAAGTTACAACACCTTTCAGCGTGAATCATATCATTGAGCTTTGCTTCACAAGTGACGGGAAGACATTCTAAACTAAAACCTAAACTAAAACAATATGCAAACACAACGTACATACATGTATTTCAAATTATTTAAAACAATTGAAATATAATAATGACAAATATTAATAATACAACGTTTTCAAACGAGTTACTGAAACTTAAAAAAAAAAAGAATTACCGATTAAGTAAACAAATGGAAAGACGTCTACAGAAAGAACACACACCAAACCAAAAAGCTTTTGTCTGCGCTGGCTGAGTCGAATATTCTATAACCATAAATATAATAACTAAATATATATCAATATCATTTCTTTTCGTTTTTATATCACAGCAACACGAATAGCAACAAAATGGGAAACTTATTTATTATGCAAGAAATCTATAAAAGAAAAACACAGCAGAAATAATAGAATAAAATCCATGAGCAGAATAAAGATGCAAAAAAACAAGAAAAGAAAATAATGTGAACTTGTTAATTTTTAGCATTTAAGTCTGTAAAGCTCCGCTTGTAGATGAAAAATCAATAAATAAACTAAATAAAATGGTAAATTCAATAAATGGAGACAAAAAAGGCTATAAGCTTTCACAACAACAAACTGATAAATCTTTATCAAGAGGTGGGTTGCAGTTTGAATTCAGTTCTTAAATGCTTTATGATATTAGATACAGTTTGGGTCGTAAACCTTTTAGGCATACAAGAGCTTTATATGTGTAATATAGATCGTATAGTTTTAGGTTGGAAATCTTTTCAGAAATGATTTCTTTTTTTTTTAAATGGAAAGAGTGGCAAACCTTTTCATTGTCATTAAATTTAATTTTATTTATATTTATAAAGTATAGGAATGATTAGAAATGCTTTGTTTTTAGGCAAGCGCACTTGGAAAGACGGCATTTTTGGCAATAGGCTGATTGGACCTCCGCACGATCCTTATATAACCATCTTCGCCCCAAGTTTCTCCGAAGGAATTCAAGCAACGCCAATAGTCCAGATTGGAGTCCACGTCGTGATCGTAACCCACGACTACTAGAAACTGGGAGCTCGTCTGTTTCGTTAGGGCTTTTGTCTCCTGCACGTAAACCCCACTGGAGTACTGCATAAATCCGAAGGTCGCCGGATTGTATTCGACTATCACTGGGAATCCATTCGACACGTATCGCATCACGGCGGCATCGTCATTATCGGCGATCGTAGAGTAGCTGGCCAACTTAACGCCCACGGTAACTGTGGAGGGAGGTTGGCACATTCCAGGGGTTTTCGACGTATTGTCATTCGGATAGTCCACCTCTGGGTAGAGATATGATTCGGGTAATTGGGTGAGGTAGTTAAGGGCAGCCAGTGGAGTTTGGGTAGTGCATCCGGCTCCCATTCCCGCACAGTCGATCAATTGCTGGGCGGATAAGGAGGCGGGCAGGGGATTGGCCGTCTGCACGGCATTCAGAATCTCAACGGCCTTGGCGGTGGCATAGGCCCAACTGCTGCTGCAATTGACACCCTGATCCTCCACAGTAACGGTGAGTCCAAAGTCCGTAATGATGTCAGAGGTTGTGGCTGCCGCTTGGGTGGTGGGTGGATCCGTGGCAGCCGAGGTCACTGTGGACACCGCCTTGGGCAAGAGGGCTGCAAACTGGATCAGTCGGATGTCCGAGAACTGATTCACTGCCTCGCGATAAGAGGTGCGGTTCCGATCCGCCTGGGCATTATGCTGGGCCACCTGGTTGCGATTGTAGATGAAGTAGTAGTTGGCGAAGTTGCGAGCCGAAGCTGACGCATACGTCTTGTTGAAGTTGTCCTGCAAATGGAAAAATATTATTTATGGGTAATACATACAAAACATTAAAAATAAATAAATAAAGGAAGGAATAAGCAGTAAGTATTTTATTTAGATTTAAAATGGATGTGAGTACTTAGTAGGATTATTTGTATTTAGGAAGTTTTGACACATTATTCCGTAAAATTTACTAAGTACCAAGAGAAGAACAATAATATATGGTATTGAAATCTTTACAAAATGAAAAATTATTTAAATTTGTAATCTGCACTTTTTTACTTTATATCGTATTTATTTTAACACCAATGAAGTTATCCATTCACTTTACTTTCGATAACCAACTTACCTCATACGTTTGAAAGTCCACCAAATCCTGGCCGTGGTTAAAGGCCCATCCACCGCCGAAGGTGGTTAGTAGAAGGCAGCAAAGCAGCAACTCGAACATGGCGAAACCCGAAAACCGAAGACAACTGATGCCGGCTAGAACCGTGGAACGGTCTTTTATAGGCACCGGCAACTCTCCTTCTGATTGCAAACGCAAATAGAAGTTTACCATACCGACTTACTTTCGCAAGAAAAGTGCAAATAGATTTCTACGGGGCCTTGAATTCGCACTTGGCCTACAGCACATATAGTACTTGGTAGTATCCATATTCCGGGTGGGTCGGCTCGATAAGCCTCCGTTAGGGGAAAAAGTCGGGGTGCGCTCTGTTTGCCCAATAAACTTGTCAAATGCGCTCCGTTTCGTAGTTTCGTATCGTTGCGATTCGCTGGGTTCTCGTATCTCTGTTAATTCGAAATCCCCACTGGCCCAGTTCAGAAAAAAGCCGTACCCCCACCTGTAGCATCGTAAAAGCGTCTCTAATGCCAACTTATCGTCACTTGTCGAGGTTTTGTCTTCTCCGCAGGCATGATTAATCACATTCATACTTTCATGGCGCCCATAAATATTGCAACATCGTTTGAAGTCTTGACTAAATTGCCGCAAACCAAGTACTAAATGAGTTGTTTGGCAATCTCCAACGCGGAAGTCTAACATATATTTTTTAGAGGCACAACGGGAGCTTCTTGGAACTCTGCAAAAAGTAAACTTATAAGGGATTAAGCAGTCAATGAACTCTTGCTTAGTCACATTTAATATTCTCCTACTACTAGACGAGCAAAAATCTGTGAATTGAACTGCAAATAAATTAGAGACGGTTTCTTTATTAGTACACCAACAAGGTATTGATATTTCACGGGAATATCAAGAAATAGTTATTTGAAAATGAATTACTCCAGATTCTGCCTTTAAGTTAGTAAGTTATGGACAAAGCCTAAAAACTAGGTCAGTAGACAGCCAATTGTAAAAAAAAACACACTTACTAATTAACAAGTACGCATGTATTGAATGTTTATGCTTTAAAATTTTTTTAATTTTTAAATCTTTGTTAGATGGCTCTACAATCAATCATGTAATGCGTGAAACACAAACGATCACTCCTATCAATTATCAATCCCCTTAAAAACTTGTTTGACTGTTTTACCTTTTGTTTCAAATGAGTTAATTTATGTCGTTATAGCCACCTTCATATTGACCAATAGACAATTACTAAACATGCATAAAATTAAGACAGTTATTCCCCCATAAACCAGATAGCCAGTCCGAATGGAGATGAATATGGTTTTTCGGTCTTCGAATGGTTTCAAATTGGTGGCCCATCTGGTTTCGGCCGGGTCCGAATGGCGGACCCTATAAAACCGCGGTGTGTGTGTCGAGCGCCGCTTAAAACCTCGCCGGTCTTCGTGTCTGCGCCATCTTCACTCAGATCTCCAGAGTTGTGAACGCGGGAAATATTGCTCACAGATATTCATAAAAGGTGATTGAGCTGACTTTCAACATATTGTGTCGTGTGTGTGTTTCCTCGGTTTCTGTGTGCCATTAATGGCCCATCATTACAGGCAAAACGGACTAACAAGAGAACTGCAATTGCAATTAAAACGTACATTTGAATAGAAATTCGGGGAATCCATCACCTTTCACCGGACTCAGCATGCCATCAATATTTATGGCATCGAAAGTGAAAATTTAGCCCGCGGTTGCCTAATCTAGATTTGATTTATTTCGCCCTCGGCCACGCCAATCTTGGCCAAAGAAATAAAACTTAAAGGAGAAACAAACCCACGAAATGATTAGCATATGGAAATTCGAGTGAATTCAATGGTTACACGAATGTAATAATGTTATGCGTATGCAAATGAGCTTATTCAACCAATAATGACACGTTTGTCATCAATAACCGGAAAAAGCATAAGATGCTCCAATAATTGCAACAAAGCTTATGAGCTAAGCCAAATTAATATCGATAGATCGAACATAGTTAAAAACATGAGACATAATTAAATACAGTGGGTGATTAATTACCAATTAAGACGATTGCCGACAGTCAACGAAATAGGAAAGGCAAATAATATGTTTGTTATTTTGTAAATCAATCATTAGCTGCTTATTTGTTATCTAATACATAATCAAGCTTTTTGATATATGGATCATTAAGTGGTTTAGTTTCTACATAAGAAACACGAATTAACTTTTTAAGGAAGTATGGATTTTTTATAAAATAAAAATAATCTTTATCTTGATTTGGATTAGTTGACCAGAAACATTTTAAATTTTTGGAAAAATTTCCATTTTCATTCATGCTTTTCGTGCAGAAAAGTATTAGTTAATCTCTTTAATAAATTACAACATTTGGGGATAGATTTCCGGTTTCCAAATCTCGGCTCACATTTTCAAAAATGTTTATTCGGGTGTTTCGAAAGGAGTATCATCGATGAGCATATATTAATTTTAATAGCGGAGTATAACTTAAAGAGTTACAGAGAAATTAGGTATTCCACGAGCTGCACGGCAGGTCAGTTCGAATGAATTGAGGTGAATGGACCGGCTCGATTTGCCAGTGATTAACGTTGACAGATGTGGCAGGAAAAAGGGGGTCGCGGTGTGTTGGCCAAGTGGTTACTTAACACTTTCCTCTCTTTCTGTTTTTCCCCCGTTCCAGATGCGGATGTGCTCATCGATGTGGCTGCAGGTGGCTTTGGGTCTGGCCATGCTGGGTGCTGCGTCATTGCAGCAACTGCAATCGTTTCCCAAGCTCTGCGACGTCCAAAACTTTGACGATTTCCTCCGGCAGACGGGCAAAGTTTACTCGGATGAGGAGCGGGTCTATCGTGAAAGTATCTTTGCGGCCAAAATGTCACTGATTACGCTGAGCAACAAGAACGCCGATATTGGTGTCTCTGGATTCAGACTGGGAGTCAATACACTGGCCGATATGACCAAGAAGGAAGTTCAAACTTTGCTTGGTTCTAAAGTCTCCGAATTTGGCGAGTAAGTATCACCTTCTGACGCAATCTTAGTCGGTATAAGCATTGCGGCTTTCCCTCTGAACATGAATAAATTATCACCCATCTCATAACTCATAAACGGGTTTACAGTCTTACAAAAAATTTGATACTTTTACGTCGCCACTGATCGGTTTTCCAATTATGCTAAGCTGCTTCAACGGAATTCGCTAAAATTCCATTCATGGGCTTGTCATTTTCATTCAGCTTTATTTCGGGGCAAATAAACAAAATTAGTTTTGTCATTTCTGATAAAAAAAAGAAAACAAAGTCTTACAAAATGTTTTGAACCTTTATATTGCTCAGAATATGATAGTGTCATAAGTAAAATTTTTATTATCTGTTTGTTCGGAGCATTCCGTCAGCATTTATGAGTCAAATAGTCCATATAATTTATTGACTATTTATCAGCAATGGTTAGCTTTTATTAAAATTATTCATACTTTTTAAAGCTAAGATAAGAAGCAGTCAACACTAAGCAAGATCACTTGTGTTAAACAACTTTTCTTGTCTTGCAGGAGATACACGAATGGCCACATCAACTTCTTGACCGCCAAGAGTCCGGCGAGCGCCAATCTTCCGGAGAAGTTCGATTGGCGCGAGAAGGGAGGAGTGACTCCGCCCGGATTCCAGGGCGTGGGATGTGGATCCTGCTGGTCGTTCGCCACCACCGGAGCCCTCGAGGGCCACCTCTTCCGGCGGACGGGAGTGCTGGCCTCGCTGTCGCAGCAGGATCTGGTGGACTGTGCCGACGACTACGGCAACATGGGGTGCGACGGTGGCTTCCAGGAGTACGGATTCGAGTACATCCGCGATCATGGAATAACGCTGGCCAACAAGTATCCGTACACGCAAACGGAAATGCAGTGCAAACAAAATGAGACCGCAGGTCGTCCTCCGCGTGCCAGTCTGGTGAAGATCCGTGATTATGCCACAATCACGCCCGGAGATGAGGAGAAGATGAAGGAGGTGATCGCCACCCTGGGTCCGTTGGCCTGTTCCATCAACGCGGACACCATTTCCTTCGAGCAGTACAGCGGCGGTATCTACGAGGACGAGGAGTGCAACCAGGGCGAGGTGAACCACTCGGTCACCGTGGTGGGTTACGGATCGGAGAACGGACGCGACTACTGGATCATCAAGAACTCGTACTCCCAGAATTGGGGGGAGGGCGGCTTCATGCGACTGCCCCGTAATGCCGGCGGATACTGCGGCATCGCCAGCGAGTGCAGCTACCCGATTCTGTAGGCAGATGTCTATAACACAAAACTAGATATATTGTATAGTCAATTAGGAACCACGAATTTATAACTTTGTTACTAGTAGTGTCTAGCGAGCGGTCTATGAGTCACCCACTTAAGAAATAAAAATGTGCCTTTATCAGTGTGCGCTTTTGTTTGAATTACCGGGAAAAAGTTTCAAGGCAAAATTGACTGACATATTTGGGGAGGTTGCTCATGCAGGCGAAACAAATTAAAAAGAAAACAAGATTATGCACACCGTTATACAATACTTTTATTTTTTAAAAAACTTTTTAAAAATCGTTCTGACATATTTTCAACTAAAAGTTAAAGATATGATCATTACAATTAAACAAAATGAACAATGAAACATTGCAACAATGAGCTTTTAAAAATAAACTGTTCCTTATTCTAGCTTTAATTGGCTTAAAGCATATTAAATTCTAAAAGAGTGTGCAAAACTTCTTACCAGATGCAACATAAGGTAACTATTTATTTGTTTGGAGCTCTCTTTGCCGATCTGCTTCAAAGAGAAATGAGATCGGCGATTCTCGCAAGAGTAAGTTTACTGTTTACTCTCTTTTTGCAACTGACTTTTGAGTATACATTTAAACAAATCGTTTATATTGCGCCATCATTGCAATCCGGAGCTCAGTTCGCGAAAAGCTGTAGAAATGAACTCAGCTTTAATTATTGCTGGCGTCTCAATTATATTGGGACTAATGGGCTTGGCTTCAAGCTCACCCACAACGACACCCATCACAAGTTCCCCAATTGCCAAAATTAACCTCTCAACTGAGGATGATCCAGTGGAAATCCCCATTGAGTCACCGGTAGTCGCAGAAAGCATAGCTCCAACAGCTGAGCGAAACAAAGAATTATTGGTAAGCTCTGAATAATTGTTTCCTGGAAAGAATCTCTGAGTAACTCCTATTTCTTTTTTGGGCAAAGAAACAACGACCGAGTCTCGCTCAAGAAACATCTGAAAATGAACAAGTTAAAATAAAATGCCAGAATGCCTGGGAAAAGTTTGTGGTAAGATGAAGAAGAGGTTTTAAAGAATTTTGAAGAAATCTATGTATATTAATTACAGATAGAGTTCGGAGCGAAGTATAAAGATAATGCTGAGACCGAGAAACGTCGCAATATCTTTTGTGAAAACTGGAAAAAAATTCAGGACCACAATAGACAACACGAATTAGGACTGTACTCTTTTAAGAAGGGTATCAACCAGTTTAGTGACCTTACCTTTGAGGAGTGGAAGGACAAACAACCTACTTTCCGTCCAGATTTGTTTGATGATGAATCCACTACACAAGCAACTAAGATGGAACAATCTAATTTGAAGTGCCAGGATGCTTGGGAAAAGTTTTTGGTAAAATAAAAAAAAAGTTTAAAAATTCTTAAAATTTATGTAAGTGTATTACAGGTTGATTTTGGTCGGAAATATAAAGACGATGCTGAGACCATAAAACGTCGCAATATTTTTTGCGAGAACTGGCAAGAAGTTCAGGATCACAATAAACAACACGAATTAGGACTGTACTCTTTTAAGAAGGGTATCAATCAATTTAGTGATCTTACCTTTGAGGAGTGGAAGGACAAACAACCTACTTTCCCTCCAGATTTGTTTGATGATGAATCCACTACACAAGCAACTAAGTTAGACCAACAGAAGATAAAATGTCAGAATGCTTGGGAAAAGTTTTTGGTAAGATAAGAAAAACAGTTTAAAAAAATTTTTAATTTACTTGTATTACAGGTTGACTTTGGTCGGAAATATAAAGATAATGCTGAGACCGAGAAACGTCGCAATATTTTTTGTGAAAACTGGCAAAAAATTCAGGACCACAATAGGCAACATGAATTAGGACTGCATTCTTTTAAGAAGGGTATCAATCAATTTAGTGATCTTACCTTTGAGGAGTGGAAGGACAAACAACCTACTTTCCCTCCAGATTTGTTTGATGATGAATCCACTACAAAAGCAACTAAGGGTGAACAACCAAGGATGAAATGCCAGGAAGCTTGGGAAAAGTTTTTGGTAAGATAAGAAAAAATGTTTAAAAAAGGTTAACTAACTTAAGTGAACTGCAGGGTGACTTTCAACCAAAATATAAAGATGATACTGAGACCAAGAATCGTTACAATATTTTTTGCGAGAACTGGCAAAAAATTCAGGATCACAACAAGCAACACGAATTAGGACTGCATTCTTTTAAGAAGGGTATCAATCAATTTAGTGATCTTACCTTTGAGGAGTGGAAGGACAAACAACCTACTTTCCCTCCAGATTTGTTTGATGATGAATCCACTACACAAGCAACTAAGGTGGAACAACCAAAGATGAAATGCCAGGATGCTTGGGAAAAGTTTTTGGTAAGATAAGAAAAAAAGTTTAAAAAAATTTTAATTTACTTGTATTACAGGTTGACTTTGGTCGGAAATATAAAGATAGTGCTGAGACCGAGAAACGTCGCAATATCTTTTGTGAAAACTGGCAAAAAATTCAGGACCACAATAGGCAACACGAATTAGGACTGGATTCTTTCAAGAAGGGTATCAATCAGTTTAGTGATCTTACCTTTGAGGAATGGAAGAATAAGCAACGACATTACTGATTAGATATGCAGAACTTATATCAACCCAAAAAAGCACTTTAACAAAACCCACCTTTAATATATATTCTGATAAAGTTGAAAAATAACCCAAGGAAACGGCTTGACTGATTGTGGGTTGGTTTTTAAAAATATGTATTTATATTTATTTGAGGGGTTTCCAGTACAGAATCTTGTTGAGGAGTTTCTCTGTTACAATAGTGTTCGCAAATGTTCAAGCCGATTTTGGGCTGGGTTCGCTATTTTGCTTGATCTTATTAGATTTTGAAATGAGTAAATTTGTTGTTTTTTTATTTTTCTACCATTTTAACGCACACGAATTCTACATGATTAATTTATATTTGTATATTTTCTGAGATCCCTATCTCCTTGTTGCATTTAACAGGGCGCTTCGCATTACACACAATTCGTAAATATATATAATATATGTATATGTATATAGTATTTAATTTAACAAATACATTTGTAGGTTATCGCAAGTTGCTGCACTAAGTGAACGTTTATGTAATCAATATGTTTACATTCATTGATATTTGAGTATATCGAAGGAGCTGCCGCACCCATTTTTCTCTTTAGCTTTGGGTGAGAAGGCCCCTTTACAATGCATAATGGGTATTGTACACATAAGTATATTTCCATTGGTTTGGGTATTTATAGTTACTATACAAATCTTTGGTAGGGAGGGGCAACAACAAGCCTTGAACAAGCCCTATACCATTATCAGCGTGATTGCGAACCATAACTAGTAATATTCCTGCAGTAATCTCCCCGAATACTGATACCCTCACAACGACTCTACGGTTTAAAGATCCCTTACTCTTTAGAATTTACATATTGTTTTGGCGTTTATTGTTGTGGTTGCTATTGCTGCTCATCGTCTAACCAAGCTTCGACCCTGGCCGCAGGTCTATTTAGTGGGGCTCTCCAGATGGATATTGGATATGTGGTTTGAGCAGTGGTCGATCTGTCTATCTGTCCTTGCGGTGGCCGAATTGCTTCATGTTGCGTCAACTATTTGCACTGCACGTGTGTAAATTTATCTAAAAAACTTCATGTATCCCTCTGTTGCAAGCTATTGCCATCGTTAACAAGCTGATCGGGGGGACCAGGGTCTGGCACGAATCGAAATCATACATTTATGTTAGTACGTACACGTAATCACTAAATAACTAACAACGTTGAAAGCGCGGGTAGCATGTATACACGGGGATACATAACTAGTTGTATATCTGTATAATATATTGCAACAAATTTCCACTACAAAAAACGGCGCACTCAACTTAAAGGGCTAGCTTACAACTCCGGACATACGCATTCCCAATTTCCGGTGTATAGTATATCCCCTGAATCTTCCGGTAGCTAAAGCCAGTGCGTGGATTGGTTTCTTTCTGCCAGCTGCTGTCTTGCCTTGCATTAATTGTTATTGTTTCGGTTACTCTTGTTATATGTTCGACATCGGTGTATATGGTAAAGCCAACTTGTGTGTTTGCTGTTTAGTCGTGTTAAACCTTTGCCAGTTGCACTACAAAATCGAAGTGAGTGTGTGCGGACAACGGAGGAGCAAGTGTGGAAATTCCTTAGTAGGTGGGCTGCTGGTACTCCATTCCGGATTGCTGCTGCTCCATGCCTCCTGTGCAAAAAATTAAGACGAATAATGACTTTAATTATGTTCTTTTAAATGCACCCCAACTCTTTTTTGACTGGGAAAATCATAAATAACTTTTAAAACCTAACTATGCAATAGTTTAATAAGTGCTTCGATCATCATTTATTTATACAATTATTGTTCTGGAAATTTCCATGATTATTAATTATAAAAAAAATCGTTATCTGCTGTCATTATTCTCCATTTAATCTCTACGAATGCATTAATTAAATAAGTTATTGGAGGAAACCCCCAGAGATTCTATTTCTCAAAAACAAAATTTCCTTATACATGTATTTAAGTATTAAATATTTCAATACCAAATAATATCATCTTTCTTAATACTCTTTCACAGGAAAACAACTTTGTTTAGTGAAACAGAAACCACTGATATGTAATTTCTCAGAAAGTTCTGAGCTTAAAATACAATCAGTATGGAGTTAATTATCTCGTTTTAAAATGAATAAACATTTCTAGTTCTTTAAATAAACTTAATTCGAAATAATAATAAGCTGTAGTCTTACCCTGCTGAGGTTGGCCAAATGGAGAGGCGCTGTACTGATCGTTGTCGTTATCCATGGAGTATCCGTAGGCCTGCTGGTGAACCACGTTGGCCGGGTCCGTTTCGAAGGCCGAGGTGAACTCATCGCCGGCGCCGATCAGGAAACGCTTGTAGGCCATCAGAGCGCAGAGAGCCTAATACATAGTAAGGGAATTCATAATAACTATGTTTTAGAGACAGAACAAAGACCGAAGTCCACCCACCCAGCTGACAATCGAGAAGAGGCAGAACCAAATGGCGGTCTTCATGCTGCCAGCTCCGATTCCCAGTGGCGGTGGGGGCGACGAGCTCCATTGGGACCACAAGTAGAGGAAGGCCACGAAGTACATGAAGGTCCAGAAGGCTGCAAAGAGGGGATTGACATTAGAAATGGGTCGTCGCTATCAGTGGAATGGAATGCAGTGCTGAGCTCACCCGAGAAACCCATGTCGGCCATGACGTAACGCTTTCTGCTCTTCACCGACGACATCCGTTCGAACAGGAACTCGCCGCCCATAAAACCCATGGAGGCCAGGAACCCGAAGACGCCCACCATGTTGCCGTACTTGCAGGCCATGCCGTCGCCATTATAAAGACAATACTCCTTGCCGTCCTTCTCCGTCCAGCCCTCCGAGGATATGCAGCCGAAGACCACGACCGAAAAGAGCTGGAAAATCCATTAAAATCCTTATGAGTTGGGGTATACATTGAGATTTAATAGTGTCGCATATATATTAAGAATATTATAGTTAAGCAGGAATATTTAACCCATTTTTCAGTTAAGCCGCGCCAATAATATAATAAATACAACTATTGCAATGAATTCAAATGCAGACCAAATCAACCCATTTAAAGCCACAAACATTGTATTTGGCTTCAATTAATTTTCCTTCCTAGTTTCAGAAAAAATCATGATGGTTTCTCAGTCATGTTACGTAGTAATAGATAACGGGATACAGAACTCCCACTCCACTATTGATTTTCTTAAGCAGGTGCAACAAACCAGAAGTTCAAGTACACAGACATCCAGGCAGACATTTACTTATGTTTGTGACCCAATTTGCGAAATGAAGGCCAAGTTTAGTTTGTTTGGCCAGAAGGGCGGGAACGGCTCTGCAATCGCAGAAAAGAGTCCTTGGTCAACAGAGCGGGCAAATATTACGTATACACAAATGGAAAGTAAACAGGCGCCGAACCACCGCCCCCTCGGTTACAGCATTTTTCTTGCTTCGCTGGTGACGCACACCACGTTGGCTGGTAAAATAAAGTTCTAAGCCAAGTGGCCAATTGACCGAACACTTTACGGCATTTAATTATAAAGCTTTCATGGGCGTGAGAGTTTTTATAACCGCTCTGCAGCTGAACACTACATAACTTCCCCCCTTGTCAATGTAAATTCCCCAGCGCCCCTGCGCAACTGGGGTAAACAAATCGGAGAGACACTACTACTCGAGATATTAAAGTGCCAATGCGTTTATGTGGCGACATTCATGTATTTCTTATTTGCGGAATACACGTAAGAGATTTATGCAACATTTACGAGCACTCGAGGAAATCGTAAGAGGAAAATGGAACATAAAGGTCACATTTATAGCATCAATTTAAAGGCCATTTGTTGAAATTTTATACATGAACATAAAAAGAAATTGTTTCTCTGCTCTTCAACCTTTTACTTTTTTGTTTAAGTTTCTTTAAATTAAGAAAACAAATAATAAAAACTTGGGAATGGAAAAAACTATTTTAATTAAATGTAACAAAAATAAAGATAGGAATAAAAAAAACCTGAAATTTAAAATTTCACATATCGTTAAGTACAGTTGAGGGTATAAACGTCCAAGTAGGACTCTTATTCTAGGCAACTTCATGAATTATTTGTCGTGTAAACAGCGTGACAATTGGGTCGTGTGAGTCGCGTGTGCGTCCACAAATCGCAGCGATTCCCTGGGCGCAGCTTGTCCACATCCAAGCCGAAGCCCAAACTCACCCAGCAGAGAGCCCTGATGACAACTTGGGGCTTCATGGCGAACGTGAGCGGGTCGAAGGCTCCGCCAGCCTTCCCGCCCCCATAGGCGCCACCATTATTGATGCTGAGTATCTGGTTGAGCATGTCCATGGTGATAGTGGGTCTCCGAAACGCGGGCTTCTCGATTCGCTGGTGGTTCTCAGGGTTCCCCGAGCGTTTTCACTGACTGTTGTGAAAAATCGAACGCTTCTTGGGTCCGTGGGGCCAAGGGCAATGTGGGGGCGGTTCACCCACAACTGTGTGTGTATATATACCGTACGGGGTGTGTGGGTTGTTGGGCGCGCTCAAGTGCTTTCTCGCAAATTATGGATTACCGAACACAGAATGAAAAAATAACGTGAATATGTATATCTAGCACCACACGCTTTTCAAAATTCACTTTCCGTTAGCCGCGCTCACAAACAAAACTCCAAGTGGCTCGCTCGTGTTAATCAATGCATAATTGATGAACAATTTTCAAGGGCCTGATTTTCACTTTTACTTTTTGCCAGCTTCGCTCTCAACGGAATTTCGACTGTCAGCGCGCAGGACTCTTACCAAATATAAAAATGTGTCGGAACAAATGAAATGGAACCGCTTAGTCTACGACTCTGTTAAGCCTCCCTTAACAGAGTGCTGTTAAACGCAGCTAGTGTGGCCATCCTTGATTTTTAATTCAAATTTTGATTTCTATTTTGGGAAAGTACAACAAATTGTTCGTATTGGGGATATATAGAATTTATACTATGGCTGAGTTCCGCAAATTCAACGTTCGGAGTTGTTGTCAACCAAATTCATACAAGGAGATAGAAAACAAGATTCAAAAGTATTGTGCGCAAAATATGAAAAGTGGTTCAAACCAATCCACTTACCAGGTGAAAAAGGTATTAGCATAATGTAGATTTCAAAATAACTTTACAATATATTTAAAAAGCATTCTGTAAATTTTGTTTTTGGAAAAATAAACATAATGAAATAAACTAATTTACAAAATAAACTTAATAAATTTTTTAGAATTTCCAAAATGATATGGCTTACAAAGGGCAAAATTGGACTAAAAATAGAGATGAATATGCTTATGAAATTTGCTGTAATCGTAGAAAAAAAGACAAACCCAGTCCCAAGATGAAAACAAATCATGAGCGGATAGGAGATCAAGCCGTCCCATCTAAAAAGAAATTGCCTAACTATGACGCAACTTTAATAGCCCAAAGATCTCTGATTCCTCTTGCACAAAAACCCTCAGTTGTTATGAAAATAAAACCTAAATGGAGCGAAGAGTACGATACAAAACTACAGAAAGTAAATGAGGACAAAAAATTTGAAAAGCACAACATCATAAGGCAGAAAATGAAAATGGATACAAAGCCTGAAGGGATAGAAGATCAAACTGTCCCCTTTGAAAATGGAATACATCTCTATGACACTCCAACTTTAATAGCCCAAAGAACTCTGAGGCCTTTTGCCCAAAAACCCGTTTTCGTTAAGAAAATAAAACAAAATTGGGGCGAAGGGTACGAAAAAAAACTACAGGAAAAGGACGAGCCCCAATATATTGAAAATAAGAGCATTATGAGGCCGAGCAGGGATACACTATCGGAACCAAATAAAACAAGTCAAAATATGGAAATAAAGCCTGAAAGGATAGGAGATCAAGCTGTCCCCTTTGAAAAGAGAATGAAGCCTTATGAGACCCCAACTTTAATAGCCCAAAAATCTCTGTTGCCTCTTGCCCAAAAACCCGTTGTCGTTAAAAAAATAAAAACCATTCGGAGCAAAGAGTATGAAAAAAAACACCAGGAAGAAAACGAGGCCCAATATATTGGAACAAATAACATCATGATGCCGTACAGGCATAAGCAATCGGAACCAAAAATAGCAATTCAAAAGATGGAAGCAAAGCAGGAAAGAATAGGAGATCAAGCTGTCCCCTTTGAAAAGAGAATACATCTCTATAACACCCCAACTTTAATAGCCCAAAGATCTCTAACTCCACTTGCTCAAAAACCCGCAACTGTTGATAAAATAAAGCCCAAAACCCGCGAAGAGTATGAAAAAAAGCAAAACATCATAAGGCCGAAAATGATTAAAAACAAAGTTCAGACTACTGGTGGAAATGTGAAATTGAAACCAAAAGGAAATGAATCTTCTGGTTATCTCTTGACACCAGCTGAATATAAATCACATCAAGAAATTCTAAAAAAGAATCCATCTACAGTAAATGTAGAGCACAATTTGCTTGAGCAATTTTACAAGGATCAACACCATACAATAAATTGGAATACAATCAAGCGCTTAGAAACGGCATTTGGAAAATATACAAAATTTAGAGCAAAAATGAAAAGCCAGCATCCGGAACCATTTGGTCCGATGCTTCAAAAAGAAGGTTCTGTGGTTTCAGAATTTCATCCAACTCTTAAAAGCACATACGACTTACATAGCACTATTCCCAGCTCCATTATTTATGGCGACAATGTCTATACCTATCCTTTAATACAAAGTAAAAAACCAGCTCAATACACTAAAAGCTTTGATAAAATGCTTAGAAATAAAAACAAAAAAATTCCGGAACTTCATCCGCTTCTCAAGTCAAGTAATCGCTTGAAAGTTATAACATCAAAGGATAGTATTAAACTCCGGAAAAGAAAAACTACTAAAGTTGGAAGCAAATTTTCATGGTTATCTAGACATAAAATAAAGTATAGGCAAGGCCGCAGAACAAAACTTTTGAAAGATCTTATAAAATATAGTTTCGTCGCTAAACCGGAACTTCTTCCTGCTCTGAAAAGCAGAACGCAATTGATGGTTAGAAATAAAAAAAATGAAGGAGCAGGAAAAATGTTCGGAACAGATTTTGCAGGGCTTAAAAAGTCCCAGCTGAAAAAAGAAAAAGATCCAAATTATGGAACTCGTACTTCCGACACCAACGGGCATAAAAATGTGCCGAAGTCAAAAGGTTCGAAGAAAGGGCCAACAATGCTATTTCAGAAAATGTTGAAGGGCCAAGAAGCTGCTATGCCGGAACTCAAGCCGATTTTGAAGAGCAATTACCAATTAAAAGTAGATAAAAAACCCCCCTAGCAACAAGGACTCAATACCTTCTAGTTTTGAAAGTTTGTCCCATCGTTCTTCCAAAAGGATTTCTTCTCAACGAAATTCGGATGATTCACAACAATTTAAAAGAGACGAGATGGAAAAAGAACCAACGATTTTGAGACATTTTCCGAAACTACAAACGCTACAATTAGAAGTAGATAAAAAACCCCCTAGAATCAAGGACTCAATACCTTCAAGTTTTAAAAGATCCACCGATACGGAAAATCCATTGTCCCACCGCTCTTCTAAAAGGATTTCTTCTCAACGAAAATCGGACGATTCACAACAATTTAAGAGAGACAAGATGGAAAAAGAACCAACAATTTTGAGAAATTTTCCGAAACTAAAAATGCTAAAGACCAAAGACAAAAGATTAACAGAAAAATACTTACCAAAGCGAAGGTATACGAAAAAGGATCGACCCCAAAAGTTCAGATCTAGCACGTCCAGTGATATTGAACGAAACTCGGTAAGGTCCAATAGATCATCAAAATTTCGGCAATCGTTAGTTCCGGGCAGGAAAATTAACCTTAAGAAATTCTACTACTACATCAAGAACTCCATGCCGGATCGGAAGATATACAAACAGATGAAGTCGAAGGATACGATTCCCTACATGACTAGCGATCAAAGTATTTTCTACAACACTTCAGCTAGTCGAGTCGGATCGGAAAAAAAACAGCGAACTGGTGGATCGGTAGTCAGCTTGTCGGATATGGCCCGACACATGTTGTTGCAGCGGAAGATGGAGGAAAAAGTGGAGTCGGACTCAAGTGATATGGACGAAAACTTGTTTGACCCTATTCCAGAGGGATACGAAACACCAAATGGCACAACTATATCGATAAACGAGATTATAGCTAGAATTGCAAATGCGGATAGGACCAAAAATAAAAAGCACAAGTCCAAATCAAATGAAATCATGGAAGGAGTTGACCGACGTAGCCTGTTGACCATAAAGTCGGTCGGAAAGGAGATAAAGAGTCGGGAAAACGAAGCTTTAATGGATCAGAGTCTGCGAGATCAATGGCAACATGAGTTGTGCATGCAGGAACGGTCTCGTGTTCAGGCACTCATTCAAGAACTGATGAAGGATGTGATTATCCGCGAGGACTTTCGACCCCCGAAACCACCAAGAGATTTCGTTATGGAAAACATTCAAAATGTTGGGAATATGAAAGCATCGAAGAAATTATTGGCGGAGGAAAAGGTTAAACCACGATTGGCGTACCCTACCTTGAATGAAATATTGGCAGTTCCCGAGGACCCTTTGGTCTCCGAAGAGACTTACAACAAGTTCTTCCAGAAGTTGCCCGGCGACTTATCCTCCTTGCGATTGCAAACTCCGAAACCCATAAAAATACGTCGCTATTCCGAAGGATTACGGAAGAGACAACCGCAGAATGACGAATCTATATTTGATAAAACCGAGTTAGAGAACCACCATATTAAGTTAGATGAAAGGAGTAAATGTGACTGCTATCTCTGCAGTTTGCTTTCGAAAGGTGAGGTTCATTTTTATCAACCATAAATTCTAGTAACAATATTTCTTTCCTTAGACAAAAAAGAAGAAGACGCTGATTTCATACAGAAAGCAAAAATCCAAAATCATCGATGTGAGCTACGTTCTTATTACCAAAGAATATGTAAAAGGAAACTTGAGCAGGAGATATTTTGCTAACATTCTTATCTTAAGAGCTTAAAACTAATGTTTGGAACATATGACGGTTTTTAGTCCTATTAGAAGTACTTCTGTTTCAATCGGCCTGGCTTTGAACAATTAGCCATTTTTTTTAAATTTTGGGTTTTAATTTAACAAAATTTCCTTTCCGCGATGAATGTTTTGAGTGCTCTTAAGACCAAGAAGCTGAATTTGCAGAATACCTGCACTTCCTATTACGATTTTCTGACTTGTGGACATGATTGTTTGGATTCCTTGAACTGCCACACTCTGCAGCCGGATCCTCCTGCTCACGAGGAACCTGAAGGTATAGCCAGACGTGGATTGAAGTACTTCGATGTGAATGACAAAGCGACGGAGTGGTATTTGAAAACCAGAAAAGCCACATCTGAAAGGACGCCTTTTAAAAAGAAGATTTGCTTCCGTTTTCGAGTGCCCGTAAGGCATGCTTTACGTCGGAAAAACAAGGCGGCGACCTATTCCCTTCCAGGTCGAAGGGTATCCCCTGAATTTCTCTCTCTGCTGAAGCAGCACCACGCAAGACTGAAGGGTTTCGAGCACCTGCCTCGTAAGTACCTTTCCCTCAGGCCAAGTTTCTCCTATTACAAGTACGACGCGTTGGCCAAAAGACGCCACATGCGTTTTGGAATCGAAACGGCGGCTCCTTTGGAATTTCCGTGTACCAATATAAACTGTAAACGTCATTTTAAGCCAAGCCCCTGTCCCCAAAAAGAAAATGTCCGGCCTTCCAGTCAGGACGATTCAACATCACAAGCCAAACCAAAGCGCATAAGCTTGTTTACAAGCAATAAAAGTAGTTCTGGGAAAAGGCGAAGTTATTCACTAGTTTCAGAAGAGCAACATGACGATTACCTCCTGCTAGATAATAATCAGCAAGAAAAAAGGAGTACACTGCATGGAATATATGCCAGTAATCATTCGTTACTTCCGTCTGTGGCTTCCAAATCTCAGTACAGTTTAAAGCCCGCAAGTCAACCAAATCATATTATTGCTTCTAGATCTCAGAGCAATTTAAAACCAATGGAAAAAATTATGACTTGTCCTTGCCCTATTGATCTGCCCAAATGGTTGCCCAGATCCTGCAATCTAACCATCTTTCCCAATAAAAATGTGAAATTCAAAAAGGATCGAGATCCACGAAGCATTGAGTACGAAAATCGTCCTTTCTTTAAGGCAATCGAAGGAAATAAATGTGTATGCGGGGCTGCAAATAAAAAGCCAAGGAGCTGCAGCAAAAGTTACCAAGAGAATGAATTCTGTAGTTACCCAAGTCAAGATGACTGTAAGATTCAACCAGAAACTCCTGAGAACACCTTCTACACATCCATCTCCAGTCATCGATCATTATGTGTAGTAAAATCTGAACGACCCAAAATCTATGATCAAAGCGATATAGAAATGCCTCCAAACCGAAAAGAAGTTTCCACCGGTTACAAAGGATTTGTACATCGCTCTGAGAATCAAAAGATAATAGATCAAACTGGAGGTCCAATCCGGAAATGCAAAAGGAAGAAGCCACCGCCGTATTGTTACCTCTGGTCCGCAGTCGATCCGGATATTCGAGGCTCAGAGAAGCAACGTCTGGCGAAGCACAAGTGCCACCAGCGAAAACTCTTCCCAGAAAGTAAACCTTACTCCTACTTTTGGTCCAAAACGTGTCCAGATGTAAGAAAACAAGCAAAACGGAGATTAAGGGAGAGCGATACAGAAAGTCCGATTTCCCAAATTCGGTTTCAGATACCCAACAATAATAATTCACATCAGAAAGAGGAAACATGCTCCTGCAGCAGAGCTTCAGCTAATCATTTTGATGAGCAACACAGTCGCCGATCTTTTTTATATAACTATTCAAATTCGGATACTAGTAATCGAAAGAAACAGCTTACAGAAAGCTCGGTAGTCTGGGAGGATGAAGTGCATCCAACACCAAAAAGAAATCACAAGTGTTCAAGAATGTTTTTCAGCAAGTTAAACAGAGACTCAGATACACATGTCCATAAAAAGCCACGCCTGCTGCCCAAACTACATGCGTTTGCCAAGCGATTTTTCTCGACGAGTCCTAAAGCGCTCCATTTCAAGTCCAATCAATCAGGTAGCGAAAGACCAATGAACAGTGCCCTATCCGAAGAATCTAGTGCAGGTATTTCTAAAAGATTAGAAACTTCCTTTAATGCCAGAGAAAGGTGCAAAGATGAAGAAGTTCACAGAAATATCCCGTCTGGAATTCAAAGTTTGCGAGGTCCAAGAGATCTTAAAATTTGGACAAAACATAGCTCCAGTTTTGAGTATCGGGAATCTAACTCAAAAAGACAGCGAAAACCAAAACGGCTCACCAAATCGTCAAACTTCTTTGGTTCCGAAAGGTTTACATATAAAAGAAGAGATTCTAGGAGCAACTCCTGTTCAGAGCAACCATCCTGTTCCAGAGGGCCTTCAAAATTCAAGAACTACCAAAGATCGCCGACAAGAAAAACAAGCCGATGCGAGAGAAGTGTTTCATGTGACAGTTGCAGCAGCACGTTTAGTGGTCAATCTATACGTCATGATCCAACGCAGCAGTATTCCTGCCAAGTTCCTCAACCGAGGGTATCCCGTGCTCAGCGAGAATGGGAGGAGGAGAAACAAAAAAGGGCTATAAAACAAAGATATTTATGCAGACCGTGCACTGATTATTTGCTCACCTCACATCGAACGGAGCCACGATATCCGGACATACGTCGAGGAATCATCACATATCAGAACTATGAACTCTCCGCCCATCAAAGTGATTCTGGCTTGAATCCATCAAAAGGCAATCGGTGCCAGCTCGCACAATATTGTCCGAAGCACAAAAATTTAAAACATATCTCTAGATCACGAAGTCGCCGACATTATGTTCAATGTTGCGATGATTCCGATGCTTCTGGGCACAGCAAAAGTTTTTCAGGTTCGTCAAGAATGCGAGGAGGAATAGATTTTTCTTCTCGAAGTCCTCGTTACACTGGGCACAGATTTCCAACCAGCTTGTCTTCGAAAATCGGGGGAATCAAGAAAACTTCTTACACAAGGTTATCAAAGTCGCCCAAGCACTTGTTCTGCTTCGACTAGGAGCAGACAAGAGGAGCTTGCTGCCCGACTGTCAGGTGAAGTATCAACTTTTTACAGGCTTGAAATTTCATCTGACAGCCGGGCTAGCAAGCTTCACATGAATACTTTAAAACTATTGTACATTTAACGTTTTCAAATTATCACGAATAAAGTTTTAATTGCGTACAAACAACAGATTTTGTTACGAAAATATAAATGCAATGCTGGCTGGGTTGGATCTGGCTTTCAATCCGACCTTACTCATTGGTGAACTTGGCGGGGCGCTTCTCGGCAAAGGCAGTCATGCCCTCCTTACGATCAGCCTAAGAAAAACAAAGAGATTAGATAGTGTATTATAAAAACTTAAGCAAGAACTTACCGTGGAGAAGGTGGCATGGAAGGTGCGACGCTCGAACTTCAGACCCTCCTGGAGCGTGGTCTCGTATGCCGTGTTCACAGCCTCCTTGCACAGCTGCACAATCAGGTTCGAGTGGGTGCCGATTTTCTCGCCCAGCTTGACGGCCTCACCCAACAACTGGTCGGCGGGCACCACCTTGCTGGCCAGACCCAGCTTCTCGGCTTCCTGAGCGCCGATCATGTTGCCGGTCAGGCACATCTCCATGGCCTTGGACTTGCCAACAACGCGGGTCAAGCGCTGGGTGCCACCGGCTCCGGGAATGGTGCCCAGGGCAATCTCTGGCTGACCAAACTTGGCCTTATCGCCAGCGTAGATGATGTCGCACATCATGGCCAACTCACAGCCACCGCCCAAGGCGTAACCATTCACGGCGGCAATGATGGGCTTCTGGGTGCGGGCCACTTCAGTCCAGTCGTTCAAGAAGTTTCCCTGAATGCACTGCGAGTAGGTGTTGCCCACCATCTCCTTAATATCAGCTCCAGCGGCAAAGGCCTTCTCGCTACCGGTCAAAACAATGGCGGCGATGCTTTGATCCTTGCCAAACTGCTGCAGCGCGGTGGACAACTCCTTCATCAGGCCATTGCAGAGGGCATTCAATGCCTTGGGCCGATTCAGGGTAATCACGGCCACGTTCTTTCCCTCGCCGGCCACTTCGGTCTTAATATACTCCCAGTTGTTGGTGGCTAAAGTACAAAAAAAGAGATAGCATTATGAGGTGATCGTGTGTGAATATTACGCAACCAATGTTTGGCTGGAAAAGTACCAAGTTCTCAGTGGAAACCGGCACTCGATATCTTGATATTCCAGCTTCAGGTGGAGCTGGTCACCAATCGCTTGGACTTTGATCTCCCTGGAATTCCTTATATACTTACAGGAGCTGCTGAAGCGGACAGCAACCTGTGGCTGACGGGCGGCCGCCTGCAGGACATTCTGGGCACGGGTAGCAAAGATCTTAGCGATGTTGGCCATTTTCAAGAAGGACTATTAGCCGGCTGCAAGTAAAATTCGTTATCTAATCGTCGAGAGAATATAATCTGGAGGCGCTTCAATGCGGGAACTTACGCTGCGGAGCACTGGAGCAATATTGGCGCTCTCGACGATAAAGTGTGGACGTGTTCTGTCGATGAAAAAACGGCAGTCTTCCCAGTCACAGTTTAGTCACTGCAACAAGTGGTTGTCACTGTTTTTTCTTTTTTGAAATCTTACTATTTCCAAAAAAATTAAAACAAATAAGTTCTTGGGAGTAAAAACCCTTATATTAATTTCATTTATTAAACTATTTTTTCATTGTTCTCTTTGCTTGTATTTGTGCATATTTTACTTTGTTTTTCAATGTGAGTATGCTTATATGTTAGTACGAATAAAGTGCTTTAGCTTATAATCGAACAAATTAATTATAAAGAAAAACGTAAAAGGTTAGTTGAGTACAAGTATAAATACAGCTCGCGAGGGTTGGCCGGAAACAAAAAACTGCAAATACTTGAAGTAAACTTAAGTAACAAGTCAAATGCTTTCCAACAAGGAAAGTCTGGTTATTTTTTGTGGGCAGATGCCGGCGGTGTGCCATAGAACTTTCGTTTCTTTATGGTGCCGCCTTTGAAGGGAGTTGCTGCAAGGAAGATAATTAGATTAGATTAGATATATACTCCTAATGGGGTGCCACTTACCATATAGGGACAGAAGGTCATTTTTGTTGCTGGGTACCCGTTTAATAACTGTCGCCGGGGTTCGAGTAGAATCAATGACAATATACTGCTCCCAAAAGGAAGCTGGCAGCTCGAGCAGCGCCTTCATCACCTGCTTCTGAGTGAAGACCTCCGTGTATATAGCATGCTGATCGGGATCTGGCGTTGAGTAGCCCACAATTGTGGGCCCAAAGATAAGAGAGATGTTGTCGATTGGCATCAACACCACGGGGCACTGAGCAATTCGCTGGAAGTGCAAAATGAGGAAGGCCAGAGTATCCCGATTGGCCTGCGGCAGCTGCTTCACCGACTTGTACAGCATTTCTTGGGCCATATTGGTATCGGGATTTTGCACAGCGTTGGCGAAATCCTTCCACTGGCTGGTCGGAATAAGAGGTTCTGTGAGTGATCTTAGAAAATCCTTCACACAGCAGCACAGCACATAAATGTCCGTGTTGCCGAGATGCGGAGTGGCCTTGCCACGCAAAAATTGCTCCTTAAGCGCCTTGTACTCCCGTTCCGACGAGGACAACCGATAGAGGCCCACCTCGGTTAGGCCACGGGCCTCGATCTCGTTGACACAGTGCACAACAAGGGCCGGAATCATGGGTGCAATGGACGGAGCAAAGTCGGAAACGTAACCAGTCATGGCCTTTGTAGTTGGCGTTCCCGTCTGTGGCACACAGCTGACAGTAAGTAGATACCGGCAATCAATGTGACAGCGAACCGGGCAATCCCGACATCTCAAGCCAACGGCTCCAAACCGAATGCTGGATGAAGGTAAAATATTAAGAAAATGAAAATGAATCCCGTTCTGTACTCTTACCGTTTTTGACACTGCACGCAATTGTCGCCGCGCAAGAACGTCTTCTGGCTGAAGGTATGCTGTCTCATCAGCGGACGGTGCTGCAGAGGAGTTCCCGACTCGGCGGCCACATGTGGTGCCATCGCATTTACTGGCGTCAACGGTGGAGCTGTGGCTTCCTTTAGAACCGATCGACGTGGTGTCGAAGACAGACCCTCACCAATCCTCTCGTTTCCACCAATCACCGGCAGCGACTCAATGGTCGACTCTGCCCTGATCACACCCTGCCCGTCCTGGGGTATTGTTACCTTGGTGGTGGCACAAAAGCGCTCAGCGCCCTGAGCCACGTCTACTGTGTGCTGCTCCACTCCGACGCCGACGCCAGAGCGCCGCGACTTTGTAGTAGTTGGCGTATTCCCCGACATACTACCATTGAGACCGGTACTCAGGCGCGATCTCTTGTTTCCCACGGAAGGAATTTGGTTCTTGGGCAGAGAGGGTCGATGCTCCCGCCAGGATTTCGATGTTCGCACATCGAGGAAGTCGTCCTCAGAGTGTGTGATAGATAAGTCAGACAGCAGCGAACCGGTGGAGTTGATGTCACCGTAAGATTTGTCTTCCCGAACGGCGTTCAGGGACTTGCGTTTCCTTGAGGAGGGCAGCGTGTGCAGAAAGGCCAGCTTGTCGCGGGTCTCATTGTTCAGATTGCGTTCGTGGCGCAGGAGATCCGCCACAGCCATTATCTTTCCCTCCATGGCGTCACGTTCATGCTCCGCCTGCCGACGCGCCTTTATCTCCATGTCAATGATGCGACGGGCATGGAAAAGCTTTCCCTCCAAGTCCCCCATCTTGGTCAGCGATTTGTCCAGCTCATTTTGTATCCTAGCCGTTTCGGCCGCATAGCCAGCGCACTTTTCGTGGTACTGCTCAAACATTCGCAGGAACCGCAAGAACTCTGCATTTCAAAAGCGATTGTAAGGATTCAGTCGTGCTGGTTATGATTTCTTGTTACTCACCCTCCTCCGCTGTTCCATCGGTCAGCACTTGCATGCAGCGCCGCAGATCATCAAAGGACGCCAAGGCAGAGAGCGCCATTTTCGGTTTGTTCCTGGTACTTGTAGATTTGTTTTTGTCTACAGGGACCGCCTGCGCACTAGATGCCTTGATTCGACGCAAATTTAAAACGAAAATCTGTTTTATCTTCACAAGAAACCAGTTGAAAACAGAACACGCTGCAAAGGACGCGCTGTTTTTTCAAGTTCCGTTGTTTTCAAATTGACGCCATGCAGCAGTGTGACCGCATGGTCTTAAAGTATGGTTTTCAACTAGACAGAAAATATCGATATGAAATAATAGAAATGTTAAGGGCATCCTTATACATAAGTCAATTATGAACTCTTGAAATTTTAACCAGCAGTCAATTAATGAAATTACTCAGCGAAAATCATGAGTTGACTGCTTTATTTCTAAAGAAATTCTATTAAACGATAGCTTTGCAAATAACAAACTGTCGTCTCTAATTCTTAACACCTTCTTCTTGACCAGTGTTGCAAAACGAATAGCAGTTTGATTTGTGTCGAGCTCAAAAATGTCTGTGCACTCACCCAATCCCGCCCTGATCCTGCAGAGCAAGCGCTTCAATGGACTACGCAACATTCTGGAACGCGAGGGTCCCTTCTGCAAGGACGATTTCTCGGCATCGCCGGACAACCTGGAGTTCCTGCAGACCAAGTGCCAAGTCCTGATCATCGGAGCCGGCGGTCTGGGATGCGAACTGCTAAAGGATTTGGCTCTGATGGGATTTGGCAATCTGCACGTCATCGATATGGACACCATCGAGCTGTCCAACTTGAACCGGCAGTTCCTTTTCCGTCGCTCAGACATTGGCGCCTCGAAGGCGGAGTGTGCAGCGCGCTTCATCAACGGTCGAGTACCAACTTGCCGGGTGACGCCTCACTTTAAGAAGATCCAGGACTTCGACGAGACATTCTACCAGCAGTTTCACCTAGTTGTATGTGGCCTGGATTCGATCGTGGCCCGTCGCTGGATCAATGGCATGCTCCTCTCAATGCTGCGTTACGAAGAAGATGGAACCATAGATGCCAGCTCTATAATACCAATGATTGATGGCGGCACCGAAGGTTTCAAGGGCAATGCCCGTGTCATCTTGCCTGGCTTTACGGCATGCATTGAGTGCACCTTGGACTTATTTCCGCCGCAGGTCAACTATCCCCTGTGTACCATTGCCAATACTCCCCGACTGCCTGAGCATTGCATTGAGTACGTAAAGATCATACAGTGGGAGAAACAGAGCCCATTTGGAGTGCCCCTGGATGGCGACGATCCACAGCACATTGGATGGGTTTACGAAAGGGCTTTGGAGCGTGCCAACGAGTTTAACATCACCGGAGTGACATATCGGTTGGTTCAGGGAGTTGTGAAGCATATAATCCCCGCTGTGGCCAGTACAAATGCAGCCATAGCTGCTGCATGTGCTTTGGAGATCTTTAAGTTGGCCACCAGCTGCTACGACAGCATGGCCAACTACTTTAACTTTAACGATCTCGATGGAATCTATACGTACACCTACGAGGCTGAAAAGTCGGAGACCTGCTTGGCCTGCAGTAACACGCCACAATTGCTGCCCATCGAGGATCCAAACACCACCACACTGGAGGATGTGATCAAGCTGCTTTGCGACTCGCCGCGCTTCCAGCTTAAAAACCCAGCTCTCACCACTGTGATGAAGAACGGCAAGCAGAGAACTCTTTACATGTCCACAGTAAAGAGCATTGAAGCGGCCACCCGGAAGAACCTGACGCAATCGCTGGGCGAACTGGGTCTGCAGGACGGACAGCAGCTGACAGTCACCGATGTCACGTCGCCCTCCGCCATGACCCTGCAGCTTAAGTATCAGTCTAACGAGGTGGAAATGGTCTGAGTTGTATCACAGTAGATAACAATTTAATTATCCAATATATGTACATACAAATAAAGGCTTAGCCTCTCATGTTGCGCATCTAAGTGCTCATATCAAGGATGTATTTCTTGCCGGTGAATCCCTTGAAGCTCAGGGCAGCGGCAGCGGCGTCTTTGAAGTTATTTAAGGGCACCATCTCATGGGTAGGGGCAACAAACTTTCCCTGCTCCATCAGCTCAAAAATTTCCTTAAACATTTTCGAGCGTTCTGGGGAGCTATAATTTTCTTTAGACCACCGAGTCATCCAGAAGCCTCTAAATGCAATGTCCTTGAAGATGAGGGGTCCAGTTGCCACGGTAACAGGCTCACGAGACATGCCTCCATAAGTGACCAACACGCCAGCGTTGTCCAGATGACGAGACACCTCCGTTGCACTCTTTCCACCCACACAGTTAAAGGCCAGGCGAGGCTTCTTTAACTTGCCCGACTTAAAGATGTCGCTGGTGCGAATCTCGGCCTCGGTCAGTACCTCAGTGGCGCCCAGGCACTGCAGCATCTGCTTGAGATCAGCAATCTCCGGCCGATCGCGAACGATTCCCACACTATTGATGCCCCAGGCTCGGCACAATTGATGCACTGCCTGGCCGACTGCGCTGTTGGCTCCATTCTGGATAACCGTGTCTCCCGGACAAAGCTGCACAAAGTCCTTGAGCATGCGGTAGGCGGTGGTGGGGTTCACCGTCGAAGTGGCAGCTTCCGCTAAACCAACTTTCTTGGACACAGCCATCAATTGATCTTCCTTATAGACGGCGTGTGTAGTCCAGGTGCCGAGACCGGTTGCCAATGGAATAACATGCTGTCCTGGCTCCAAGCCCTTAACATTTTCTCCCACACAGATAACCTCCGCAACACACTCGTTGCCGCCAACGGCTGGAAACTTAGGCTTCACCGGGTATTTACCTGTGTGGAATAAAGGAATTTTAACAACTTCGTAAATAAAAGATAGCACTGCAGTTGAAATCCGGTTGCCGCATTAGGTCTATGCGTTATTTACGTTTTATAATATATATTTTGTATCTATAATAGTTTCAGTTTACCCTGAATGGTGTTGATGTCGGCCGGGTTAATGGGAGCCGCTAGAATCTTCACCAGCACTTGTTTGTCCTTGGGATCTGGAAGATTGTCTTCCACCAGCTGCAACACATCTTGTGGCTCGCCGTGTTGTGTGTACTTTAGGGATTTGGCTACCACCGACATATGCCGACTCCAAAGGGCGTGGCGTACTCCAGATAAAAACCCTCGACGCAACATTTATTCTATTAATTAGAATTCCTAATTTCTAAAATATTTTGTATGGAAATATGTTATGCAGGTCGGTGTGACCATACCAGTCAGTAAGCTTCCATAATGTTAAAAATATATTTCGGTAATTTTGCAAATGCGTTTTTGGTATTTTAGGCAAAGTAGTAAACGGCCGCCGTGTTTTCGCTAAATTTCAGGTGTCTCAAATCGATTTTTTAAACAAAACCTCAAGAAATACTCAAATTCTTAAATAACTCCTGTCGAAATGGACGCGTAAGTAAACAAAAGAGCTTACTGATAGCTGTTTTTTTATGGACTGGAGATTTTTTCAGTTTACAAGACGAAGTGGAGTCCCTGGAAGCCATCCTAATGGAGGATGTTTGTATCAAACGCACGCCCAGGTTTGTGATACGATACCTTGCACATGTTTATGATACTAAATTTAAGACTTGAATTCCCCAAAAAGCGGCGAGGTGGAGCAGATCGAGACAACAGTGTTGCCCTTGACCGGTGAGGAGGAAGAGCAGCAATACGTTTGCGTCACCTTGCAGGTTCACCCGACACCAGGATATCCGGAAGAGAGTCCCACATTCAAGTTACTTCGTCCACGAGGATTAGACGATGCCCGACTGGAGGCTATCCGGAGCGCCTGCAATGCCAAGATAAAGGATTCACTGGGTTTTCCGGTCGTCTTTGACCTTATTGAGGTAGTGCGGGAGCACCTGACTGGCAGCAATCTGCCCAGTGGCCAATGCGTCGTCTGTCTGTATGGATTTGCCGACGGGGACGAGTTCACCCGCACCGAGTGCTTCCACTATCTGCACAGCTACTGTCTGGCTCGTCATTTGAACGCACTGCGCCGCAACTATCAGGAGGAGTTCGACAAATTGCCCGCCTGGCTGCAAAAGACAGCCGATCCCTTTCAGGCATTGTGTCCTGTTTGTCGAGAGCACATTGGCGACGAGACCGACAGCCTTAAGTGTGCTATGCCGCCGTCAGAGCTGCTTAATGCACCGGAGTTCAAGGTGACCGAAGAGCTGCGTCAGATGCAGCAACGCATGTCAGAGCTGTATTTGCAGCAGAAGAGTCGCGGCGCCATAATTGATGTGAAGGCCGAGGGATCGGGCGTGATTTCCATCGAAACTGAGGAGGACATCAGGCGAAGGCGGCGTCGCGAGGAGGCCGAGGCAGCCAAAAAGCTGGAGGGACCAGCCAAAGATGAGCCCCTCAAGCCCACTACTAGCTCCACATTTGCGCCTGTGGTGCAGGAGACCCAGCGCATAATGCCGGAGCCGACCAACAACAACTATCATCACAATCGGCGACACTATCGCGGCGGCAGGCGCCACCATCATCACCATCAGCATGGCCACCATCATCGCGCCGAAAGGGATCGCGAACAAAACGCAGCAGCTGCTCCCGCCAATGCTGGCGGCTCGACATCGAATTCAACTGGCAACGGCAAGCAGGCAAAGGCCCAGTCAGCCAGCTCCGGGCTTGCCAGGTGACGATGGCTTCCAGAAGAGATGGGGATCCGGATACCCATTGCGTTGCCATGCTGCTAATACACAATGAAGCACCATCCCAAACGGCCCAGGTTTAGTTTTGTGAGGCGCACTCGTTTCTGTGAATTCTTATGTTCGTACGTTCGTATATATTTATGTTTAGTTAGCTTTAGTGAGCCGGGTTAGCTAATTTCGATTACATTAATGATGATATTTAGTTGTACCTTAACTATAATGATATTTGTAATGTTTTACAAAAGACTTGCGGCACCATGCCAAGCCGATATTATTAGGGCCCTTGAAAGCTAGCGCGTAAAACAGCATGTATTTAGCAGCACCAACTGGCAGCGCAGGCGTTGACGAGATTACACCATAAGCATTGTGAAGAACTAAGAAGACGACGGTATCGATATTCACTTACGTATAATCTGCAACTGCACTTCGAACTTTAGTATAAATAATTCTCTCTCTGGCAGCCTATAGCACAAAGAAAAGTAGTCGACGATTTGAGTTGGAGCGGCATTTCTAGTCAGTGAATGGAGGTCGGAAGGCAGCTGAGGTGAAACAACCCGATACAGGGCATCTGCATTAGCATGTATGCACACATATTTAAATATCACAATTAATTGAGTGTTTGTAGGCAACAAAGTAGAGATCCGCACGGATCGACCAAGGTATTATATCGAAAATTCAATTTCAATGTGTCAAATAAATACTACGATTGAGAACTTAAATGAATAAATCAAAATCGGAAATCACTAAGATGTTGTCGATTTGTTTTAATTCTTCTCTTTTTTTTACAAACTTTTAATAAGGGTCAAGGGTATATTTACGTTTTTGAATAGAACCGCCACGGAACTAAGAACTAGTTCATTTTGCAACTTCGCTGGTTAATAGAACCAATACCTCAATCAGCTGTTTTTTGTGTTACTTATTGCTTTTGATACAACTAAACAGCTTGTTGATTTGTCTTAATACCGCTTTTTTTTGGGACTGATAATGTCCGATCCGGAACTCAAACCCCCTGCCAGTAACCAACCGCTGAGGCCACCTCAGGTGGTATCTCTAGCAGGATCCGCAGGTGGCCTCCAATTGCCCGTCACTGCGCCTCAAAAGCTGAATGGATCAGCTTCCTCCTCCGCTTCGGGTTCAGCCACAGGCAATCCCCGCAACAAGTGCGCTTTGAAGCCAGGCTATTCTTTGATGAGCTGGATACGATTGTGCAACTCCGGAGCGGATCTATCGGGTACCGGAGGACGTGTGGTGCCTGTTTCCCGGACCGAATTGGCTCTCCACAACAAGATCGGCGATGCCTGGATGGCCATTCGAGGTTGTGTTTTTAATGTCACTCGTTATATGGACTTTCATCCGGGTGGAGTTGATGAATTAATGCGAGGAGTTGGACGCGATGCCACCAAATTATTTGACGAGGTGCACGCCTGGGTTAACTATCCACAATTGCTCGGGAAATGCTACGTGGGCCCACTCAAAGAGAATGAGTCAAAACAATCCAAAGATAGTCCCCAGATTACCAATGTAATTTTAAAACCACCAGAGATTGTTCCGCGTTTTGATTGGATTCAGCAGAGGAGCGAACTCACCCTGATTTTTTACACCCGCAGCTTGATCAATCCGGGATTGCTAATCCGGCAAAAGGATTCACAACAGTTGGCAGTAAGAGTTTTGGTTCAGAACAACTGGCATTGCTTTGACTTTCAGCTAACGAATAAGGTAAAGTGGCCTCCAAAAGTGGCCAAAATCGGTGCGGAGACGGGGAAGATTGAAGTGGTTTTTGGCAAGGCAGAAGAGGAACCCTGGTCAACATACGGCACACATGTATCCAGCAAGCTTAGCTCCACCAGCATACAAGAGGAGTCTTACGACTATGAGGTGATTCTCCGTAACGATTTCAACCACGACTCCTTTGAATTGCAACTGAAAAGTGTTCAGCCAGTATTGATGCTCCTGCCAGTAGGTTACCATGTGGATATAGAAGTCCACCTGGATGGAGATATAATTCAGCGCAGCTATACACCTGTGGATGAGTTCTATTCGAATTTGGACAAGAAGACGCACTTGAATTCGGAATGCTTAAACTTTCTGATTAAAAGATATACCGATGGACCAGTTTCTAGTCACCTGCATCAGCTCCAAGTTGGTTCTCACATTCAATTAAGCCCACCACGGGGAAATTTCCAGCTTTCCGAACTAACTGCGCACAGGAACATACTTCTCTTGGCAGCAGGAAGCGGATTGACACCCATCTTAAGTTTAATTCAGCCCATTCTAAAAAGAAGCACAAATCGAATGTAAGTTTTTCATGATATATTTTTACCGGCATGTAGAATTTAAAACAATTTTTATCTCCACAGCGAAAGCTTAAAGCTGTTTTACTTTAACAAAACCACAGAAGACATCTGGCTGAAGGAAAAACTAGAGGAAATACACTTGAAGGATGAGCGATTTAGCTGCACAAATTTTCTGTCCCAGGCTGAGAGTAACCCACAAAGGATATCGCTGGAGCTACTAACTCCAATGTTCCAGAAAAAACAGCCGGACTGTTGTACTTACATAGCAATTTGTGGACCAAGTGGTTTTAACAACGCAGCAGTAGATATTTTGACACAGCTGGAGGTTAAGCCCAACCAATTGCACGTGTTTCGAGGCTAAATCATAATTGTTTTCTTTGCGCACTTAAACTTCATCTCTTTTATTTACTGTATAGCAAATGGTTTCGACTTTTGTTCTTTTTTATTGTTTTTACACGTTTTCGTTTCAATAATTTAATAAGTTTAACAAATACTAGAAAATTGTAGTTGGATTTGTTTTCATTTGCTTGTTAACAGGCTCTCAAGACTTTACTCGTTGTCTACTCACACACATTTTTCGCTTATGAAGAATTGCAAATAATCGACAACCGAAAAGTTACCAAATGGAGGGCAGCGTAAAAAAATAAATAGAAACATCAGATTTTGATATATAAAGAATATATAGGATGTAAAGTATAGCTGGGTTTAAATTGCATTGTAAGACGCCAGGGAACCGCTGCCGAATTCCGAGTCACCAGTTGGTAGCACATTGAAGCACATTCGCGCCTTGACAAAATTTTTTACTGGCTTCCACAAAGACGATTAAGTATACATCCGTAGGTGTGATTTGTGTGATGGTAGGGGGTGTGTATGCGGGTGTCCTGCAACTCCAGGAGTAGACTTAATAGGAGCGGATCGCCGGTGGCACCGTGGAGACCTCGTTGTCCAGCGTCGAGTCGATCACGTTTCTGTAGTCCAGCGTTATGTCACCATTGTCATTGCACACCCACGAGAGCGTGTGCTTGCGCCAATGCTGATCCATGGGCTTCTTCTGCTGACCTTCGATGGGTTTGCTGAAATCCTGCAAGACCAATAAATCGATTATTAAGTAGTTCAAGTGTTTGGACACATGAGAGACTTACGTATTCATCTTCGCGGACCTTGAAGTCCTCGCGAGCATGAGCACCACGCGATTCCTTGCGCGCCTCAGCGCTCACAATGGTCATCTGTGCGTTGGCCAGCAGGTTCTGCAGCTCCAGCGTCTCCACCAAATCGGAGTTCCAGATGAGCGACCTTTAAATACAAATGCGTTTTAAAGAATGCCGAAAAATAATAAATATTTATTACCCACCTATCGACGACCTTGATGTCCTTGAATTGCTTGTAGATCTCCTTCATCTTGTCAACGCCCTGCTTGAGAATGGGTCCATCGCGGAAGACAGCAGCGTGGTGCTGCATGGTCTTCTGCATCTTCAGGCGCAGATCGGCGGTTGTGATCGAGCCGTTGGCGTGGCGCAGCTTGTCCAGGTTGGCAACCGAAGCCTCACCAGCGTTTTCCTTGAGGGTGGGAGCCGGGGCACCGGGCTTGTTCAGCTCGGCGATAGTCTTGGCGCAGGCACGTCCGAAGACCACCAGATCCAGCAGGGAGTTGGCACCCAATCGGTTGGCACCGTGCACCGAGCTGGAAGCCGCCTCACCGGCGGCATAGAGTCCCGGCACTATCACATCCTTGCCATCCTTGTCAACAGTGATGACCTGGCCGCGGTAGTTGGTCGGGACACCGCCCATGTTGTAGTGCACTGTAGGCAGCACGGGGATGGGCTCGCGGGTCACATCCACGCCGGCGAAGATCATGGCCGTCTCGGAGATGCCGGGCAGGCGCTCGGCCAGTTGCTTGGGCGGCAGATGGTGCAGCTGCAGGTACACGTGATCCTTGTCGGGTCCAGCGCCGCGGCCCTCCATGATCTCAATGGTCATCGAGCGCGAGACGACGTCGCGAGAGGCCAGATCCTTGGCCACCGGGGCGTAGCGTTCCATGAAGCGCTCGCCGTTGCCGTTGATCAGGTAACCACCCTCTCCGCGGCATCCCTCGGTAATCAGACAACCAGCACCATAGATGCCAGTCGGGTGGAACTGCACGAACTCCAGATCCTGGGAGGGCAGACCCTGGCGGGCCACCATGGCGGTGCCGTCACCGGTGCACGTGTGCGCTGAGGTGCAGGAGAAGAAGGCGCGTCCATAGCCGCCGGTGGCGATGACCGTGTTCTGGGCGCGGAAACGATGCAGAGTGCCATCCTCCAGGTTGAGGGCCAGCACGCCGCGGCACTCGCCATCCTCGAAGATAAGATCCAGGGCAAAGTACTCCACGAAGTAGTTGCAGTCGTAGCTCAGGGATTGACCGTAGAGCGTGTGCAGCAGCGAGTGACCGGTACGATCGGCCACGGCACAACAGCGATGGGCCTGACCGCCCTTGCCAAACTTCAAGCTCTGACCTCCGAAGGCGCGCTGGTAGATCTTTCCGTCCTGGGTACGCGAGAATGGCATGCCGTAGTTTTCCAGCTCAATGACTGCCTTGGGCGCCTCACGAGTCATGTAGTGGATGGCATCCTGGTCGCCCAGCCAATCGGAGCCCTTGACCGTGTCGTACATGTGCCACTTCCAGTCGTCCTCCTCCATGTTGCCAAGTGCCGCATTGATTCCGCCCTGGGCGGCAATTGTGTGCGAGCGTGTGGGGAACAGCTTTGTGATCACCGCCGTGCGGAATCCCTCGGCCACCAGGCCAAAAGCCGCCCGCAAGCCGGCTCCTCCGGCACCCACGACGATTGCATCGTAGGCGTGGTCCACCACCGGGTACTGCTTCGAAATCTTGTCCGGGTTGGCCGCCGATGACTGCTGGCGGCCATGTGTGATGTGATAACTGCGCTGGACACCGACTGCCGCGGCACGTTGCTAAAAAATAGAAATGGAGTTAAATGTATGGTCTATATATTTAAGGTACAAAATCAAATAAAACCACATACGTATATTTACAAATGTATGCATATTGCATTTTATAGGATGCTGCATGTTGTGATTATTTTAATGGCCCCTTACTGCGCTTTGCAAATGAAATACACACGTTTAGCAATTTAAAAGTCTGCTTTGCTTATAAAGTCATCAAAGCATTGCTTGTTTTAGTGATTCAAAAGAATTTCACAATCGTCTGTGAAAAAAATTACGTAAATTTAAGAGATTACTGCCTTCAGACGAGCCTTAAGAGCAACTGATGTGAAAATGTCAAGTATATTCAATGAACTGGCTTTTGCTAATGGTTAATACAAAATTTAAATGTTAAAAATGTGTTTACCCAGAGATGCACTACTGTGTACTGTTATTAATCCCTGTACTATGTTTTAAGCTGGCCTAATAATGCTCAAAATCACCTAGTCTCTGCAAGGTTTATAAAAATATTCAAATAGTATGCAGCAAAATAACGTTATCTTATCAGAATTAAAAAAAAAAAAAAGTCCGGAAACGTAGGTGCACGAGAAGTAATTGCAACTAACATAATATGATTAGGCTAAGATAATGTGAGGAGAAAGAGAACTCTTCTAGATTCTAGATGGAAACACACTGGTGACGTACGCAACTGAGACCAGTTGAAAGAAGCAAAAAGAGAGACTTGCAGTGATAACGGCTTATGTAATAGCCAAATTAAATAATTATACTGTCATTTTCTTCAGTGGGTATGGGAGATAGGGGGCGGGGATCGGCAGAATGATCAGCTCAATTGTATAATCAGCTGTTAGTTTTGTTAGCTGGCCGACGTGCCTTCTTCTTTCTCTCACTCTCTTTTTATAGTATTACTAAATTGCACTCTCTTTCCTCTATTGAGCGGAACTTATAGAACTTTTCAAGGCGTGCCGTTAATCCAAAAATTTAGTGTTTTTAAGACTATTTGTTGCACGCAGGGTAAAATGCACGATATCATAAATTAAGAGAAGGTATGGTAAAGGGGGCGGGGCGGCAGCAAAACATAACCTCGCTGGTTCCACTCTTAACTTTTTGGTTTTAAATCTTGAAAATCACTGAATACAACTCGATTGCATTATAATGCCTATATCCAAAGAAAACTTCACTAGCAGAAGGGCGATTAGCAACAACTAGACGACAATTTGTGGGGAAATTACATAACACAACTACGGGCTCCGCGTTTTTAGCCAATTTATTGGCCATTTCTGTTGTCACATCACGAGCAGTTTGGTTCTTCACAAACCCTGTTGTATAACCAGTATTACAGTATGTGGTTTTGCCAATGATTTAATCCGTTTAACTGTCGAGAAAACTACATACCACAGAGGCGACTGCATTTTTGGCCAAAATCGATGGCACACGCATGATTCCGGACATGGTTGGCTAGACTGCGGGTTTCAACTACTGCTGCTGCAAGATTCTGCAAGAGATTGTGCCAAAAACGGGGTTACGCGTGTTTAGCAAAAAGTGTAAGTTAAAAAACAAATAACTACGTGTGTCAGTGTCAATGTGATCGAAAGGAAAAGTTTACAAACTTTCAAATGTTGTGTGTGAACTGCCGCTCGTCGGCACTGCAGTTCGGTTCACTTATTGGCTCCAAGGGAAAAGAATCGGAACTAGCTCATTTAGCTCGAGAGTTCCTATTTTTTTTCGCAAGTGCAAAAACATTATACCTGTATATGTACGATCAAGGATATTTTTAAATGGCAATCGACCTCCTCAGATATACTTATTTATTTGCATATTGACAATAACAAATAAACATCGGTTCATTGAACGAAAACTCAGTGAACTGTTGGCCCTGTCAGAGTGACCGGAACACAAAGAAGTCAAAATCTTTTTAAAGTACAAAACAGCTGATTTATTGTTTATTTTGGGGGTGGGTAAAAAGATACAAATGCATATTTATACAATAACAGAGAGATTACTGTCTTTTAAAAAGCTATCAAAAATGGGATTTAGTTGAGATTTCATTATTTAATGCGGTGGAGCTCTGCCACCACACCGCTGGGCAAATTCTTCAGGGGTGAGGTCCGCCAAATGATTGATTCCCATTTTCCAAGTCACTTCGCCCTTCTCGAATTTACGATTGTGTTCATCAATTCGGGCTTTGGCTTTAGCGTAGAGTTCACGACGCATTAGATCTTCCTCCGCCTCGTAGCTCTTGTCGAACTTTGACTAAATAAATACGTTTGTTGAATATTGCGTTGTTTGCTAGGATAAAAAGAGTCTCACTTTGTATTCCACCCACTCTTCATCCGAAACCAGAGCCATCTCGATACTTGAAGTTTTGGTTACCGACTGAATTTTGTTTCGATCCTGAGGTTTTATCACGGTTTTGGACTGACTCACAGCATATAAACACAACAAAGAAACGATAATTCAGCTGACCAGCGCTGCCACTTCGACGAAAAACAAACAAAATTAACAGTAACGTCTCGTATTAATGATAAGCTACATATACCGCCTTCGGTTTATTTTTAGTTTTATACTACAACGCGAGTTTTTATTATAATTTATCATTAACGTTTAACCTCATTATTTTAGAGTTCAGTTTATCATCATAAATTCAAAAACCTCAAACCAAAACGTAAGTTTCGATTTTGGGTAAAAATTAACAACCTAGTTTCAGAAAATCGTCTTTTTTATAATTTATTTGTAATTTAAATTAATAAAAAATGAGAAACGATATTTATTAAACAAAGTGTTTAGATCCCTATAAATGAAGAATGAAATAATATGAATAAAATGAAACCAACCACTTTTGAATTTTGTACAATTTTTAAAGACTTTTATTTATTATGTGGTTTACTCTTTCGAGCGTGTCGTGTGTTTTTGTATAATACGAATTTAAATATATGTATTTATTTATATGCAATTTCTTACGTTCTAAACGAATTTAAAGAAATAACTTTTTAGCTTTTCGTTTGCTTTTTTCAAAAGTTTTTTTATTATTTGCACAGAGTGAGAATATTGACAAATTTCTAAAGTTAATCTAAAGTCGAAATTATACAGACTTTTTCGCTTTGATGACGCAAAAAAGTTGCTAGAAATAAGCTTCTGTCGTTGCGCAAATAATCAGTTGAATTATATATTATATAATTATCGTATTTAATTTGCTGTTGTTTTTCTAAGGCTCAGCAATGCATTTATTACGGTGAATAAAAAGTGTTTTTGTGTGAGTGGGTGGGTTTTGGATAGGAAAAGCAGAAACATTCCATTTATCTGGCTTTAATGATCGGAATTAAAAGTTGAATGTAGTTAATGTGAAATTTAAATGCGATTAAGTTGTGCCTTAAGGTTTTACATGCTATGGCAGTCGTAAATAGTTAGTTGCAGTACTTTTTCTTTTTGAATATTAAAAGGGACAGCGATTTAAAATCAAGCACATCTACTTACAAAAGAAATGCTGAAATCTTGTGAATGTTTCATGGGATTTCCCCCATCATAATCTGCAATTGTGTTTCTGCTTTCCTCCAATTGATCGCATGACTTAATGCGTGTGTTTTTTTGGATTTTCGATTTCTTCATAATTTATTTGTTTTTATAAATATATATATGTATATGTATGTATAAACAGATTTACGTACATAAAAATATATAATTATTTATATAAAAAACTAATACAATTGCTGCATGTATACATATTTATTCATTCGTTTGTGTGCAAAGTGTGGCTGCCCGGAATTTAAAACAAAACAAAAGAACACAAAACATAAAAAGCGATTCGACAATACACACACATGCAAAGAATATCAAATTGTGGTTGTTGTCATCGATTTTATTATTATTGCATTTATAAAAAATATTGCGTTTAAGTATTATGTGTACATACGCATGTACCACGCTTGCATCTGTCCAAAACTGACAAAAGTTTTAAACTAATCTCTGCTCGTGTATCCAGAGTAGCTGCTTGGGATTTCTGACCCTTTTCTTCTGTTCATTTGTTTTACTATGTAATGTGTTTACGTAGTTTCCGTTTTAAAAGCTAATACATCTAGAAGATTTCTGCATATTACTTGTATAGAACAAAGTGGCGTGTCGGATATTGCGTGTGAGTCTGCGTTGTCCTTCTTGTTATCATACAAATTGTGGGGATTGCGTTGCTGTTTCAGTGCCGTCGTGGCCATCGTATAAATTAAACATTAGAATTATATTATAATAGATATAAGCTGTGAATGCGAATTGGGCGAGGGGCTGCCTTCGGTGTGTCCTCTTAGATGCATCTTAAACGATTTTAGCTGCTCATTTGTTGCTTACATAGGCCTCTCTCTCTTATATAATGCTTCTTTTGCTGATCTGGCTACAGTTTCCTTTTTTATCGTGGTTGCTTCATTGTCGTTTGATTTCTCGGTTCCCGCTGATGGTGGGAGGGTGTCAAGACTGCTACTCCTACGGATCCCGTTACTCTCAGCTTAGGCCTCGGCCTTCTTCTTCTCCTTCTTCTTTTTCAAAAACGACGGTGTGCGCAGGCCCTTCTTCTTCTTCTTGTCTTTCTTGGGGGATCCGTCCGTGGAGACATCCTGGAACCGTAATAGAAATTTGCAGTGAGAATATCGGTTGCGCTTCGGTTAGTAAATCGAATGAGGTTAGCTTAATGCATGATGCCACCCGTGTGCGGTATTCGAGAAGTGATCCAGCTGATCGCTGGATCTCAGATCTGATCGGATGTACTTACCTCTTTACTGCTCTGGGAGAAGGTGCTCAAGTGTGCCTCCGAATGATCGCCGTTTTGTACGTTTTCACCTGTTGCAAAAGGATCGAAAGAATACTTTGTTTAATAATGCTCAGCGGCGTAGAATGGATTGGATTTCCTACAAATGTAACTCAGTGGACGCACACAAAATATTAAATATTAATTTCGTAATTACTTTCACCTTATGAGACACGCACAAATATAAAATCTAACTAAAACATGAATATGTATTAAATGTTTTGGGTGGTGAGGGCGTATTAATACAGATATGGAATTTGGGATGGGGATATTCAAACACAAGGACATGCAGCAGCAATTATTATTAACAAGCCAACACACATGCACAAAACACAAACATAAATTAAAAATGAAAGTATGTTACCTGCAAACTGATTAAACTTAAGTCAAATAATGATTTGCGGCTATGAACTCTTAACTTAAGTTGTGCAGTTTAATAATGAAAACGATTTTTATTATATAAAAATTAAAAAAAGATTAAACAAAAATGAGAGTTAACAAATTCACAGAGTTTTGAAATGTACAATGATTGGTTTGGATTCAGTTTTTAAATAGCTAGTCTTGCATTTTCACTTGGCGCTTAAGTTACTGTCTTAACATTTTAATTAAGAGAACAAAGAGGTAAAATGCTCAGACTTAAGAATATCAGCGTTTAACTTAAATTAGATTTTGTTACAATCTTTTCACTGTTGTTGATACAGAAATAATGCAACAAAAGTGACTATTTAAGAAGCAGATCTGAAAAGGCCTAGGAGGTGGCCAATCCCTCGGCCAATTGCGAGATTCGAGCCCTGCACTCGTGGATTATGGCCTTGTTGTGCATCATGTGCGCTTGCACCACGCTGTTTAGCAGGCGTTCCAGTTCCTTCTCCAGACTGCTGAGTATATCGTTCAGAGGCTCGCCTTCAGCTGGCAACTGTGGAGAGGCTTGCTCTGCCTTGTTCTGCACATCGGATTCCGACATGGCCACGGCCACATAGCTGTAGGTGTGGCACAGCTCCGGTGCCGAGTTACTGCGCTGCACCAATGATGACGATACAGGTGCCGCCGGTGGAGGCATGGAAGTGGATGTGGGCGTGGCCAGAGGAGCCCTCGTAGTCGACTGCTGTGGCTGCTGCAGCAGTAACTCCTCCTGGCGGTGCTTGTACGCAAGGTGCTGCGAAATGAAGTGAATCTCCTCGTCGATCACCCTCTCCAACTTCGCCCGGAACTCCTGCTCGTGCGTCTGGACCGTTTGGACGCACTCGGCGTTGCGCAACGAAACGTTGATCAGGATTTCGATCGTCGCCGGCGTTTGTGTTGTCGACGGCGGAGGTGAGCTGCTGCTCAAAGTCAGCTTGACGTGCTTACCCTGGGTGTAGGCCTCGGCCTCCTGAGTGGACGAATCATTGCTGGTGGTGGTTAGCCGCGTACGCCTTCCTCCCGCCGAGTGGCTGTCACCCAGACCACTGTCTCCATTGCGACGGAATACTTCTTCCTGCTCGGCCTCAGGACGCTCGCGATCCACTCGATCGCTATCATTGGTGTCCGTGTCCTCGGGCAACGCATGATTGCTGGGCAAAAAGGTGTAGCTGCGGTACAGACCGCTGTCCTGCTCCCGCCTGGGATTCATACTGACGGCCAGGCCGCTCATCAACGAGTTCAGCTCGTCTAGACTGTCATCCAAGCTTTGCCCACTGGAGGTAGTTGCGCTGTAGACGCGCTGTTTCCGCTTTGGAGGAGTAACTTCCAGCTGGATGTGCTTCTCCGAGACAAACGACTGAGATTGGGATTGAGTCTGGCTGGTCTTCGTGGCTGTTACCACGTTAAGCAGCTTGCGGTTATCCAAGCTCAGTGTCGTCAAATCGATGAAGGACACCACCTTCTCGCGCTGAGCCTCCACTCTCTGCCAAATGGATTGGTGTTCCGGGTGCAGCAGAATGGTGGGCGACGTAGTCAACGGGCAATTGAAGCCGAAGTGCGAGATGGTGCGATATGGAGTGGATGTCGAAAAGGACTGGTTCCTCTCCTCCGCCAACGAAACCGATGCCCTGACCGTTCGAAGGGGAGTGCTGCTGATCACGTTCGCCTCATTGCCCAGAAATCCTGCTCCACTCTCGTTAAGGAGAACGCTCATATTGCCTTCGTGCACCGGCGGATAGTTGTGCTTGCTGACGGGTTCGACCTTGTGGATAACGTAAACCTGCTGCTCAAATGGTTGCGCTTTCAGGCAGTCGTACATGTACTGCTCAGGTGAATATAGGAAGGCATATTTTTGAGCCAGTCGGGAGATAAGTGCTAGAAATGAGCGATGTGCGTTTGGAAAGTGAGTTAAGTATGATTTTGTGCCTTGAAGACAGCCAAGAAACGCTCACGTCCGATGGAATCTACACACTTGACAAAATACACTTGTCACAAACATTGGGAGGGAATACTGCTAACACTTAAAATTATAATACATAAATTTTCAATTAGTTTCTTTTTTTACAACATGTAAACATAAAATACAAAGTTAAAATTTCCTCTTCAATTAAAGATAATAATCCCTTAACCGTAAAGTTAGTATGAACTAAAAGCGTATGATTTTTTCCCATTTCTTAAAAATTACAAAAACCTTAGTGGTATTATACAAAATTATATAAAATATTATTTAAGTACATAAACTACTGGTACTTGGCTACTAGTGAAGGAATAAATGTAGCATATTTAAACTTTTATTTCCGTTGGCCTGTCAACCCCATTACATTACAAAATAAAGTTCAAGAAATGAATAATAAACATTACAAAGAAATAAGAAGGTGAATTCAATTGTCAAGTTAAAAATAATGGAAAGCAGTGTTAAAATTATAAGCAAATATGAAATATTAAAAAAAAGGATATGTTATGGGTTCCAAAGCAAAGGTTTCTTCTGTTCTTCAGTCTGTTTCAGTAAATTCTTCATCTACTTCTGATTTCATTTGGTCTGCATCATGCACCTCATGATCTCCCTGTGCAAAATCATCCTCAAAAACTCCCCCAGGCTCTTCCACCTCCTCTGCAACCGTTGACTCTGACAATTCTCGATCCTTAACCTCCTGCACTTTAGGTTCTCCCACATTGTCCCCATTCGGTTCCACCTCCTGCACAAACATTTGGAGACCAATCACAGTGCAAACTGTGTCCAGGGTAACAGCGTCGTCATCATCGCTGGAAAATGAATCCTTGGCATCCTCCTCTTCCCCGCTGATTCGATTCTTTTCCGTTGCCGCCTTTGAAGTCGAGGGTTCGTCGTCATTATAAGTATCATTTTTATCATTGGAGGTCTTTTCCACACGGATTAGTTCCTCATCGTCGTAATCACTGTTACTATCATATTCGTCATCCCTGATTTCCATTCTGTTTAATTCGTTTGCCGAGGAAAGGAGATCTACGTCTCGGTTTTCATTGTTTTTTTTCTTTTGCTTTATCCTTTCCGTTGATGTATCTTCTTTTTTGGGATAATTACTTTCCACTGTATTATCATCCGATTTCTGTGCGTCTGATCCAGCTGCTAGCCGTGGAAATTCAGCTGGAGGTGCTTCATCCTCCACGTGACTAAAAGTTTCTGGCGGGGAAGTGGGCAATTCTTCATTTAACTCCATCCTGCTGAAGAGGTGGGCTTCTGGGACGCTTATAAATTCTGGATTGTCTTCGGGTAACTCTCCATTATTCTGTGTTGGCTCCACTGCCTCCTGCGTAATGTCGTTTGCGCTGTAGTACATGGAGCTGTTGGTGGCATTCGTTTTGTCCTGCGCTTCGGGAGATCCTTCCTGACTCCCTGCAGCCCCTTTCTCGAAGTCATCTTCACTTTCGTCCAACTGAAAGGTGCTGGTTGAAATGTTATCAGCATTTCCCTGGCCTCCGTCGTGGACAAAGAAAGTCCTGCTGGACAGAGTCTGATGTAGGGATAAATTGGATGAACAAAGCTCGGTATTCGGAGGACGTCGCAAGGGAGGAAGCACAACCACAGGCTTGCGACGTTTGGCGAACGGCGAGGAGAGACTGCCTCGAACAGAGTACAAAGCCCGCGCCGAACTTGTCGTGCTGCTTCGCTTTTGACCAACTGCCTTTCGCGGCGGCGTTGGCAGGGAAACCCAGAGACGGGCGCCACTATCCCGCTGGCCGCACTGAAAGGCACACACCGAGGAGGGACTCGATCCGGCTCGCGGGGCACCCACTAAGTTGCTGCTTCTATGCTTCCTTACCGAACCGGCAGCACTTCGCGGTCTGCTCGCATTGCGAATGTTCTCCTGGATAAAGTTGCGCTTTCTACGCGGACTGCTGCGGCACACGAAAGTCGTGGAGGACATCACACGCTCCAAACGAGCCTCCTCCTCAGTAGACATTTCTTCTTGATTCTCCTGCTTGTCCCTGTCTCGATTCTCTTCCTCGTTTTGCTGATCCTCCGACCAGGAACGCGACATGCGCGGCGTGGGCCGGAGGATGAGGCGGGTATGCGCCATCGAGCTGCAGGGGGCACTGATGTTATGAGCCGACAGGGAGGAGTCGCTCGCAGTCAGTGTAGTGTCAAGTGGCGCATCTCTCGGCAGCGGTGTGCTTGGATTCGGGTAGATGTGCGTGCGAGTGCGAAAGATCTCCTCGCTGACCAAGTCCTGCAGCTTCTTGGGCGTCATCTTGTTGCGAATACTGTGGTCAATCTTTCCAAAGATCGGCTCCGCCTCGCTGAGCCTTTCATCCTCAATGCGCTGAAGGACTTCACGCTCCAGCGGCGTAAAAAACATGTTTTCCGGCCCCAAGGACGATGACCGTTCTTGACTTTCTTGGTTCTCCATCTCGACATCTAGTTCATTTTCATCGATGTCTTTGTCGTCTTCGCGCTCCTTTTCCTTATCAGTTGACTCCTCTGCCTCCATGGAAACGGGAGTCACTGGCTTCTCTTCGTCGTGCTTTTCCTCCTGCTCCAAGTTGCTGTGTAAATCTGTCTCCACTTCGCTGCAATTACTGCTGCTGGCGTTGGCGGGCTCATCAGGATGTGGTTCCTCTATAGACGAAGTGTCATCGGCGTTGAGAATGTTCTCCAAACTGATCGATCGAAATAGTGAACCACCATCGGCGGCTGGTTGTTTTTCAGCAGTGGAACTGCTCGAAGTCACAGCTGATAGATCGGTGTCCAGTGCCTGGAGTTTCTTGGTGGTGGTCACCAGCTTTTCCAGGTTTTCACCAGCTACAGTAAGACTTTCCTCGAACTGCTGCAGAATTTTCGTTAGCTCATCGCTTGACTCCGTCAGGATTTCACCTTGGACATTGTCTGATTGCTCATTTGTAATTTCCGTCGGGTCGACTTGATCCTGAACCTTTACTGATCTTTCTTCTTGTTCATCATCGGACATATACTGCTCCTCCCGCTGCATCTGCTCCTTGGCTCCATAGTACTCGACATGATCCTGCCACAGCTCCTCGAACTCAGACTTGCGACGCTGCCGCTCTTCGCGGGACATCAATTGTCGATCGACTTGCTGATCATTGTTCTGCTCATCGGGAGTGAAGCTCTCCTTTATCTCTACAGTAATGCGATGCTCCGTAAGCGGCTGTTGGACAATATTATCTGGATTGCCCGATATCAGTTGGTCCTGGGGTTCCAACCATCGACCAAAGCTCCACACTTCGGTAATGTCTGGGTTCTTCGGGTGGTAAATCCGTTGGGGAGGAGCACTCGTAGCACTTGCTCCAGCACTTGATGTAGCCTGCTCCACCATCAATCCCAGACTAATATCACTATTTACATGACCTTGGGAAAAATTAACATTGGTCGATTCTTCCGAGAAGTTAAACTTTTCGATCTGGGTAAGGAAATTCGAGACGGACGAGGAGGCGGACAATTCTTGAGTCTGTGTGTAGGCGTTTCGTTGGATCCTTGGACGTTGGGGCAGCAGCATCAGCATTTCCGCAAAGCCATCGGTTAGCTCGGGCAGCGTTTGCAGTTGGTGGCGCTGTCTGGGAGTGCTCCCGGGACTGGTCAACTCATCGGCGGCACAGCTGCTGGCTGCCGTTGCGCTTCCGTTCTTTAGGAGCTCCGGCTTGAGACGCAGCAGCTTGTCAAAGCAAGTCTGGCACAGCTTCTCGTAGCGCGGAGTGGCAAAGATCTCCTCGTAGCTAAAGCCACGCTGCATGGGCCGGTAACTGAGGGCCGGCTGCTCCCGCTCCCTGGGCACATGCTTGTGCTCGGTGCGAGGCGGCTGGCGTGGCGAGTTAAATCCGAAATGGGAACCCGTGCGGTAGGGCGATGGCTGCATCCTATTCGCCTGCTGCAACGGACGACGAGAGGTGGTGAAAGAGCCCGTGGTGCTGGTCACGGTGCAGGTACTCTGGGTGGTGGCACTCGAGGCCGCCGATCCACCGCGATAGCAACTGGCCAAGTAGCCCAACTGCTCGCAGTAAAAAGGTCGCAGCAATGCAGAGCACACCTGCGGTTGGGCGCACTGACCCAAAAATGTAGATGTTGCATAGACATAGGAGTAAAGCTGCTCCTGCAGATTATGATCCTCGCCCACGGATGGAAACAGGTCCCGCCGGCATTTGCTGTTGCCAGAAACGTTCCTGTCCCGCCCTTGGAGGTGGTTCTCCTTGTCCTCCTCATCTATCTGATACTCGTTTTTGTTTTTATCTCCTAGTCAAAGCGATTTCAAGTTGGGGAAATGAAAGAGCCGGAAAATGGTCAGTAAGTATTTGTCAGAAGCTATGGAATGGTCCGGAGCCGGCAACTTGGGCAAGGCGGCTCTCGAAACATACATACATAAAAGCAATACGTACTGGAATACATATCCATAAGTCTGAAAATCAATCAATCCTATATCAATTGGTAAGAAGTCCTGAAAAAGATTACTAGTGAATTCGCTAATGTTTATTTGTAATGTCCTGTTAAAAAAAAAAAAAAAAAAAAAAAACAACAGAAACCAACTCAAATAATTGTACCATAATTTTTCTCAACCATAAAATATTTCTATAGTTCCATAAAATGATAATGAATCGTAATCTAGGTTTTAGTTTTGGTGCAACAATAATGTTCCATGGGCTTGTGGTTTATAGGTGGTTATTCAAGTGGTACACCATCAACAACGATCTTTGTGTCTAGTGGATTATATGGGGTTATATTATAAATATATACACCGAACAAAGAGTATTATTTCTGAGATTATATAACAGTGGGCGTTTAGCCTGAGTACATTGAAGGGTGAAGGTACTAAAAAGGGTTTTCTTTTTGCAATCGGGTCTTTTTCGTTACCTCGGCCAGTTGGCGGCTTGCGATTTGTGGCTGTGTGAGAGCGTTCGCCGTTTATAAAACTAAGTGTGGCTAAAATAGTATTGAAAAATAAAATTATAAAATCATATTCAGCGTCAGAATGCTAAACAAATGTGCGACAGACGTAATTTTGTGCCTTAAACTAGGAATACGTAGTGTGGTATGAAAACAATAGTTTAGATTCGATAAGCATGCTTTAAAGTATTAGATTAGGGATTAGTTAGAGGCTAATGGAGCTGGCTAAGCAACTAAGGAAGCAATCAACAGAAAACAGCTGCAGTTTGAACAGAAAAAGGGGGGAAAATATTATATTTAACAGGGTAATTTCCCAATGAAAATTAACATCAAGCTGCGAATTTAATTCTCGGCTAACAGCAGATTATGTGATTCAGCTAATAGCATTCGGCAATAGTTAGCATGACATGTTGAATGGGGTTTAGTGTGCAGGTGGATTTATGTTTATGTTTATGTTATGCTGAACATTTTTCTATAAACTATTCGCTTGATTTTGTTTTTTGTTTGTTGACTACACACTAAACCTTTTGGGGCTGCACTCACCTCCAACTCAAAAGGGGTTTCTTTTTTAAACTGCTTATTATTTATTTGGTTTATTTTTGTGTTATAGAGCGCAGCAGCCGCAGAAGTAGTAGTAGAAAAGGTAGTATGTAGTAGTAGTGGTAGTAGTAGTAGGATTTTGTGTTCTGTTGAGAGCTTCGGTTGCTTCTTGTTGTTGGTTGCTGGTCTTTCGTTTTATTATACATTTTTTGCTTTTGTTTGATTTATTTGTTAGCCTACACACACTTCGCTTTCAAATTAATGCTAACTTATGGAATTTCGAATTTTCGATCTTTAAGCTGCCAATTTATTTGGATTTGGGGTTTCTTCCTAGGTGGAACAATAAAAAGGGTAAATTTTGGATTTACAATTTGCCAAATTCGCAAAAATTAAACAAAGAATTTGTTGAACCAAGGAATAACTATAACTGCAGCTTTTCTACTATAATAAACGGGTTTCTGTTGTAGTAGTTTTTGTTGTTGTGCTGTCTTGTTGTTGGTTGTTAAAACTAAAAATCATTTGATACACGCCGTACAGCAGTTGGATCCTTGGAAGTATTGGATAAGGGTGAATTGTATTTCACAATAATAACAAAGTATTGGTAAGTAACTGAACAACAAAATAGAAACGTGGTGTGTTGTAAAAGGGAATGTTTAACAAAAACATAACTGGACTTTTAACAAGTTTTTACAAAAAGGAAGTTGTAACGGCATCAATTGCTACAAGTATTTTTTTGTTGACTACATTCGGTTATTGGTATCCATTGAAATGTGTGTAGTTTTGTTCGCACGTGTGTGTTATTAATTGTATTATGCGAAAGTACAGCAAATAAAAAAAAAAAACGAAAAAAGGGGAAAATGGCATAAAAAGAATGTTATTAAATGTTAGGAATCCAATTAAATAATAATACCAAATAATTAACTAAGGAAATAAAACTACAAAGGAACTACAAAGTTTGCATCAATATAAAACTACTCAAAATACCTAATTATTGTAGCAGAATCTCCAAGTCCGGAATAAACAATAACAATATAATTAAAAATACGAACAAAAAATAAGAGAAACAAAAAGGAAAATGCATCAAAAGGGATAACATTAAGGGTAAGGCAAAATAACTTAACAAAACAATAAGAAAACTTTCAATTTCGTTTGAATGAAGGCTGGTAGACAACGCATCACACTAAGGGACTTACCATCGCTAAGGACGACTTCCGCCTGCCTGGGAACTGGCGCTTGTTGTGTTTGGATCTCAATGACCTGGTGCTCTACAATACGATATTAAAATTAGTTCCTTATACTTAAAATAGTTTAAATAATGTACGTACCGGTCTCTGGTTCGCTTTGAGGGTATTTCTTTGTCCCCGCCTGCAGGACTGCCTCCGATTCCGAAAAGTCTGTATCCGTGTCTGCACAAAGTAGATAATCATGTTAATATCTGTAATATTCTATGTAAAAATGTTTTAACTTACATTCGCCATGCACCGATTTCTTTTTGCGCTCCACTGTGCGCTTGTATTCATTGAGTTCATCGTCCGTGACATTGTCGAATGGGTTCTTGGCATATGGAGCCTTGTAAACCGTGGCGTTGTGCTGGAATCCACGCTGGATAATTCCCTTGGAAGCGGCGCCCATCATGACAACATGGTCGCCGGTCTGCGACACTGTTGCATCCTTGAGTCGGCTTGCCTCGTCCCATGTAACGCCCTCCAGAATATGCGACTGTGGTCCGGCGGAAATCTTATCCGCCCGGCGATTGTCCTTAATCTGTTTCGAAAGGCACCCAGTTGGTAAACATAATTTAGGATTGAGCGTATTGGATACTGACTAGTTGCTGGACTCGCTTGAACTCTCTCGTGTTGGTTCCTGCAGGCACAAACTGGAGCGGATCTTCTATCCTCACTGGCGTTGAGTGGGAGGGGGAATTGTCGGCCACCCACTGTGATTTTTTGTTTTTTTTTACAACCGGAAATTATGATTTGTGGGAGGGTGGGGTTGGGGCAATGCAAATAGAAAAGAAAGAGAAAGAAATTTGTTTTAAATGTGGGATGAATACTCAAAATTCGTATTAAAATTGAACGTTCTTAGAGGACAACATTCCGTATGATTAAGATTTTACACATTAAGTCTGTTTCTGTTTTGATTACATTTACTTCAACCTTAAAGTTAGGGTTAGGTTTTAATCATTCCATTGCAAGCTTTTTCTTTTTCGTAATTATTGTGTACATATAAATTTGGCCCTTAACTATTATTTATTTCTATTTGCAATGATTAAACAAACATAAATTAACTTAAATAACAAGCATAAATGATTTTGTGCCTTAAAATCAATGAAAACAATCACAAAGAGAATAAAAGAAAAACAGTACCATAAACATGCAAAGAAAAATTTGGTAGTGAAAAAACATAAGGTTAAATATGAAATCAGTGATTATGAGTGAACATATTTATTTATCAAGAGTATATAGTGTTTTCGAGCAGATTTCTTTCTCTTTCTTTGCATTGTTTTCATGTTAACGACTTGTTTTTTTTTTTGAGGCAGCAAATTCCCTAAAAGGGGCACAAAATCATTTATGCAATAGTTATGTTTTTGTTTCATTTATTTATTTGATTAATGCACATTACAGTATTTTGTTGCTTGCTAGCAAAGCACGTAAAATAATTTTGGTTCAGCACGATTTCAAATACTATTTCCAAAGTATATAAATATATGTATATTGATTACTTTAATTTACTTAAATTCTAGGAAATTTTATGCGTGAATATAGTTGCAGCTTAGTAGCAAAATTCGAACTAAAACTGAGTGCTAACGAAATGGAAATCATATATTGGGGTAGCAAGTGGAATGTCTGGAAAGAGCTGAGGGATGCGGTATCCAACAATTTCAACTATTTCCCCTCAATCTCCTTAAGGTTGGTGGTTTTGGTTTGCTTCATATCTTCGAAAGTAATGATTTCTACCTTTGTAATCTTCTTGGGATCCGGAGTGCCGGTCTCCAGAACCTCGACCTTCTGATAAACGTTCGGTGAGTTGAGCCACCGACTGCGGTCGCCGCCCTTTCGCAGATCTCCCTTCTTCCAAATTCTAGTAAGGGATAGAAATAATTAGTAATCTTGTTGTTGTTGATTAATAAAAATTTAAGCTCTCACCCTTGACGGAAGAGCTCCTCTTCCTCGAGAAGGTAGCCCAGAGATGAAACAGCTGGCGGTAGCTCCACGTCGTTCTTGGGCTTGGGAGGATCCGATTTGATCAACGGATGGCGGTAGATGTAGCCAGTGCGATAGCCAGCATTGTCCAGCATGCGCATCAGGGCCTCGAACTCAGCACCACCCACACGCCACTTGGGCGGACTGCCCACCTTGGGCACGGCAGCCTCGGCCGCTTCCTTCTCAGCTGCGGCAGCACTCATCCTCGCCAGAGGCGACGGCGGCGAACTTCTTCTCCAGATCCTCTGGCGGGCGACGCGACTGCTCGTAGATGGCCTTTCGCGACTCCTCGGGAATCAGCACCAAGTTATCCAAACCGACGGGCAGCAGCTTCAATTGAGTCTCGCACGCCTGCACAATGTGACAGGCGGCGAAGAAGGCCTCTTCGATGGTCTCGCCGCAGCACAGGGCACCATGGTTGGCCAACAGAATCACCTTGGAGTTGGGACCAAGGCTGCGGACCAAGCGATTGCGCTCCTCCTCGTCGAGCAGGCCGGTGTAGGCGTGCGTGGTGATCTCGCCCAGCACACAGGCATCCTTGGTTAGCGGCAGCAGACCGGTTTTCAGCGAGGAAATGGCCACGACCGGACTGCAGCCAATGTAGATGGCGCAACGGATGTCTGGACGGGCAGCATGTACCACCGAGTGGAGGACAAAGTCTGCAAGGAAGAAGAGTTTAGATATAGATAATATAAATGTCTGGGTTGCATTTGAATAAAGGAACTTACGACTCTTGTTGCCGCCAAAGTTGGTGGTGCCCTGCTCCACGATCTGGCCCTGCATGTCAACCTTGTTCAGCGCCGAGGCAGTGATCTCGTGGTAGAGCAGGCCGTATGGATTGACCAGGAAGTACTCCTGGTCGACCTTGAGTCGGGCGGTGATCTGTGCCCCCAGACCCTGGGTCCAGCCGTACAGATCGAGCAGACGGAATGTGGCGGCCAGCTTGCACCGGAGTATCTTCTCGCCCTTGGCGTAGCCCATGGACTCGACGCCGCGAATATCGTTGATGGGCACCATGCAGTTGCTGCTCTTGAAGACGCTGCCCACACGTGACACCGGCACGCCCACAATGTCCGATAGCTGCTGCAGGATGCCACTGGCACCAGCTCCGCCGTCGCGGGCCGAGTCCACGATCCTCTCCAGCTCCTCGCGGAACAACTTCGAGCCCATGATGGCCTCGACTCGCTTGCGACGCTCCATTTCGCGCATATCCTGGGGGAGGGAAAGTAGAGGAAACAAAAAAGAAAGTGAGCAAGGGGTTGTTAACCAGTTAGGGCTTCTGTGGCTGCACTTCTTACCTGTTCAATATCCGCGGGACGTGCTTTGTTGCTGTCATCGTCCTCGCCGGCAGTGGGATCTATGCCATTCTGTGGCGGTTGCTCTACTTCAGTCATGTTTTTTTTACTTTTGTGGTTCAGTTAAAATGCTGCAATCAAATGGGGAAGTTTTTTTTTCATTAATTTCGGCAAAGTGCTTCTATTGAACTTAACGCTCAGCTGGAAAATTTTCAACTGACCTTAAAACTGCAGGGCAGCACGAAAAAGGGGGTGGCAAATAAGAGAGAGAGAGAGAGAACGAAAAGAGAGAGTGCAGTGCAACCACCCAAGTAAGAGAGTCTAGAGAGAGTCAGAGAGTGAAAATCTGACAAACTTTCCTGTGAATGTCAAAATGAAAAGTGTTTGGGGAAAACAGAGAAAAATGAGGGGTGACAGAATGGCCGGCCGCATATTTCCACTTTAGTTAATGTCTAATTTTGGCCAAAATAAATTCTCAATTTAAGGGGGAAAACTCTGGGGAAAATGCATATGGACGTCCGTATATTTCCCCCATTCCCACGTGCTAAAGCGACAGCAGAAACGGAATCGGTGAAAACTATTTTAAGATCCATTTGGCTTTTTAGAAAACCCAAAATTGATGCCTTGAAAATCAAAACGAAAAGAAGGAGCCAGCTATCTTGGATCCCAAAAAAAGAGCGAGGAATCAATATAAATAAACAAAAAATATGTGTTGCTCTTTGAATCTTTAGGCGTGGTGCGGTGCGTTCGAATACCACGAATATTAACCTTCAAATTCCCGTAAACAATCAGTGTGCGAATAAACACTAAAGAAATAATGTCATCAACGAATCGGTCGGCTGAGATAACAAACCGAAAAACAATTTCTTGGCTCAGCCAAAATTGCAACCCGAAACAGCTAAAAGCGAACCGACTTTATTCGATTCCAACATGACACATTTACAGCAACAATATACCATAATTAATGTGCATTATGCTGACCCGATTTCTTACAACTACACCCACCGTCATTTCCTTAGTTCTTGCCTCAATTAAAAGCACAATTTTCTACATAAATATGCCAATTTGTAGAGGAAATTGCAATGAGCAATGGAAAGAAAAGGGGGAAAGACTCAAGGGGAAATGATCACAGAGAAGAAAAACTTGTAGGTTTTTTGAACAAGGCATTATAAAGTGTATATAACTTTTAGGCAATTAATGAATATGTAAGATTTAATATTTACATATTAGACTAAATATTTGAAAGCAACATTTTTATTAAACCTTTAAAAAAAAAAAGTAACAATATTTTTCCTATGTAAGCCTAACCCCATTCGTAGGCGGCGCCCTTTGTAGTCGGCTTATAAGCTCAGGGAAAATACATTGCACACAAAAAGAGGAAAGCACAAAGAAAACTGCATGGCAAAAGTGCATACCCAAAGGCTTTATTTGCTGCTGACTTGGCCGTTTGCTAATTATGACGTATTGGCAACGCGTGCCGCATATTTTAGTTCGCTCTTAACAACAATACAATATCGTGATGCGAAGGTAGTTGAACTTTGCTGCCGACAGCACCTTACCTCAATGTGCGTGGGCGGTAGAAGTTTTCAGTTTTTGCTTTAAATAAAACAAAATAATGCTGAATAAACGCTTTTTAAGTGACTACATAAAGATGCAGAAGAGCTGGGGAGTTGTGTTGCGTGGGCGCTGAATAAACTTAACGAGCCACAGAGTTTTCCAGCGTGGGTTGATTCAGACTCCACCAAATGGAGTTGAATGTTGCGTAGGTGGCAAATGGTTGATTAAAGTAAAGAAAAAGAAAAGTTCTTCGATTTCTCACGCGCTTCAAGCATTGAATACGATCCCATTGTTTTCTTTTTAAATAAATGGCATTAAAATAAATCAATACGATTCTTCTGTTTTGAATAAGAATTTTATTTAGCTCAGTGAAAAATGACTAACATTTCCTTTTAAATTAAAGTATTCTATGCCCAATTGTGTGGCAACTGTTTTCCAAATAAAGTCAAACGTGTCAATGGACTGAGGCCAATTTTAAACTTCATTCAGGCCTGCATAGCAATTGGTATTTTGAACTTTGGCAATGCCAGACGATTCTCCATATCACTCTCTCCTTCTTCTGTTTTTCTCTCTGACCTTTTTGTGCGGAAGACAACAATTAAATTTAGGAGCAGCTAACGCCACGGCGACGCCGATGTCGTCGCCTCTGTCGCGTCAGCGTCAGACAATTCTTGTTGACATTATGCAATTACATCACACTTGTTTGGCGCGGGACACACCCATGTCTTTCAATGGTTAATGTGTGCCGGTTCCAAAACCGGCAAACCGAGTATTTATTTACTTCTTGTACAGAATGTAGAGAATGCTTCGAAGGCAAGGCCGATAAAAAAGGCCTAAACACCTCACCTATCACCTCGATAATAAAGAAAGGTCTTTGGAAGATAAAAGTTAGATAAACAAATTATGTGATATCTAAACATATTATTATAACGACAATTATATATATGTAATTATATTCTATAATTATAGAAATGTACAGTGATTAGTGTTAAAAAATTTTTTTGGAATATTTTTGTATCTGGTTTTATACCCAATCAGAATTTAAACTGTTCGCAAAACAAGCCTATTTACAATTTTTATTTTGCTTAATTTTCTTAAGATTTGCTTATAGTAAAAATTCTGAACCACACAATATTTCGTACTCCAATTAGCAGCTGGGCCAATTGACCCAGAGAACCGAACACCCTCTATATATGGTTTTCACACATATGCTGGCGTTAATTAAATTTCCCAAGTATTCAATTATCGCGCAACGGAAGAGATCTTACGTAATCTTCCACTCCATCGAGCAAGCCCAGACAGCTGTCCCAATGCCTCAAGTGCGAGATGTAAGAGCGGCAGGCAATAAGGTCGCAAGCAAATGATTTCATTCAGTTTTAATAATGCAACAAGTCACTCACTCAGTCAGTGGGGCACATAGCCAGAACCAATGATGATCATGTAGAAAGATTTTTCAAGCCACAATTTAAAAAAAAAATTAAAATTAACACTCCTATTTCGTGGCGGCAACAAAAAATGTGAGAAAAGTAACAAAACGAGTGCAATAAACTAGCGACAAGTGTGCATAATAAAAAAAATATTAAAAAATAATAATAAAAATAACTAGCGCATTCATCATTCGTCCGCAAAAAAGAAAAATAGACAAAGCTAGACTAAGCTCTAAATCACTGGAGGTTTATTCTGTAAACATTATTGTTATTTTTAAGATTTATTGGAAGAAAGTGTAAACCAGGTCATTAAAATTTTTAAACTTTTCAGCTTCAAGCAGAAGCTCAGCTGATTTTTAGGGTTTTACGCAACTTTGAGCAAGTCATAATCTTAAGAAAATAAATATGTATAGTAGTATTGTTGTATAAAATTGACGTTGTGGATCACTAAGACAACGCGCACACCGTGAAAATATATACATTTTAATCTGCGAAATGTGGTCAAAGAGAACTGGCAATCTTTGCGAGTCCCGCAGTAGAACATTTCGCACCAGACTATCCCCAGAATTTCCAACCCCACGCACAATAATGAGTAAGAGGCAACGTTGCTCTAAACCCAGCTGGTATATTTCACATTTGACGCGCTCGATCCACAAGCAGTCGTGGCCGAGTGGTTAAGGCGTCTGACTCGAAATCAGATTCCCTCTGGGAGCGTAGGTTCGAATCCTACCGGCTGCGAGTTAGTTATTTTTTTTTTCATTTTTCTTTCCACTTAACATTAACTTGAATTTACTTTTTAGCCAATATGTCAGAAAAACCCCTAAAATAAGTAAATGAACTTTATTCAGACGTGTTTACCAGCCAACTTTGGATTGCAAACAAGCCTAGCACATAAGAATAATGTATTCTTGACAATTTCCTTAATTTGTTTAGATAATAATAAATTCTAGAAATAAGCGTATGTTATATTCACTTTGTGTTTTAATATTAAACGCAAGCTTGCAATTTTTAATATTTATTTCATAGACAACACCAAAAAGTGGTTCATGGTTGGCCGCCTCGCCCTCAGCTGTTTCCGTGGTGTAGCGGTTATCACATCTGCCTAACACGCAGAAGGCCCCCGGTTCGATCCCGGGCGGAAACATGTGACAATTCTTTTTGTTTACATTACACTTTTCATTCATACACTTTTTACCTTAAATATAGATTTTTAACTTACATTAAAGAATTCACACACAATTTAATATAAAACAAAATTTTAATAGAACGATTTATTTATCGAAACTTAGGGTTAAAGAAAATGTAATACGATTGTATTGGTTTGGACTCAAATTCCGATTTACATACATATTTTGTTTTCAAATATGCTAATTTTGAGTTGCAATATTAACTACCGTTTCACTTTCTCCCAACCGTTCCTTATGGCTCCGGTATATACTAGTTTTAATTTGGCCAGTGCAGCACCAGCTGTTTCCGTGGTGTAGCGGTTATCACATCTGCCTAACACGCAGAAGGCCCCCGGTTCGATCCCGGGCGGAAACAGTCATGATTTTTTTTTACTATTATTTCTTTTTATTTTTTTCTCAGACACATTTTAGCAGTTTAAGGCAAACTACACGTTTCACAGTCAAGCATTTACACTCATTTGGTTTTATGTATAAAACAAATATAAAATATTATATACATATCATGATTTTATTGCTATTCATATTTCGATTTAAGGAAATTCTACCCATTTGCCAAACATACAATTTTATTTTCTGCCCTTCCAAATAAATAAATATTTTTTGTTACACTTTTCAGAACCATTCCCTATTGCCACAACAGGGAGTATTGTGTATTGGGCTGGCCAAGCACCAACTGTTTCCGTGGTGTAGCGGTTATCACATCTGCCTAACACGCAGAAGGCCCCCGGTTCGATCCCGGGCGGAAACATGTTGACTACTTTTTTTTTACGCGGAGTATGAAATTATTTTTCATTTTTTTTTGTTCTTCGGCCTTTCCGATATAATTATAACCGTTTAAATATAGATAAGCTAGGCAACGCGCTGTCTGTCAGGGTTGTGCCTATCTGCGATCTATCATCGCCGAAATGTCTTCATCTTTGTCTTTAAGCTTTATCTCTTTTCACTTTTAGACATTGGGCCGTGTGTGGAATTTCTTAATAAGGTGGTAGCAAGTCTACCACTGGGGATTTTCTCGGTCCCCTATATCTTCACCCGTCCCTTGCTAATTTTGTTTGTTTTGCTAACAAGATGCCAGTTTGTCTGGCTCTTGTACCCGTTCGTTCTGCTTTCCTCTTCGCTTCTCACTTTAATTTATTTTATTTTTCTTTACATTTCTGCGTCCAGACAAACTACTATCCCGCTACCGAAAGTCGCGTGTAAGTCGCGTGGCTTGAATTACAAAATCCGCACATAAATCTCATCAAAGTTGGCGCCAACGCCCATTGTGAATGAGAAAAGACTTGAGAGAAGTGCATAAATATAACATTCGCTGTTGGTTGAAAGAAAACAAAAGTTAAGTGACAACAACAAGTGGCCAAGTTGAGCGAAAGGAAAATGATTTGTTGGCTTTGCTTTCTGCTTTTTGTCTGCATTTTCTGCCCTTGATGCAAGCTAAAAGCCTTTTTCAGAGTCCAACAAAATGTATTTCTTTTTTGGTTGCTTCGGTGCCTTTGACTCACTTGGCCAAAGGCCAGAAAAAAGCTTGCCCAATTTATATATTTTTGATTCACATAAATTAGGTATGTAAAATAGACAAATAAACTTGAAATCTGCACAGTTGTTGAGGTTGGTTGACGTCCATGGTGGATAATTAATAAATACTGCTTAGTGAATGGTGAAATATGAATGGCGCAATACTAGGTAAAAAAAATGTTTTTAAATACAAAAAAACTAACAACACATATAAATTTATCTTTAAAATTCACCCAATTGAAGTTATCTATTTAGTTTTTACAGATTTCTCCACACCACTCAAATATTCTGTTGGGGACTGAAATAATGTTGTTTGTGGAGAATGACATCATCCAGGACTTTGTCGCACCCAAAACCCTCCCCCCTTCTTCACTCCACCCAACTCCCTTAAAATCGAGCAAATAAACCTTCATCCCTCGGAATATGACGTCACTTCCTGTCATTAACTCAAAACGAAACTCAAACATAAACAGCCAAGGCACGAGCACCGCACCACCCACTCGAAGGATATTTTTACGAGTAGCGTGGAAACATTTCCCGGCCGGCAAACTGAATTGGTGGCGCCAGCATTCTGGCATTCTGTCATTTTGTGGCGCCGTTGCCTATTGAAATTGCATGGCAACACGACGGTAATGAAAATGCCGGCCACAAAACAAAAAAATAAAAAACAGAAAGGAATCAACACTGTAAGAACTATAAGGAGAGAGCCCAATAAAAAATAAGGCGTGTCGCGGGACAGGTATTTCCATAAGGAATCGCGCCTCATTTCACTTGTCCTTTGGGTTGAGTTGGAGGGTTGGTGGTTGAACTCTGGTGACCCCCAACACGCGACCGGCATCGTGTGGCGATGGAAATGTCAGAGCCTTCTGCGTGTTCATGGTTAGTTTGAGTTTCCCGAATAATCGATGGAAAGCCCAGCGATACACACATGTCCTTAGCGACAGTAACTTAATCTTGATACGAACACATATTTGCAGCATTAAATGGGGTTTTAATTGCAGTGCAGGTACAGTCTGCATCCGGGTAAGCAATTATTGAAGGACTATTGAAGGGTTGAAGGCAGAGCAGGGTAATAAAATATGTTGGCTATTAAAGGTAGCTGGACTACAATTATTAACATTTTATTTTGCTTGGATAGTAATAAATAAAATAGAATCCAAGATAGATTTAGTTAAAAACAACCGGCAATCACCCTTTTTCAAAAGAACACTTATTAAAAGCAAGCGTGCAATATTTTTAATTTCGTGTACCATTCTTTGTTTTATTGGCTTTGTCGAAAGCTGTTAACGAAACTAATAGGAAACTTGTTTCCCGATTGCCTTCAAATAAAGCACAAAAATGAAAACCGAAGCTGGTCTCCCGACTGGTTCAATGACCCATTTATAAAAGTGCTAGATGAACGCAAAACAATCCAATCTTCTCTGCTGTCTCTCTGTTTATTGCTCCCTTTATTGCTGAAAGCCAGTGTACCATGCCCGAAGGGAAAATCAGAATTTATGCATTACACATAGATATAAAGGGAAATATTACGCACATACACAGATGGACATAAATGAAACAGTCGGTATAAAAAGTGCCAAGCAGACTCAACGCTTAAGTGGCTTTTAATTCAATTTCAAGCGAAGCAGAAAGAGAGAATAAAGAATGTTGGATGTACCAAAAAGTCCAGTAAAACAAAGGTCATCCTTAATTGAATTAGAGGTGAAGTTATGCGTGGCATGTAAAAATATCTGACAGATAAAAGAACTCGGGAGAGAGACGTCTCAATTTGCAGTTCAATTACACGACACCTACTTGTGTAAAGTATATCTGCAGAAAAATCAGATATCTTTCTCATTCAGCTTATCGGACAAAGTCAACTAGCCTCGCCCTGTGACATCATCTTTAGTTACTGATTATAAAATTATGAATAAATTATCTTTGTAAAAGGGAGGAGAGGGGGGGAGTTGACGGAAATCTACGCTTGAGTGCCGTAAATACAAATCATTTATTTCCCTTTGACGGTCACGGCCTCGATTAGTTCTCAATTAGTTTGGCAAACAATACAAAAAATAGAAGAAAAACCCGGAATATAATTATATATCGCTCAAGTGTGGCGTAAGCAAAAAGTTCAAAGTTGAGAGAGGTGTGGCTTCCTTTTCTCTCTGCCATTTTTTTTTAAACCACTTCTCAGTAAACTAGAATCAAATAAAAACGAAAGAGAGTCCTAAATCACAATCATTGCAAAAACCAAAAGCAAATATGTACCGTCAGATAATATATGAAATAAGTCAAGAGAGGGGAACTCGAGTTTGTTTGCTATGCGTTGTTATTGTTTGCTTGCTTACCACTTAACTTATAGGCGTGCTTAAATCAAATACTCACCTAAAAATTGGATTTGATGCGTGGTTATAATACTTTTATATTATCGTGCCTGCAAAGAAATTGCGAAAAAACATTAAAAAATTAGTAAGGAATCTAGTATGTATTTATATAAATATTTTAAATTATTTTATCAAACGAAATTGAGAGGTAAAAACAAAAAGGTTTTCTTTTATCAATTTAGCATAAAGCATGGAAAAAGAGAGCAGATTTCCTCGGCAAATAGATTTCCTAGTCTTTCAACACAAACAGAGAGTTTATTGAGATGCTGTGTCCGCTCTACGGTCAGCGCCTCTGTTCGATGATGTCATGTGAATATTTTTAGTTAGCGCGCGTTGAAATATTTTCGTACTACTCGTTATTTTATATTGCGCTTTGCCCAGGCACACAAACACATACACAGTAAATAAAACGATTTGAGACTCTCCCAGCAAACAAAATAAAATAATTGAATTATTGAGGGGGAGGTAGGTAGGCCGGCGAACTGGAATTCTTCGCCAGAGGAAAATCACCGCCTGGAAAAGCCTGGTGAACACAAAAATTTGAATACGAATTACCGCATTACGAGCTGATAAGCATACAGTATGGACGAATAATAATGTAATTTAATTACACCTTTCTCCGATGCGCTCTGGTGATCTTGCCCTTTTCACTTTCCACGCACAATTGCAGACTGAAATTGGCCAAAAAATGTGCTCTAAATGTTTCTGCGTGAAAGCCTAGTCACGAAACGTTAGTAATGCAATTAAGCCGCTTCTGGTGTTGATTTACAAACTCGGAGGATATAAGCGATTATGTAAGCCGCCTCTTTCGTGTGCTCTTCCCCCTCCCCCTTTTCGGTGTTTTTTTTTGTTATAAAAAGAAAAATTTTGCATTATGAATTCATTTATGCAGCAACACGTTTGCGCTCATTGTTGTTCCAGCTCTATTGTTATATGATTATTATGATGATGGTCTTTTTATAGAGCTGTATTGTTGCCCTCTGGTTTGGCAATGCCTCAATGCAGAAAAGTTGTTTGAAAACCAGATTTTTATACCCTTGCAGAGCAAAGGGTATTATAATTTTGGCCAGAAGTTTGCAACGCAGTGAAGGAGACACCTCAGACCCCATAAAGTATATATATTCTTGATCAGCATCACAATCTGAGTCGAAATACGTCTGTACGTCTGTCCGTCTGTCTGTCTGTCCGTCTGTCCGTCTGTCCGTCTGTCCTCCTGTCCGTTTCTGCCTAAACTAGTCTCTCAGTTTTAAAGCTATCTTGCTGAAACTTTCCCAAAAGATGTGTAGTTATTGCACGCAGTATATAAGTCGGAACGAGCCGGATCGGCCGACTATATCGGATAGCTCCCATACAAGAGGTCAAAAAAATAAAGGATAAAAAATTATTACGCCGTTGTTTTTGATCAGATCGACTTGAATTCTTCAAGATGGCGTTTTCTAACGGTTATTAAATTTCGGATTAAATTTTATCAAAATCGAATAACCCTATCATATAGCTGCCATAGGAAAGATCAAAAAATATATATAGAAATAATGGCAAAATAATCATAACGTTGTTGTTTTTTTATTCCACGAGCATGATTTTTACAACATCGACTTTATGAACTACCCTTGAACCGAGAAAAAAATTTCATCAAAATCGGACGACTATATCATATAGCTGCCATATGAACAATAGTCGAAAATATGGAAAATTAATAGAAAAGTCGTCATAGCTTCGATGTTGTTAGCCTTTATGTATTTTGTTCGATATGTTTGATGACTGCAAGGGTATATAAGCTTCGGCTTGCCGAAGCTAGCTTCCTTTCTTGTTTTATTGACATTTGCGCTTACTAAAGTAGGTTAGCCAGCCATTTAGAAGTGGTAGAGAATTTCCAATTGGATGTTTGAGGAAGAGCAATTGCAATGCCATTTACTCGAGCATGGTTGGTCACTTGTCACGTTTGCAAGCCACAAAACAAAATTACTTTTAATTTCATAGTATTTACATTAATTACATCAAATTGTGGCAATTTAAAGAACAAAACAAGAACTGGTTCCCATTTCCCACGCCCACACAACGGGAGGGAACGAAATTAGCCTAAATTCCAATTTAAATTTAGTTCAGTCGGATCAGACCGCCATAATAACAGGCTTTCAATCACTTTCAGACGCCAAGAAAGAGTATATAAAAAAAAATAAAGAGAGGAATTACGAAAGAGACTCAGCGAAAAGATACAATTCAATTGAAGTTCAAGCGCAGTAAAAAAATGTTAAAGAAGGCAAGAAATGCAGACACACAGCTCCATCATCCTCAACGCTGCCGTCTTCCCATCTTTATAGAAATTGTCTACATTTTTCTCTTGTTCGCTCCCCAACATTTTCGGTATAATTATCCACATTGTTTTGTTTTTCTTCTGCGGGTCCCGAGTTTAAAAAGCGGCAATAACAACAAACAGTTGTGACAACCGTAACTGCACTTCACAAATGATGCTCTTACGATCTATATATTTTTACAATTCTAATGGACACCTTTCTAATACACCTTTAAAACACTTGCGCATTTATTTGTCATTCACACATTATTTTTTTTGCCAAACTTTCGAAAATTTAATTTTTTGTTACACTTTATAAACATAGTAAAGTATATGTAGTAAATATTAACGGTAATAACAACCAAACATACTTCAAAAATCCCTAGAGACATACGAAAATTGTATTACTTTTCCAACCAACAACATAAACTTATTGCACACAACCCAAAAAGGGTATAAAAGCTCCGACTTGAAGTTAACTTCTTTTTTATTTTCTTCCAAGATTTATGTTGTGTTGCAGCAGTTTGTTGTTGGCTGGAGCCGCTGTGCTTCTCCTGCAACTGTACATTTGTTATTGCTTTTCGCTGCCTCAGTCTATCTCTTTCGCTCATTTCCAGTGCCTGGTTTATTGTTGTTCTTGCTGTTTTATTGATGAGCTGCAGTTGTTTAGCCAGCAGCAACATCTCTCTTTTTTTTAATCTCGCTTATGTGTCTCTGTTTTGAAGCTTGGCACGTACGCCTCTTTTATTTATTTATGTGTGAGGGTCTTTGCCTGTCTCTCGCCTTCTTGCTTTCCCCCGTCTCACTCTGTTGCATCTTCACGTAAGTTTGCTTTGGGGCAGAAACAGAGAACACTTTTTTTTTGTGTTTGGTTTCCAGGGAGCCATAAATTTAAAGCATTTGCCCTTGGACAAATTTGTTTTTGGCCTTAGCCAGAGTTGCCAGACTGGATTTGAGGGAAACCCTAACTCTCCATTAATCAAAATAATGCAGCTTAATCCTAACCATTTTCAAATCAATTAATCAACAGCGATGTGACGTCAGTGGGAATTTTGATAAGCACACGCTTGAGTAAACATTTTCCAATTCCCAATCAAAAGTCATTAAGAGTGTTTCGGCCATCAAATGCATTTGCATTGACGGACACACCTCAATGAAGGTTAGAAAGTTGAACATTTCGTCTACTTAAAGTGCTTCCTTATCTTTTTTTGTTACTGTTTGGGGTCTCACAATGTTTAATTTCCGATACATTTGCATACAACTTTTTTTTTGGTTAGGTTCGTCGACAATTGTTTAACTATGCTTTTCCTCCCGACAGAATGAGACAAACATACATACACGGAAAAAAAAAATAGTTCATTTGAATGTAAATAAATTCTCTGCATCTAGTTAATTAATTGAATTATTTATTACTTTGATCATGTTATTTGTACATATTCATGGTATATCGTGATTTAAGTATGGTGTTTACGTTAGGAATATAACGGGGTTTTGTCTGTTTTTGTTGATGATATACTAACTCTTTATTTTAATTTATACAGACAGAAATAATGCCCAACCGTTTTTTGGAAATTCTCGCAATGCAACTTGCGGTGTGCAAATAAAAAAACCAATTGAAACCCTCAACGTACGAGTCACGTCTAATTTGCGAATTGAAACCGTAACAACAGACCAAGAGGAACAAATGAATACACGGGCAAGTGGAAGTGATAAGGGGTGATAAAGGGGGACACAGCATAAGCAATGAATTATAAAGGCCCGCTGTCCATGTGTATGTGTATGAGCGAATTCGAATTAGCAACAAAAGCCAGCAAACAAAAAGAGCAAATTTTCATTTTTTTTTTTTTAAAGCGTTGTGTGCGAAATGACGTCATGTAGCGCACGAAAGGTAGCTAAAGTTATGGAATGCTAGATTTCGACATACTGAGCATATCGTACAAAAAATAGTATATAAATTGTGAAAGTGTCGATAGTAAAATAGGTCGGTTGTTAGCTACTAGTAATTTGAACATGAAATCCTTAGAACTTATAATGCTTGCTGTTTTTTACCCACTTTACAGGTTCTCGTATCGGAACAGCAATCTAACCAGAAAGCGTAACAAGAACGAAGGTTCCGATAAGATTGCTGTGAAGCAAAAATACAGTCCAACTTCTATAAGTAGCACCAATAAACCACAGTTATGACGAAAACCTACTTTTACTTCTACCTAAATATTTTCTTGTCCTTTTATAGTTCCAATTTAGGGTTTTGTAACTTTTTTTTTTGGAAAACTGACCAAGATAACAAATTAAACCAACAACAAGAAGTTAATTCGACAACTATAATATCTCAACTGCAAGCATTAGGTTGCACTGACAAGAACGTAAACAAGTTTTCAATATTTACAAATCTGTTTATCACTTGTTGCTGCTTTTGCTATTTACTTTGCTGAAAGACGAGAGACCAAGAAGGAAAAGTGGGTCACGAAACTTGCCAACAGATGCGCGCCAGCAGGCGATTTATTAGCGACAAGGCAGGCAAGTGCATTAGACACACTCCCAAGATTCGCGACTGGTAACAAATTACTTGAAAATACGACAACAACAAAATTGATTAAAAGCCGCGAAAAGACGTATGACGTGCAACTGTATTTTTTCTATAATCTGACAAGCGCATAGAAAGTCGGAGGGAGAAAGAAGCATGAATCATAAGGAAAGGAAAAGCACACACACACCCACCCGAAAAGAGAGAGAAGAAAAGTGACTAGCATTAAGCTTGAGCAGCGAGGGGCAGATGAAGGAGCCCTTGAAAATTATACCTACAAAATATGATGTTAAAAACTTAATAACAACACTAATAGAAATATATGTTACTGTTTAAAATTAAAACTTAAGCACGTAAAATTTTTTTCATATCCGCCCCTGTACCCAACGCATAACAACAAAATAGACACACTCACACACGGTGTTGCGTGTGCTTGACCAAACCCAAAAAACAAAAACAACACTTATTAGAGAAGCACAAAAGATGGCGTCACCGGGCAATTGTGGCTCATCCTCCTAACAGTAAAGACGAATACAGGGCACGACGTGTCAATTATTTAATATATAAGGGTTTTATTACACTTTATCACTGAAATATAGAGATACTCACCGGTATTATTCGAAATCTTCGTCGACTGATCCTCCAGTGGCCACAAACACAGGCACAGGTTACAAATACAACGGTCACACTCACTGTATGTTAGAGGAGGAACGCACGCGTTTTTATACGTACTCTCGCACCTCGATTTTCGGCTGCTATTTCGTACAAACACACATATGCCACAGAGAGAGACTATCGTAAAAGGGGTAGGGAGAGGGGAGAAAATTTAATAGGTTTAACTTCTTAATTCCTTTAATAAAATTTGTTTAAAATAATTAATTTTCTAAGTTTGGGGTCTTTTGCACTGCACCAAGTAACTGTATAATTTCAAAGATGGCCGCCGTTAACGGAACTTTGCACCGTAAATTTTTTAAAATGCACCGCGCACTGCTGCAAATAAATATTTTTAGTTGAATTGCCTACGAGAACTTAATCCAAAATCGTACGGACACGTCCGACGATCGAACAGCGCAAGTTGACAAATGGACACGAAATGAGGCGCAAAAGAGAACGACACTCGGAAAGAGAGAATCGAACTGGAAGGTAGTGTTAGGCAACGCCAAGTGGGTGCAGCGGAGATGTTGAAAAACAATTTGACTTGAGTAACTCCCAGACAAACTGGCTTCCCAATCGGGGTTAACTAAATTTGGTAAACAATCGAAAAGCATCAGTTTGACGTGCAAATTTCTCAGATTGCGCAAAAAAAAATTTTTGAGTATTCAAAAAAAAGAGAGAGATTGAGGTACATCATCCTGCAACGCCCAAATATACGTGCTTGTGTGTGTGTTTGAGAGAGAGCGTGTGTATGGGGAGGAACGAATATTTGGAGCAAAGCGTAGGGGAAAACAGCGGTGCAAGTCCTTTCGCCACCTTCTGACCACAAGAAACGCTTCTTTCGGCGCTCCAGCCGCACTTTTAGGTATTCTTCACACAAAAACTATGTCAATTAAGCCGCACACGTCGATTATGTCATATTATTTATTCACACACAAGCGTCGCGCAATATACACACACATTCGTGCTTGTGTGTGTATCAACGGCGTCCCATCACCGGCAATGCCGTGAAAAAATCGATGAGCGCTTTGCGTCTGCGTTTGCGGTTTTTTTCTGATATCCTTCGGTCCATTCTATTACTTTATTAAAGCACCAGCTAGTTAGCCATTTCTTTCGCAAAAATTCACTGCTTACAATTTGCAAATGATGATTCTCACGAAATTTCGCCCGCGTGATGTGTTTCGGTTTCGATATTCGGCTTCGAGTGTGACCGCTTCTGAAAAGTGTAAATATACTTAGCTTATATTTGGCACAAATACCAGAAGGTGCCGCCATGCGTTATAACAAAGTTTTCTCACTGTGAAGTTTTTTTATTAATATTAAGTATTTTTTATAATGTTATGTATCCAAATTAGCAATTATGCTTGCCTTAAAATGTATCTCGGAATTTCTAACAAGCTGAAATGAACAAACCTAAAAGAGGATTAATTCAGAAATTCTAAGTATTCCTAGTATCAATATGAAAAATAATTGTATTACGTCCAAATAACATCAAGTTAAAAAGTTAGTTCAAAGATTATATTTTTTATATAAGTATTTTTACCAATATTTAGCACATGTCCAAGCAATAATAACAGTTAGTAATTAATTGAACTACGAACAAAAAATTTAAAAAAACGCACTGTAAGGGTTGCCAACATTTTTGTATGATTTTTTAATATTATCAAATGCCTTGATATAAATTGAAATAATTTAATGATTTCTTTTCAAAACTAATTTTAAAAACATAATTTTCAACAGAAAAATATTATACAAAAATGTCACATGCTTCGATAAAAAGTATTTCGTGATTCGATAGACGCTGCCGGCAGTCAGGTGTTCATATACAGATATAAATATTTGTAGTGAGTAAATATCTCGCCTGGTTGAAGGTACGCGGATCCGTTACTTTATTGTTGTGTTGTGATTTTTGGGAGTGAAAGTGCGTGATTCGATTCGGAAATCGTTCTCTCGGCCAATCAAGGTCTATTTGGAAATGGCGAAATATTTAATTTATTAGTGATGGCTTTTTGTGAATCCTAACAACGCCTTTCCAATCATGCTGGTCACGGGAGTGAGCCAGGCCTAAAGAATGCATTAATTACCAAACCTGTTTGGATTTCGCAGTAGAATAACCAATGCTTGCAAATACAATGGCAGATGGGGGCACCAACTAGCATATTTTGTCCCAATTAAAATCCAATTTTCGATTACGACAAAGATATAGCCTATATGTGCAGTACATATGTACTGCCCAAGCTCGATGTCAATGTCGCGGCTAAATATGGATAGGGAATAGAGCTGGGTCTCCCGAATAGCGCACACCCTTTGAGTCACTAGAGATTCTCATGCTTCTGAATGATGTCACACAATGTGGCATATATACAGCTACATATAAATACAGCATTATATAGATACGTTTGAATTATATTTGGGTGCGAACCGAGAAATTCTTGTCTCCAAAGTATAATTTCTGTTTGAATTAAGCTAATGCTTGTTGCGTGAATTAAAGTAATTTAATTAAACTAGAGCCCCAGTCACGTTGGGAATATTAACGCTTCCATAATACTCGTAAAACCATATTTCTGCCACTGGGTGTGCTTTTAATTCCAGCGCGAGGCAAATAAGTAAATATGGGCGATATAAATATTGGACTTCGCCAACTAGATATCAGCTATGGATATTTGATTTCATAAATATATATGAATGGGTTTTTAATCTATGGCGGCACCTTTCCACTTTCAGATATCGGAAATATCTAAACGATGGATGACTTGAGGGGGTTCTTGAGGCAAGCGGGACAGGAGTTCCTCAATGCAGCCGGAGAGGCTGCGATGGGAGCGGCCAAGGACGTGGTTGGATCGGTGATCAACGAGATCTTCATCAAGAAGGAGGCCGACACCAAGAGGGTTCTGCCCAGCATCAAGAACATGAGAGTGGTAAGTTGACCGATGGGGTTATCATCAAAGTGGGGCTATTTACAGGGCTATACTATACAAACATAAACAACCCATTGAAATCCATATGCATGTTAACGAATACATTCCACTCAAATCATTAGCAACCATTGCAATCTCAACGTAGTAATTTGCACTACGGGAACGTAAGTACTTACTCCTGTCGTCATCCTTATGGCATGGACATAATTCCATCCAAAGAATAATGTGCTGCCAAGATGTCGTAATGTGTTGTCCCTGTGTTGTTTCTCTATTGCATGTAAAGTGTATAAAACATCCTCGTTTAAACGACTCCATAACACACAAATATACTTTGTATATACAGCTAATGGATATCCATTCTGAAATTTATACGTATATAAATGTTTTATGGCTCAAATTATAAATAAGAGGTACTTTTCAGCTGGGAGAAAAGAGCTCGAATCTGGGACCCTATTCCGAAGTGCAGGACTATGAGACGATACTGAACAGTTGCCTGGCCAGCGGTTCACTTTTTGAAGATCCCCTTTTCCCGGCTTCCAATGAGTCCCTTCAGTTTTCTCGACGACCAGATCGTCACATTGAATGGCTGAGACCTCATGTAAGTTTCTTAAAATATGTTTGAATATTTTAATATAATAACATTTTTTATAAAGGAAATCGCCGAGAATCCCCAGTTTTTTGTGGAGGGTTATTCCCGCTTTGATGTCCAACAAGGCGAGCTAGGCGATTGTTGGCTTTTGGCTGCAACCGCCAATTTAACGCAGGAATCAAATCTATTTTTCCGCGTAATCCCGGCAGAACAGAGCTTCGAAGAGAATTATGCTGGCATATTTCACTTCCGCTTCTGGCAGTATGGTAATTTAAATAAACTTACTTTAAAATGTATTTTCTAACTGAAACGGATTTCGAAATTTTAATAGGCAAATGGGTGGATGTGATTATCGATGACCGTTTGCCGACTTATAATGGAGAGCTGATGTATATGCATTCAACAGAGAAGAACGAATTCTGGAGTGCTCTGTTGGAGAAAGCTTATGCCAAGTATGACTTGACCATACAATTACTTTGTATTTTACTAATAAACAATACTTGCAGACTCCATGGATCTTATGAGGCTCTTAAAGGAGGCAGCACTTGTGAAGCCATGGAAGATTTCACAGGTGGTGTTAGCGAGTGGTACGATTTGAAGGAGGCACCAGGAAATCTCTTCACCATTTTGCAAAAAGCCGCTGAACGGAATTCCATGATGGGATGCTCAATCGAGCCAGATCCGAATGTCACAGAGGCAGAAACACCGCAGGGTTTGATTCGCGGTCACGCTTACTCTATTACTAAGGTTGGTATTCTTCTTATGTAATTGGAAATCGATAATAAGCTTAGTATGTTTTTTAGGTCTGCTTAATCGACATAGTAACACCGAACCGTCAGGGAAAGATCCCCATGATCAGAATGCGCAATCCTTGGGGCAATGAGGCCGAGTGGAATGGTCCCTGGAGTGATAGCTCCCCTGAATGGCGTTATATACCCGAAGAACAGAAGGCAGAGATCGGACTCACTTTCGACAGAGATGGAGAGTTCTGGATGTCCTTCCAGGATTTCCTTAGTCATTTCGATCGCGTGGAGGTAGGGAGCTTAATAATATTTTTTTATGAATGGGATAAAGCATTAATTTTTGTAGATTTGCAATTTATCCCCGGACTCGCTGACCGAGGACCAACAGCAGAGTGGCAAGAGGAAGTGGGAGATGTCCATGTACGAGGGCGAATGGACACCTGGTGTTACTGCTGGTGGCTGCCGCAATTTCCTCGATACTTTCTGGCACAATCCCCAGTACATTATCACGTTGGTGGATCCCGATGAGGAAGACGAAGAGGGACACTGCACGGTTATTGTGGCCTTAATGCAGAAAAATCGCAGATCCAAGCGTAATATGGGAATGGAATGTCTAACTATCGGCTTCGCTATCTATAGTCTTAATGATCGCGAACTGGAGAACCGTCCGCAGGGTCTGAACTTCTTCAGGTACAAGTCATCGGTGGGACGATCTCCTCACTTCATCAACACCAGAGAAGTACGTATTAGGTAGCTTCTAAAAATTGTTTCACTATCTACATTTTTCGATTGCCTTTTAGGTGTGTGCTCGCTTCAAATTGCCTCCTGGTCACTACCTGATTGTGCCTTCAACTTTCGACCCTAACGAGGAGGGCGAGTTCATCATTCGAGTGTTCTCAGAAACTCAAAATAACATGGAGTGCGTACAAGTAGATAATGACAATGAGTTTGTATATTAGAAATAATGTGGGGTTTCAAAAACTAAAAGCTTCTAAAGTGCAATATGTGGTATGTGACTACAGTATAACTATTTATATCCCTAGTGCTAGTAAACGTTAACCTAGATGATTTGTTTATTTGACTATTACCCTCTACACATTCCCGACAGTTAAAGTTCAGATATGCATGTTTTTTTTATAAATATTCTCTTATTTAATCTCCCTCTTTTTGATATTAGCATTGTTGAGATTAACGCGTTCAGTATTCTTGAAACTTTCGAATTATTTGTGTTAGTTGAGGTTAAACACTGTGTCCGTCTGTCTGGTTGATTCTACAGAACTGATCTTGAAAAGGAAAGTATTATAACGAGTTTAAATCGTCTGCTCACTATGCAAGTTTTTTAAAAACCAGATATTTAAGGGCGGTAAAAAGTTAGAAATATTATCTCAGTTAACTAAAACAATATATTTTAATACTTGCTTAAATTGTATTTCTCTCATGTAATAATATTTTTATGAAAGTAAAAATAAAGAAAACCCCCACAACAACGTATTATAATTTAAAAATGGACCCATAAAATCTAGTTCATCCCAAAAGTCTGCTTAAAATACTCATTAGGCCATTATAAATCCTTGCATTTGTACATAGTTTTGTATAAAACCATTATATTGTTTCTATATAAACAGTTTATGTTCCATTCAAATCAATATCAATCATTTCGCTTTTCATTTCCGTATAGAGAGAATGATGATCATGTGGGTTATGGCGGCAAAGCCGATCCGGTAAGTAAACTATAGCGACTATGGGATTGTTTAATTAGGGATTTTGCTTTAAAGATTACGCCTGGATTTCCCACACCCAAGCCCTTGGATCCTCAGAAGGAGAGCTTGCGACGTTTATTCGACAGCATCGCCGGAAAGGACATGGAAGTTGATTGGATGGAGTTGAAACGCATTTTGGACCATTCTATGCGAGATGGTAGCACAAAAACTATTGTCTTCAATGCATTTTACTTCATTATTTTTATTTGATTTTAGATTTACCAAAGCCTGTTGTTTTTAACCGGTTCTCAAATACCAACGCATTTGAGACGCAGGCTGCAGGTCCTGGAGATGATGGTGCCGGCGCTTGTGGACTTTTGTCCTTGATTTGCGGACCATTTTTGAAGGGTACGCCATTCGAAGATCAGTTGGGAATGAATGATCAGTCTAATAAGAGGCTAATCGGGGACAATCCAAACGACGGTGGCCCTATAACTGCAAATGGTAATAAAAAACTCCTTTAAGTAGAAAACAAAAAGTTAATAGACATTCCTCTCAGCAATTGTGGATGAGACCCACGGCTTCTCCAAAGATGTTTGCCGTTCCATGGTGGCCATGTTGGATGCTGATAAGTCGGGAAAACTCGGATTTGAGGAGTTCGAAACCCTGCTTTCGGAAATCGCCAAATGGAAGGCTATATTCAAGGTTTACGATGTTGAGAATACCGGCAGAGTATCCGGATTCCAGCTCCGCGAGGCCCTCAACTCTGCTGGCTATCATCTAAACAATCGCGTGCTTAATGCTTTGGGTCATCGATATGGTTCACGAGATGGCAAAATTGCCTTTGATGATTTCATCATGTGCGCCGTTAAAATTAAAACATATATTGGTAATACGAATCCGTCTCAAAATGTGAATTACATTTTAACCATAAATTTGTATACAGACATTTTCAAGGAGCAGGACACCGAGAAAACCGAGACAGCCACGTTTACATTGGAAGAATGGATAGAGCGCACAATATATTCTTAAAAGGAATCTTTTATATAATAAGTTAGCAAATCAACTTGATCAAATATTTACGTGAAATCTCCTTATGGTAATCTCCAATATTTCTTTATATAGTACAAACAAACAATACTTCCGGAAATCCCAACTTATCCAACTTTATAATCAAATCATTATATTTATGTGTCGAATTCACCGAATTTATTGACTTGTTGACTCAGATTGTTATTACCCAATAAAACTATATATTATTTTTGCATTTCAAAGTAAAATTGTAATTTGAGCCAATGTTAACTTATTAAATAACTCCATTTCCGATATATTTTTAAGGTGTTTTAAACTGGATGGAATTCAATGTTCACTTGGCCAATTAGGACCCCAAAAAAAGTCATAATTTGTTTAGTAATTTCTTTTATTTTTTGTGATTGAACCTTGCACCAAAATAATTCGCTTCGAGTAAAGCTTATTATGGTAAACTAAAAATCACAATATAAATGTCTTAAACAAACCCAAAATTATGATGAAATTAATTTTTAGTTGTATTAGATCGGGTAGATTATCTATAAATATTATTACTAGCCATCTTCATTCAAAAACGTGTCTTTGATTCTTAAATTATTTTGACTAAATGACGATGTGAGAATGCGGCCGGCCGAGTTGAAGTCTCGTCAATCTTTAGTGAGTAAGTATATTCAAGGCTACATATATTTAGTACGTAGATAAGCGAATTATTCGCTGAATAGTTCGACTGATATACATATTTTGATATATATATATATATTTTAATTATGTACAGTTAGGTCATAAAGTTAATATCTATCTGCGCAGACACAAAACACTCAAGCATTCAAAATTACGCATGGCCGTGCAAGGCGGACGTATTACAGTACATATGTTCACCCGGACTGCCCAAAGTCTCCTCGACAATGCGCAAGGGTTCATTGGTCGACCTGTTGGGGTCCAAGCCAATGCTCATTCCCCTCTGTAAACTTCCCCCGCCGCTTAACTCCATGCTGGAGGGCGGATTTTGCAACTGCAATTGTGAACTGAAACTGTGGTGCAAATCATTATCATAAATCCCTGTGGCTTGAAGCATATCTCCCGATGTGCTTGTCTTGAGATAGCCACCAAGCTCAGTATTTGGCTCTGTGACAATCGACACCGAAGTTGACTCAAAGCCGGACGAACTGCTGGGTTCCTTTGTGGCGGGCGGCGGGAATAGGTGCTGATAGCGTTGTCGAATCGAATCGACGACGTCGAACAGGTTTTTGGCATCCATCGCTAGTACGTGGGCCGCAGATAGCATACTCCTTTAATATTAACCACAATTAGAACTTTTTAAAATCAAAATTACTATTAGCACTTACTTGCGATATTCACAATCCAAAGTGGTGTCGCTGTATTGCTGAGCCAATCGCATCGCTGAGACCAGTTCATGCATGTCTTTGGAAAGTACTTGATGTGCCATTTGCACTTCCCTAAAAGCAAAATATGTATGTAAAAGATCAATTTTTTGTTGATAAATTAACTTGGTTAGAGATAGCGCGACTTACTTGAGGGCCTGTGCTGGGAAAAGCACGGATATTTTGTCCACCGAAGTAAGCAGGTTTCGCAGCTTGACGCCCACGTTCTTGACCAGCTCCAAATAACCTTCGGTATTGGCTTTCTCCACACCTTGTGACAGCACCATTATTGATTTGACCACCAGTGTGGTGGCGCAATAAACTTCGTCATCTGCTCGGTTCAGTGGTCGACTGGAAACCGCACCTCCGAAGTTTCGGGTATTTGAGCCCACGTGATCTTCACCAGATGTCAAGCCAGACAAGTGATCCGCCGAGGAGTTGTTTGACTTCAGCGAAACGAGGTTTGCATTTGGTGTCATGGGTCGAGAGCTGGAATTCGAGCAATCTGGCAAACTAGAAGGTCCAGCTGACATAAAGTCAAGCTTAAACATATGTGGCTGGTGATCGTGAATAGATCCTTGGGGTATCGAGCTGGACCTTTGACGCTAAAACTAAATATTTAAGTACCAGGTTTTATGTTTTAACTTATTGTAACCAACCAGCAATTCCTCTTGGATTAACCATTCGCTATCGCTGTTGCTATCCTTTTGCTGCTGTCGTAGTTTGTCGCCCAAAACATTGTGAATGGCCTGAAAAATATAAAGTAGGTTAATATTTAAGAAATTGAGATAATAATAAAAAACTAACATAAACAAAATAACTTAAAACCGCTACTAAATATTAACGAAACCAACAAAAAGAGGCAATCAAATAAGGGAAATAAAAGAAAGAGCAAACGCTTGGCTGCCAACGTGTCCAATATAGGGGGCCAAACCTGATTTCCCATAGCTTCGGCTTGCAAGGTGGCCATGCAAGCAGCTCCTTCGGAAATGTTGGGTCCGACTGATATGTTCTGTGACCCAGAAACCATCCACTGTCGCTCCCATTCCCTTTGATTTCGGAGACCTTCGTCCAAGTTGTTTGGGGATATTACTCCAAAGGAGTCGGTTCCAACAGGTATATTTTGACCCATTGGTATATTTTGCCCAGTAGGTGCATTTGGGCCAATATTTTGCTGCATATTTATGCATTCTGTGCTTTTTACTTGGACAAACTCAGCGGGACACATATTAACCATCGGGTTAAATTTGGACTGCTGCTTGGCGGAGACACAGGTCTTGAGTCCGGCTCCTCCGAAATCATAAATTTCCTCGGGCAGAGCTTCGCATTCAATAGAGGTTTTCATCTGCTGGCGGTACGCGTGGAAATATGTGTTTCGTTCCATGCTCCTCGATCGCTCTGCTGTATTGGTGCAGTATGGTGGCTTCATATTGTAGAAAACCAGGTTTTGGGCTGACATCAGTGACTGGTGGCGCTCCAAGCTGCCACCTTTCGAATGCATGGCCTTTGCTGGTGGCGGCTGATGTCTCTCCAGGCTGCCATATAGGCTATATCCGGCCACCTTTGACACTGACGGGTTGGAAAGGTTTTCGCCCTGCATGTGCTCCTCTGTTTGGGGGGGACAAACGACAAAACTACTCTTCGAGGGCAGACTACCCGTAAACATTCCTGCCTGGTGTGGATTGTGGGGTTCAAGGGGATTAGCTAGAGAGCTTAAGGGGTTAGCCATTTGAGTAGCACTGCTGTTAGTAGAAAATTGGGATTTTAGTCTTTCGGACTCTGCGATTGGGTCAAGTTTTAACAAATCTGCTGCCGGAAGCTTGGTAGTCTTAAGCGAAACATTTGATTTGCTGTCATCTAAGCCTACGGCTAGAGTATTAAATACCGAAGCTGGCGTGGTGTATGCCGCTGGATTAATGCCTCGTTTTTGGTTCTCCATCATTAGCTTGGCCAGCACCGCGGGATTTTGTGCAATTATGTAGGTCTGAGGTAGGCCCGTTGTTTCAGGCATCAAGCCTGCAAGGTCTGCACATAAATAAAAGGCATTAGTTTTGCTGATAAAGTTATTTTAAGTAAAAGTAATTACCAGGATCATGCATCGCCCTTGAAGGTTTCGATGGCGGAATGTCGATCTCGTCACTGCCAACCCAAGACATGGATGCCACTTTTCGTTGCTCCCGCTTCAGAGTCTCCGATGAATTAATGCTGTCTTCAATAAGAATTTCACTGAAAAATAAAAATGCGTTTTTGGAAATCACAATTTAGTGAACTGTGAGCTAAGCTTACTGCAGAGTTTCCTTGATCCGCTTAAAATTCGGTCTTTTTAGAGGTTCATATGCCCAGCATTGAGACATCAGGGAATAAAGTCGGGGCGGGCAGTTTGGAGGCAATGGCAGTCTCTCCCCGTTTTCCAGCTTTAAGATGACATCGCTGTTCTTCACACCTTGGAAAGGCTTTACGCCAAGCATAAGTATTTCCCAAATGCAGACACCTAATAAAGTAATACGATTAGTTAAACAAAACTGAAGAAATAGTAGATATTACATACCAAACATCCATACATCACTGGCTGTGGTGAATCTTCTAAAGTTGATGGACTCAGGGGACATCCATTTAATAGGAAGGGCAACTAAAATAAATTCATCCATTTGTATATCGACCAAAAAAACAATTACATCATATTACCAGTGGGAGTTGAATGATAATACGATTGGTCGGAAACCCAGCGGGACAATCCAAAATCAGCCAACTGAAAGTACGCACTTTAATAAAATTACACCAAATAAATAATCATATTGAATATTACCTTAACACACGTCGGAGAGCTGACAAGCACATTACGTGCAGCAATATCTCGGTGTACGAACTTCTTAGACTCCAAATAGCTGAGTGCAGTAGATAGCTGGTAACAGTACTTCAATAGCGTACCGTGACTTAATCTAAATAACGAGGTTAACTAAGTTATATGGAGCCAAGCAATCAATTATGCTTTACTATCACCTTTCGCTGTTTGTCTTTAAATATGCCCGCAGTTCACCGAGTTTGGCCAACTCCATAACTATCCATATCGGCATAACGCTGCAAATGCCAATCAAGCGAATAATGTGGGGATGGTCAAATTTCTGCATAATATCTGAAAATATCACAAAATATAAGAGTTGTTGTAAAAGGCAGAGAGAGAATATGACGTACAAGCTTCGGCCAGAAAGTTTTCGGTCTTTTCGGGATCATCGTTAGCTTTGCATGTCTTTATCGCCACTTGAATGACTTCTGGCCTTGCATCGGCGTTTCTTTGGTCGCTATTGCTGTCTTTGCCATTCCCTAGTGAGCCCTTTCCTTTGCCCAGTTTCGGAAGAGTATATGTGCCCACATAAACATCTCCAAACTGCCCCACTCCAATCTTAGCACTCGCGGTAATGTGGGCGCGGTCCAGTTCATAGTTTCGAACGGTGGGCGTAGAGTAATCGCCCTCGCCCTCCATTAATCCAATCTCGGCGTAATCATCTGTCAACATCGGTTTTCCCTGACTCGAGCTCGATTTATTGGACCCTAGCGTTGCGTCATTGGGCAATGCCTTCGCGGTATCATCGCTCGAAGCGATTGTCTCCCGTTGCCAAATCGTGAACTCTAGGTCTTTTGATAGCAGCCTGCAATAACCGTCAATGAGGTCGGCAATACTCTCAGCAGTCTGTTAATTGACAAAAATTGCTTTTAAAAAAATATATATTAATACAAAGATTTAAGGACTCACATTAATTCCATTGCATGTTAAGACCAAATCTTCTACATTGTTGGACGCTGATATTTTAATTTGGGTCTTGATTTTCTGGCAATTGCAATTAAAGTTTTGTAACTCTGATTCTGTGGTATTTTCGTTAGATTTGGGCAGTTTTTCCTTTGGTAGAGTGCAGGTTTTAATGGAAACAACATCCTTAAACTGAGCTACGTTCTTTAAGCTGTCCTGAGGATGAGTCTGGTAAGAGATTCCTGGAAATCAAAAGATGTTAATGGCAAGCTGATTTCATTCTTGTGAAATAATTACCAAAGTGAGGACCGACGTGTAGAATTCCAGAGATATTCCATGCCGAGCTCAAGGTTACCGAGAACTGTTCAAAGTTTGTTAAATAAATATTTTTCAAAAGATCGAAGAACCTGGAAAAAGAAACATAATACAATCTGGGCACGCGAATGTAGACAGTAAAAATGCTTACCGTGTCAGGTACTCAATGTCGTTGTAATTGTAGACCTTTTTGTAACCGACTTGGATCATTTTCTTAAGATTCTTTGGCTTTGATGTGGCTATCACAGATTGTGGAAGAAAACTTTTGAATCCGATTTCCTTTTCGATGTAGTCAATGTGCTGTTTCTTATCAGGGGCTTTCACGGTAATATTCTTAAAATAATGACGAATGCCCAGACAGCACAACTGCACAGCTACATCGGTGTCGATGGAGGGGACATTGGCTTGAATAAAGTCTTCCTTCACCTAAAAACAAAATAAACCAGATATGTTGAAAATAGCTGTTGTTTTGTTATGGCATATTATTAAATTTTTGCCTTAAAAAGAATATTATTCAACTTAATAAAACCATACCTGGTTAAAGTAGTAGAAACAGGTGGCTTTGTCCTCTTCGAAAAGTTCTTGAATACTGTTGGGGACGTATCGCACCCGCAGCTCCACTCGCCACACCCTGTTGTCGGTGATCCTTCGGCCGTGCTCAAGGAGAGCCTCATCAAATTCCGCCTTGTTGTTTGGGCAGTCGACATTCGAGCAACCGGGCGTCAGGATGTGCGTGAGGACCTTCTGCATTGATGTGCTTCTCGCCAGCCAGATCACCTCCTTAGTGATCATGTTGAGCATGCGGCAGGCATATCGCTGGATGCTGGGCGTTCGCCCATCGGTGCCCAGATCTTCGACAGTACGCCGGATCACATGAAAAACGGTCTCCTTGACGTTAAACCGAACTGCCTTAAAGCTCTTGTTCGGCATATGCACGTGGATGAGGTATTCCTCCGGGAATACTGAAAAAGAAGACATTTTATTAAGTTTTCTGAGCTAGAATAGTGGAGAAACCCAAAACTCACACTCATTTTTAGTGGGCGGCGGTTGACTGCTGGCTCCCGCGGTGTTCATGGTCCACAGTTACCGCACAGTGGGCGATTTCAGATAAACGCTTCAACCTGCAGATACCAAAGACGTTGTATATTGAGTGTATCGATTGCATGACACAATAGCTAGTCCACGAAATCCTGCCAACCAGCCAATCTTTACAGGTGGAAGCGAAGAGAGACTTTCCCACCCTGTTGTTCGGTTTTTTTGTTTTTGTGGAGCTGGAACCACACCTTACTGCCCTGAGAAACCAGCCAAAACACTCTCACCCACTCTCTTCCGATGCCAACGCTTTCGGACCGTCGATCGGCAGGCTATATAACCGAATTCTTTAATCTTGTCGGGAAAGCGAGATATTCGTTATTGCCAAACTCTCGGTTTATGGAAATACAGTATGTGGTTGTAGGCACACACACGTTCGCACACACATCCCTATGTGCATCTGTTTATACATACAGTCTGCGCCAGATGTGAGGGGTTGGTGTGGTTATTAAAGGAATAACTAAGAAAACCACACAGTCTTTCTACTTGCTAGCGACATCGCCGATTCAAGAAAGGAAATGAGGGCAACCGCTGGCTTTAATCACCCAGAAATAGTTATTTTTAAAAATATGATTACTTATTTCTCCGTAGTAGCCAGTGTGACCGAGACTTTAAGCTGAGAATATACCAGTTCACAACTTTGGAAACTCTGCTGAATATGGTCACATAAAAGCCGGAATATATATTAATAAACTTTTGAATTTCTATTCTATTTACTTTTAAAGCTTTATAACAGTTTTATATTTTAAATTACACAAATTTAAATTGCCTTTTATCTTCTTAGATGTTATTAATATTGGCTCCACGGAACTAGTTCATTTTCGTTATTATTGGTATTTACTATCGAAAAGCGAACGATAACCGCCTAAGTATGGTCTGCCACCTTTAGCGTTGTAAAAAGTTGAAAATTTGTTCTGCTTTTGCAGAAATTCCAGCTAAAAAGATTAAAAAACAATTAGGAAACAGTACGTATTGTATTTATTCAACTTCAGCTCCACTTATATAATTGAAACACTTCACTTTCTATCGTAAGGAATTGGTTATTCCATAACAACCACTTTGCTTGTGCTTCGTTGCACTCGCACACGTTTACAGATTTCGTTGACTGTGTCCCTAAAGGCTAAATGCAGTTTATATAGATTCTTTAGTACCAGGTAGAGCTCTCGAGGAAATCGCAAATCTTCTACAATTTCTATAAAATTTAAAGTAAACATATGTTAGCGATAAACATGTTTAAAGCACCTAGGCCAAAATGAAAGACTCATCTCCTCTCATCTCCCCATTTTATATTAAATATTATTCATAATAATTAATGTTCATCTTCCCTAACAGGTAGGCATATAGATCAGAATGTCGGACTCGGAAGTCAGTAATATGTCGGATAGTGGCTCCGAAGATGGATCAATTTCCAATAAGTCGCAACGCAGTGCCAGATCCAAATCAAGATCAAGGTCTGGTTCCCGAGGATCAAGGTCAGTTTCCAGGTCCAGATCACGTTCGCAATCGGGTCACTCAAGATCCGGTTCTGAGTCGCCACAAAGACGAGACAATCGCGGCAAAAGCGACGAATCCGGCGAGGAAGAGGAGGAGCCCCCAGGCGAGGACATCGATTCGGAGGAATACGACGAGGAGGAAAATGATGATCACCCCAGGAAAAAGAAGAAAAAGGAACGATTTGGTGGCTTTATCATTGACGAGGCCGAAGTCGACGATGAGGTGAGTGATTACAGCACTTACTATTTGTCTGAAGTATAATTGTCTATTTCATCAAAGGTCGATGAGGATGACGAGTGGGAGGAGGGAGCCAATGAGATTGGCATTGTGGGCAACGAGATTGATGAACTGGGACCCACGGCCCGGGACATTGAAATTCGACGACGAGGCACTAACCTCTGGGAGTAAGTCAATGATTAAACATAAAATGGGACCTTAAGCTAACTATTTCTTTTTTTCAGCACCCAAAAGGAGGATGAGATAGAGGAGTACCTCCGAAAGAAATACGCTGACGAGTCCATAGCGAAGCGCCATTTTGGTGATGGCGGTGAAGAGATGTCGGACGAGATTACCCAGCAAACCTTGTTGCCAGGAATAAAGTGAGTTTTTGACCACTTTTTGAAAACTAATATCTAAACCCATCCATTCGCAGAGATCCCAACTTGTGGATGGTTAAATGCCGAATTGGAGAAGAAAAAGCGACAGCTCTTCTTCTTATGAGGAAGTTTTTAACCTACTTGAATACAGACGATCCACTGCAAATCAAATCTATTATCGCCCCAGAGGGCGTCAAAGGATACATCTACCTAGAGGCCTACAAGCAGACCCATGTCAAAACTTGCATAGAAAACGTGGGTAACCTTCGAATGGGCAAATGGAAGCAAGAAATGGTGCCCATCAAGGAAATGACCGATGTGTTGAAGGTGGTCAAGGAGCAGGTTGGCCTCAAGGTTAAGCAATGGGTGCGCCTAAAGCGCGGTCTCTACAAGGACGACATTGCACAGGTGGACTATGTGGATTTGGCTCAAAACCAAGTGCATCTCAAACTTCTTCCACGTATAGACTATACAAGAATGCGAGGAGCTTTAAGGACGACAGCAACCGTAAGTCGATTATTAAAACCCAGAATTAATGGAAGATAATCCTGAAATATATTGCAGGAGAGTGATGATAGCAAGCGCAAGAAAAAACGCCGTCCGGCAGCTAAACCCTTTGATCCAGAAGCTGTGAGGTAGGTATTATTCAGTATTTTATTAAGCAATAGATAACAAAGTCTTATTTCAGGGCAATTGGAGGTGAAGTTCACTCGGATGGTGACTTCTTGCTCTTTGAGGGAAACCGATATTCGCGAAAGGGCTTCCTTTACAAGAACTTTACCATGTCGGCCATTCTGTCGGACGGTGTGAAGCCTACTCTAGCTGAGCTAGAACGCTTTGAGGAATCTCCGGAGGGTAAGCTATTAATTTATGAACCCAGATTAAACAAAACTTCACTCGTATCATACATTATACAGAGGTCAACTTGGAAATAATGGGCACCGTAAAAGATGATCCCACTTCGGCTCACTCGTTTTCAATGGGTGACAATGTTGAAGTGTGCGTGGGTGATTTGGAGAACTTGCAGGCCAAAATTGTGGCCATTGACGGCACCATGATTACTGTCATGCCCAAACATCAAGATCTTAAGGTTTGTACTACAAAACATGAAATTCATCCCCATCATTAACATAAGGTTTCTGCAGGATCCTTTAATTTTCAAAGCCAGTGAGCTGCGCAAGTACTTTAAGACAGGAGATCATGCCAGAGTGTTGGCCGGTCGTTACGAAGGCGAAACTGGTCTTATTATTCGAGTTGAGCCCTCGAGAGTGGTGCTCGTCTCCGATCTGACCAACCACGAATTGGAGGTGCTGCCAAGAGACCTTCAACTCTGCTCAGATGTCGCCACTGGTGTTGATTGTCTCGGTCAATTCCAATGGGGAGACTTGGTGCAACTGGAGTATGTTTATTTATTGTTTACCTGTAAATGATATTTATTTACAAGTTCTATTTTGTTTTAGTTCCCAGAATGTGGGTGTTATAGTGCGATTGGAGCGGGAGAACTTTCATGTTTTGGGCATGAATGGCAAGTGCATCGAGTGCAAGCCAACTGCTCTGCACAAAAGGAGGGAGAACCGTAACACTGTGGCTCTTGATGCCGACCAGAATCAGATTCGTCGTCGCGATATCGTCAAGGTGATGGAGGGACCACATGCTGTAAGTTTTCAAGGTCTAATCGCTAGAATTTTAATAACTTCTTCCATTTCTTTCAGGGACGTTCCGGTGAAATTAAACACTTGTACCGCAGTCTGGCTTTTCTTCATTGCCGCATGTACACGGAGAACGGTGGAATATTTGTGTGCAAGACCCGTCACTTGCAATTGGCTGGAGGCAGCAAGACCAATGTTAATAACCCCGGCACTCTTGGTGGTTTGGGCTTCATGTCTCCGCGCATTCAATCACCAATGCACCCATCCGGTGGGCGCGGAGCTCGCGGTGGAGCGCGTGGCGGTCGCGGCGGTTTCCGTGTGACGCGTGATCGCGAGATTTTGGGCAAAACCATCAAGATTAGTGGTGGACCCTACAAGGGGGCTGTAGGAATCGTCAAAGATGCAACCGAGAGCACGGCTCGCGTGGAACTACACACCTCATGTCAAACGATCTCGGTGGATCGCAATCATATTGCCATTGTGGGAGTGACCGGCAAGGAGGGCAGTGTCTCCACATACGGACGCACTCCGTCTCGTACTCCTGGCTACGGAGCCCAGACTCCGAGCTACACCGCTGCAGGATCCAAGACTCCGCTGGTGGGAAGCCAAACGCCCAATTGGGATACGGATACTCGTACACCTTACGGCACTATGACACCTTCGCACGATGGCAGCATGACGCCTCGTCACGGAGGTTGGGATCCAACCGCCAACACAACGCCGGCCAGGAACAACGAGTTCGATTATTCCCTCGAGGAGCCTAGCCCCAGCCCTGGCTACAATCCAAGTAACAGCTTTTCTTTTATTGGCTTCCACACATTTTCTAATCCTTTTCAATCTTCAAGGTACTCCTGGCTATCAGATGACTTCCCAGTTTGCTCCTCAAACGCCTGGCACTTTATACGGATCAGATAGGAGCTACAGTCCCTTCAACCCCAGTCCCAGTCCTGCTCCCTCGCCCTATCCGGTGGGCTACATGAACACTCCGTCGCCATCGACCTATTCACCGAATACTCCGGGTGGCATACCCCAGTCGCCGTACAACCCGCAGACACCGGGAGCCAGTCTGGACTCATCAATGGGCGACTGGTGCACCACGGATATTGAAGTTCGAATTCACACGCACGAAGACACCGATCTTGTTGGGCAAACGGGCATCATCCGCACAGTGTCCAACGGCGTGTGCTCCGTTTTCTTGCGTCAGGAGGATCGCAGTGTGTCTATCGTTAGTGAGCACTTGGCTCCAGTGCCACCAAACACTGGTGATGAATTCAAGGTCATCTACGGCGAGGAGCGCGAGTCTGTGGGCAGAGTTCTGTCCAAACAGGAAGGCGACGTTCTCGTCTGCAAAATAAACGACGACGTGAAGATGATACCGGTAAACCACCTCTGCAAGATGAAGTCCATCGACTAAGCACCGAATACTTATAAATGTTAGCCTCTTCTTGACAAAACCCTTCAAAAAAATGTATTTCATTACGAAAACTTTTAATTCAAATAAACTATTATGGACGTTTAAGGTTGATTTTGATTAAAAAAAATTTTTTTCTTTAGATCGTACATGAAAATTCCACTGTGCAGCTCGCGTTAGTTTTTCGTTATATTTTTGAAGTATTTGTGTTTGCTTATGTAAGCAACGCATGTTCCAGTGCAACTGGAACCATAATATTTTACAAAACATTTGAAAACCAGAAATTTGAAATTTTTTGACAACAAAAGAAACACCCTACTTATTAAGTTTTCTCTGTTAACAGATAGTGATGCACCACTGTACGCCTAACAGCACGATAGTTTAATAACAGCACGACACCGGCACGTGTCGGTCATTTTTAGGATTTTTTCAGCGCTTGACCGTGGCCACACTAACCTTTCCTTCTTTTCTTACAAGTTTCCGGTGAGTCTCCGCGTTTTTTTTAGTGGTATTTTTATTTAATTACTTTTAAACCATTTATTTGTAGCGAGGAATTCCTGTGAGCAGCTTTCTTCCCTACATACCATAATGGCGGTACGTTTACAGACCAAATTTTCGCCGCGTCGACATATTTTCCACCATATTTCTGTGATAGAAAAGTGCGACGTGATGGCCGGAAATTTAGGTGTTTACGATGGTTCCCCCCTCACCCAAAGTGACGAAATCCCTTGATTGTGTTTTTCCAGGCTGTTACCAAGAAGATTAAGCGCGATCCCGCGAAAAACCCGATGCGGGATCTGCATATCCGCAAACTCTGCCTGAACATCTGCGTGGGCGAGTCTGGTGATAGGCTGACCCGTGCCGCTAAGGTAAGATATTCACAATAGACATGATGCTTTGGTGGCAGCTAACTGAGGTGTATCATTAAACAGGTGCTGGAGCAGCTGACTGGCCAGCAGCCAGTGTTCTCCAAGGCCCGCTACACGGTGCGTTCGTTCGGTATCCGCCGTAACGAGAAGATCGCTGTCCACTGCACGGTGCGCGGTCCCAAGGCCGAGGAGATCCTGGAGCGCGGTCTGAAGGTCCGCGAGTACGAGCTGCGTCGCGAGAACTTCTCCTCCACCGGCAACTTCGGCTTCGGCATCCAGGAGCACATCGATCTGGGCATCAAGTACGATCCCTCCATCGGTATCTACGGTCTGGACTTCTACGTCGTCCTCGGCCGCCCTGGTAAGAAATATGTTCCTTCGTCCGTAACCGTGCACTTAATTAGGTGTCTGTGCCAATCAAGGCTCTGATGCTCAGTGAATGTGCGCATATCAAAGAAGATGTGCTTAGTTGGCCTCGCTTGTCTCCATGAAAGGCCACACGGTACAATTTCTACAGCATCTATTTCAAAAACCTGTTGCGTTTTACTCACTTATCTTTAATTTTCGTTTTTTAGGATACAACGTGAACCACAGGAAGCGCAAGTCCGGCACTGTTGGCTTCCAGCACCGCCTCACTAAGGAGGATGCCATGAAGTGGTTCCAGCAGAAGTACGATGGTATCATCTTGAACACCAAGAAGTAGAGAAGCTCTACCCGTAACCATGTTTTTTAAGAAGAATTCTACAATAAACCTTGGCTTGTGTCAACACGTAAAACTGAACTCAAATCATCATTATTTATCGAAAAGAGATGAAACTGGATTGTGTTTCGGGTTATTCGGAAAGATACATTTAATATCTTTTTTTTTTAAAATACTCATTTCCGGTTTTATTGTTTTGGACATGAGTTTAAAAATAATGTTTAAAAGATCGCTCAGTTCTGTTGTGATAGGTTACAAAAATATAGCAAAACCGTTTGTAAAACTAGCAAACAGAGCGTAAAGGAATTTAAAAACCTTTTTTAGATCGTAAATAAGGTTTTACTTGTTACCACTTCCTGAACCTCAAGTTCCACTAAAGAGAGTCATGAAACATTTAAATAAAGTTTATATTAATTTATTTAATGGTCCAGTTGCAAAAAATTTAGCTTGTTTAAATACAATTTGTCGCCGGGATAAGTATAGCTATAAACTTTTCCAAATCGCGTTAGGTTTTTATTAAATTGAACAAGATTAACCGAAGTCAATATTCAATGTCATGTATGGCGTGAACTTGAAATTTTTGTGTGGGCGAACGAATTGGAAGTGGCAGCCAAAGTTGAAGGTGGCCAAAAGTTTCAATAAATCGATGGCAACACCTCGTCGTTGCCAAGGCAATGGAAAGTCCTTTGCAGGGCCAAACATGTCAAAAATATCGCCGTAAACAAAATACAACTGATGCCAGTTCATAAGTAAAATGGGGATGTTGCACAATTTGGCCGATTTGATAAAGATTAAAAAGGATAAAATGACGATTCTAGTGCTGGGCCTAAACAACAGTGGAAAATCCTCCATAATCAATCATTTCAAAAAGTCCAGCGAACAGACTTCAATTGTAGTGCCTACGGTTGGCTTTATGGTGGAGCAGTTTTATAGTAAGTGGCTGTGTAATATTGCAAACTTTGAGTATGATTAATATATGTCCTTCCGAAACAGGCATGTCAGGTGTATCAATAAAAGCTATAGATATGTCTGGTGCTACGCGATACAGGAACCTCTGGGAGCACCAGTTTAAGAACTGTCATGGAATCATATACGTCATTGATTCCAGCGATCGAATGAGATTCGGTATGTGATATGGAAACATATTAGTTAAATTGCTAAATGTTTTCACTTCAGTGGTTGTCAAAGATGAGTTGGATCTAGTGCTGAAGCATCCCGACTTGTGCAACCGAATTGTGCCAATTCTATTCTATGGAAATAAATCGGACATGGAGGATTCTCTCTCCAGTGTAAAAATTGCAGCAGGTGCCACTCTTATATATTAATCCTTATCAATTCACATCTAAACAGTTTCCCTTTACTTTTGTTTAAATTTGCAAACATTTTATATATGCTTTCAAAATTTTTTTAACATTTTCAACATTAATATGAATAGAGACATTAACAAGTGGATTTGCCTGACAATTTAATATTTCAGCGCTGAGATTGGAAAACATTAAAGATAAGCCCTGGCACATCTGTTCTAGCAACGCTATATCCGGAGAAGGTCTCGGCGAGGGTGTCCAATGGCTCATTCAACAAATGCGATTCGCCATGTTAAGCAACAAAGATGCCGCTAAATCCAGAGCCAAGAACTCCAAATAGATCTAAAATATACTCACCATTTTTCTTGATGTTTAATAAAAAACTGTGTTTTTCAAAAAGACTATTAAAAATCTGATCTTTTAGGAAATCAACAGAAATTTATTTTCTCGCAGGGACACAATCTTCTCGTTTAATTACAAATTAACACAGGCGAATAAAGCTTTACGCCTTCCTTCGTTTACTTGTAAATAATGTAAATTCAAATTAACCAATATAATTTAGCAGTCTAGGAAGTTAGCCGCCATCAAAAGTTCTAATGCGATCTCAGGAGCGATCGGGAATTCGGGTATTTCGGTAGAACTGTTGGTGTAACGCACTTTGTAGGTGAAGTACATGCAGACCTTTTGTAGGACGTGGGATCTGAAAATGAAAGGGGTTATTAATAGATGCTTTACTTATTTGCTTGATTGCGAGAATGCTCTATAAAAAGTATCAATAAATTCTAGTTTGTAAACAAAAATAGTTTGTCACTTATAAATCAAAAAAATTTTGTTATTTCTTAGGGTACGAATTTAAAATTTATGTAGATGAGATTAAATTAGTATGGATATGAAGCTGCTACTAAATGAGATAAATATAGATTTCTCTGAGACCGATTTTCTTCAAAGTGCGTTTTAGTGGAAACTTTTGAATGTACTAATCTTTTGACCGTACATGTACCCAAGATTACGTATAAATCCCGAGATTTGAATCATTTAGATTGATCTGTAATCAATGCACTCTAGTTGGATGTGCAAAGCGGCGCCATCTACATGTGTACAAAAATATACGTGATGCATGCGTGTACATATGTATGTAAGTGGCTGTGCAAATTTGTCGCCGGTCAATAGGTCACTTTTGCGATGACTTGGTACTGCCAGGTGAAAACGACGGCCGGTGGAGCCTACGCGCCGGAGTTCCAAACTTACGGAATTTCCCGGAAATGCACCTCGTTAGCCTCGTTTTCGGCAAATTGTCCCGGACCGGACAGCATTGCCCGGATTGTGCCGGAGGTGAGAGCGTGCTCGCGCTTTACGACAAATTCGTGGCCGTCCGAGGAAATCAGCTTCACGTACATGGCGTCCGGACCCTCGCATCCGCCGTAGATCTTGTCGCCGCGCTGCTCGTCCATTGCTATCATCTTTGGGGCGGGAGAATTTGATTAAGGGATTAAAACAGTTCGCGAAAATCGCCCTATTATTTATATTTTATCTTACTTGTCAAAAATATCAGTCAGTGACACTCACACACGGCCACACAATCACACACACACGAAAAATAAGTGTTGGACAACGGCGACTTTTACTAAACAATTGATTAATTTGCTGATTGGTTATTGATTAATCATCATATAATTAGCTAGACCGGATTTAAATAAAATTAACTAGTTATGCTGTTAAATACACACTATGGGAACTGTTTTTCGTGTCCCTGGTAACCCAATGTTGCTAACCGATTAAATATCGATTTTCAAAATAGAAGTAAATAAAGATTTATAGGCAAATAAATTATATTTCCAATCCCAAAAAATGTTGAACGAGAATAATATAGGAAAACATTATATTCAAACATAAACATAAAAATAATTTTTATATAAACAACATAATCTAAATACATTTTTGAATTTTTACATACATATACCATAGACATTATGTATGCTGCATGCATTTTCTATATACACATACATATGTAATTCAAATAAATTGTTTTATCAACATAATAAACTAAAATCTTAATAAAGCCATTTAACTTAAACTTGTCAATTATGTATTTATAACGATTTATTATTTGTATTATTAAAAAGTAAGGTTATGGTTTGTGACTCATTATTTATGACACATGCAAATTGGATTAAAATTGCCTTGGTTTTTTATTAACAACAAAAGCACCACCTTCATGTAATGAAAACGTGTGGGAATCTACAATCTGAAGTCTTCAAGCAAAAACTATATTAATTAGATATATTGCAGACAAGGCCATAAAAACTGGAGGCCGAACAATATCCATGTGTTTTACGTGGGTTTTAAATTGGCACTTCCTACGTTTAAATGCTATCGTATCATGTCCTCTTCAAGGGCAAATCATTTTTGTTTTTGCAATATTTGCTCAAAAGTTGAGGTAGGTTAGGACCTGCTGCTAATAAATAACAATCTATGTGAATAAAATTATCATCAATCACAAAACATAACCATATGTCCAAAACAAACACAGCCGGCAAAAGTGCTCCTATTGTTTACAGAAAAGTTTGTGGGACGATTTTCTTTTGTTTGCATTGACTTGGGATGGCCCAATTAAGTCCGCTAATAAAAACAAGGAAACACCAAAAGGAAATCTAAGCCCAAAACAAACAAAAGCAGCGAACTGATTTCCTCCATTTTTTAGCTCAGTAAGAGCTACCAACAAAAACCATAAGTTTTAGACTTGTGAACAAAATTGGATCCGACTTTATTGATTACGTTGTTAGGAGAACAAACATATTACAACTGAATTTATTTGTTCTCGTTTCATTTTTTTTCGCAAAACATTGATCGAGAATTCTCCTTCGATTGTATATCGATTCGCATTTAGTTCTCGTCGACCTCAGCCTCCTGCTCCTCCTCGAACTCGGCGTCCTCGTCGGCGGTGGCCTCCTGGTACTGCTGGTACTCCGAGACCAGATCGTTCATGTTGCTCTCGGCCTCGGTGAACTCCATCTCGTCCATGCCCTCGCCGGTGTACCAATGCAAGAAAGCCTTGCGCCTGAACATAGCGGTGAACTGCTCGGAGATGCGCTTGAACAGCTCCTGGATGGCGGTGGAGTTGCCGATGAAGGTGGCGGACATCTTCAGGCCACGGGGCGGGATGTCGCACACGGCGGTCTTCACGTTGTTGGGGATCCATTCGACGAAGTACGAGCTGTTCTTGTTCTGGATGTTCAGCATCTGCTCGTCGACCTCCTTCATGGACATGCGTCCACGGAAGATGGCGGCGACGGTAAGGTAGCGTCCGTGGCGTGGGTCGCAGGCAGCCATCATGTTCTTGGCATCGAACATCTGCTGGGTCAGCTCGGGCACGGTGAGGGCGCGGTACTGCTGGGAGCCTCGGGAGGTCAGGGGAGCGAAGCCGGGCATGAAGAAGTGGAGACGGGGGAAGGGCACCATGTTGACGGCCAGCTTGCGGAGATCAGCGTTCAGTTGGCCGGGGAAACGCAGGCAGGTGGTCACGCCGGACATGGTCAGCGAGACGAGATGGTTCAGGTCACCGTATGTGGGTGTCGTCAGCTTGAGGGTGCGGAAGCAGATGTCGTAGAGAGCCTCGTTGTCGATGCAGTAGGTCTCGTCCGTGTTCTCCACCAGCTGGTGCACCGACAGCGTGGCGTTGTAGGGCTCCACAACGGTGTCCGAAACCTTAGGCGACGGCACAACCGAGTATGTGTTCATGATCCTGTCGGGGTATTCCTCACGGATCTTGGAAATCAGCAGGGTACCCATGCCGGAGCCAGTGCCGCCGCCAAGGGAGTGTGTGAGCTGGAAGCCTTGCAGGCAATCGCAGGATTCGGCCTCCTTGCGGACAACATCGAGAACTGAGTCCACCAGCTCAGCTCCCTCTGTGTAATGACCCTTGGCCCAGTTGTTGCCGGCTCCCGACTGGCCGAACACAAAGTTGTCGGGCCTGAAGATCTGGCCAAAGGGTCCCGATCGCACGGAGTCCATGGTGCCGGGCTCCAGATCGACAAGGACAGCGCGGGGCACGTACTTGCCGCCGGACGCCTCGTTGTAGTACACATTGATGCGCTCCAGCTGCAGGTCGCTGTCGCCATGGTAGGCGCCGGTGGCATCGATGCCGTGCTCATCGGAGATGATCTCCCAGAACTAAAAAACAGAAGAAAAAATTAAGAATTGAGGATTAGTAGGGGTTGGCAGGAGTTGTACAGGATTTGCTAGGATAATGAGTCACCCGGAAAATCGATTCACAGGGTGGATGGTTTTCCTAACTCTGTCTTAAGAAGTGTATGAGTCATTTCGGAAAATCAATAGTCATGAAATTTTTCAAAGTATTGACCATCTGGTAAAAGAAATTTATAAAAATCCACTAATAAATATCGCTTAATGCATTTACTGGCTTTATTTACAACATTCGGTTAGAAAAAAAGTATTTTCTCCGAATTCTTCCGTAAGAGAAACAGTGAATTCCCTTTCTCGAATTACTTAATTGCAATTAAAATGTTTAATTTCAGAAAGTGCATAACAAGAAGGGCGAGACCCTATGCTGTTTTCGGTGAAAGTTATGTTTAACCAGCACTTACAGAGAAAACTCGAATGGGAAAGTTCTAGAAAAAGCTATATAAATAGAAAGGTTTTAACCTCTTAAATGTATTTTTTCTACGGGCCTTATAAACACCTTCTTAAATAGACTGCTGCAGGGTAGTTGGAAAACTCATTCCGAAAATAACTCTTTATTGATTGAAATGAATATGGGCACAGGCCTCAATTATGTACATGCATATGTCTAGGCTCGGCTATATGTGCTATATATATGTGGACGTACGCCATCATAAACTGTGTATGGGCCGAGCTCCGATTAACATAACTTATTCGCTGCCATTTTTGGAGCGTTTCCACCACCGAACCAACGATAACGTCATCTGGCGTGGGTTTTCGTTTCGGATCTCGAGGCGCAGCTGTCATTTCGATCCGAAACGATCTCTCTTGAATCTTCGGGCGTGGGCTGAGCTGAGCTGAACCGAGCTGAGCTGTGATGTATGACTAGTTTGTCTGTCTATATGTCTGCTGCCCCCACGCACAACCGGCGACCTCAGAGCCGGGCTCTCTACGTACCACCCCAAAACTCCCCACCCCGTAACTTCATTGGCTTACATCACCGGTTGTTCGGGTCTTGAACGACCCACTCTTATTGAAATCATAAGGAGGAGGAGTATGAGGCGTTGGCGTTCGTCTCAGAGGTTAAAACTGCAGCTCAGAGCTCTAACTACCGACCATCTGGCGCATAAATCGTACGTTTTTCAGGGCATTACGTCACCTCAGATCTAAATAAAAACCCAACTTTTTGCGGTTGTCGTTGTTTATGTCGCGTAAACAAATAAAAACAATTTACTCAAAATAAGTCTGATATTGGCAGGGGCATGAAGGAAATGCGTGGTTGACACTCGTTAAAACGAAATGGTACCGACATACCGGATTGCTATATATGTTTGTATATATAGAAATTCCCTTTTTAAGCCGGCCAAAAGAGAGAGAGAGAGACCCAAACTTGGGCACAACAATTGTTATGTTGCAGCTGCTCGGGTTTTAAGGCGTTTCCGAGGGTTGTTTTCGGCCTATTCAGGATATGAGTATTGATTTTTCTGGCAAGGACTAGAAAGGATTCGTCATTATGTCCCGTTATCCACACGCATGTGCAGCACCGCCCTTACTCTTTGCCAGTGTGTTTTTGTGTGTGTGTGAGGAGAAAATCGGATAGAGAAGCACAGATGGCGAATTCCTCTATATAAGGTCATCTTACTTTGCAGATTCTTGGACCCATTAAAATAAAGTGCTGCAAGTTGCAACTAAGCGAATATAGCTTGGACGGAACAAGAGTTCGCCCACGCCTTATACAAGAAGTCATGAATAGAAAATAGAAAATGTTTTCATTCCAGATAAGATAGAGAAGCCGCTGGAGTAGCGCGAAAGCAAAAAATAAAGTACGGAATGCAATAAAACCAATAGAACGGGCACTGCAGCCTACATATATACATATGTACATCCTATTTATGTATAAGACCAACTCTTATACACTCTGCGAACCGGTCAACAACGACCGGTTCAGCCATTTTAGGTTACAATGACGTCATGTTTTCTCTTTAGAAGACGCATAGCGGCAAAAAACCGGCCGACGCTTACACACATATAAGCTTTAGACTCTGTGTGCGTGTTAAAAACCTTTCGTGTTTTGACGAAAGAAAAGTACCCTTCACCATCTGGACAGTGAAATGGCTTTCACAACCGGTGGAAAACTATGAAAGTATTTTGCCTAAGAGAAAATGACTCATGCATGCACCATACACACAGACATACTAGTTAGTGTAAGTGCAGACACACCCAACTATAATTACATATGCGAAAGTCAATGGCCCTAAAACATCGTTTTATCGTAATTTTGGGCGTGACGTACTTTTGTTCTAAAGTTTAGACCCCAAATACCCAAGGGAAACAACAAATTGCAAGCATCTTTTCGAAACCGGACAAATATACTGTATATACAAACACAGATGCCGGGACTCTAAATCCCACACACACATATCAGCAGATTCGGTGGTATACATAAATGTAGATGTGTTTGTGTGAAAATGCCGGCCCCAATACAAATTTTTGCCACATGGGCAGCGAAGTCGTGCAAAAATGACGCCATTTTGGCAACTGTACTCCCCGTGGAAAATGAATAGAAAATTCAAAAAGAAAAACTCACCTTAGCGCCGATTTGGTTGCCGCACTGACCAGCTTGGATGTGAACGATTTCCCTCATTTTGTATTTGTTTTAGGTTTTTGAACTTTTAACTTAAAATTATCTTTCGCTTATAGCAGTCGAACACAACACAAACTGTCCGCTTCACACACTTGGAAAAATTGGTGCGATTTTCGTCAAGTTTCAGGCCTTTTATAGTGCGGTTGTCAGTGTTGTCGAACGGCGAACTGGCTTTCGCCCCAAATGCTCTGCAGATTGTCACTAAAAAATCCAGCATTTGTCCGAAGACTTATTCTCAAACATAGTGGAGAGTTGGTTGAAACCTCGGCTTGACCTAGTTTCATAACTAAAAAGTTAAAATTCAATAGATCCAATGCAATGGCAACATCGAGCATCGTTTTATTTAAGGATTCCTGATAAAAGGATTGGGGATCTCTTAAAATATTACAAAAGTTCCTCTTAAAAAACGTCCAATTAGTGGGAAACTTGGATACGAGTATAGTGAACACTCAGACCGGGCTAAGGCATTGGAACTTCATTAAGAAGAGCTCTCAACTCTCACTAATAGCCTTTAATAATTATTCGAATTTTAATTTCCAAATTTTAGTTATTAGGTAATTATAAAAATTACATAGGATAATTAAGAAAATGCTTACTTTTTATGTGAATTCCTTAAATCTGTATTTGAATTCGGAGAGTATAACATAGAATAAAATATTCAGTTATTTTAAATATGTATACAGTTTATTCAAATAAGGCAAGTCCAATTAATTTTATAATTTATAGTTTATAATTTTATATTATAAAAAGTAGATGTAGTATCTCTTTTAAATAATAACTTATATATTAAGTATACAACCTTAAAATCAAGGTAACATGCGATGCTCGTAATCGCATCAGCACTGCCATCACTATATCTATGCGATACTTTTGTGGTTATTTTCGGCGCGCGCTAATGCCGATTTGCACGCCGGCGTTGCCTCAAATAAGCTAAAACGGAGCCATTATCTAGATAGTAAAGTGACTTGACCATCAATGAGTGACTAAAGAACTACTTAGATTTTATAGATAAGCCCACCAGACCCACAAAACCTAATAAAGATGATAACCCTACTTGTACCGCTGGTGGCCTCGACCATTCCCATTTTGGCTATTTTATTTGTGACCGGCACATTCCTGTACAAGGGATTTATTAGCATACGGTAAGTGGCAAATGCACAACTAGTAACCAAAACTTAATTCTGGAGTATTTGCAGCTCCCGTTACGACGCCCGGGTGAACTGCTGGTTCTGTAATGGCAACTCACGAGTTCCCTATGCAAATCGCAATAGTTGGACCTGTCCACAATGCGAACAGTATAATGGATTCACCAAAGACGGAGACTACAACCGGGACCTGACCTCGCAGCGGGACTGCAGCCATAATTCCCAGAAGAACAGCTCCCACGGCAGCTCCAGCATCTGTGCAAATTCATACTACGCAGATGTCCTGGCCCAGAATCCTCCAGCCCCTAAAAACGGCTTGTGCGACGGCTGCAACGAGGCGCAGCGCCTTAAAGTAGAGAAGTTGTCCCAGTTCGAGCCCAAGAACGAGTCGCGATTCGAACAGGAACTTAAGATTTACAGGTGCGGAAGTAAAGCTGGTTTTGGGGTTCCACTTTATGTTCAAAAAGTCCACGTGAATTCCATCAACTTATGGATTTTATATTTTCTTCCGCAGAGAACGATTGGAGAAGCAGTTTCGTTTGTGCAGCAGCTGCGAACGTCACGTGAATAAGGTCCTGCATGAGAAGAAGAAAATGGTGCTGAGTTCCAAGTTCCTGAACTACATCATCAAGGGCGCATCGCTGCTCAAGCAGCCGCACTTCAACCGCTTGGCCAGTGCCCAAAAGCAGCAAAAACTTCACCGATACCGAGTGCTTATGACGATCGTGACCGTGATCAACATTCTGTGCCTGCTCTGCCGCCTGCCAAACGGAACAGCCACTCAGTTTACTACCTACCTCGGTGAAATCCTGGGCTTGGCGTTGTTCTATACCTACTCCCATGTGCTGGCTTTTATCCGAGTGGTGACTTCAGGCGTGGGTATTTTTCTGGAACAGCGGGAAACCACTGCCAAAGTATTGTTATACGGTCGAACCTTTGGCAAGCTGTTGCTGTATTCGGTGGGTTTGAGCCAACAGCAAGTTCAGCAGGCCACCTTCGCCTCTTGTTTTATATCAACCTACCCCTACGCCATGTTGGCTCTAAGTTTCCTGCACAAGATCAACGACGGACTCAAGTTCACGAGGTTCACCATTGTTCTGCTGCTGTGGAGTGTATATGCCACCGGAATCGAGCTCCTGGCTCCTCTTATCGATGGAATATCTTTCATAGTAAGTAAATCTAAACTTTTGCTTAAATTCTACTTTAACGAACTCTTTGCTACAGCTGCTGGGCAGTGTGTTTACGCTGCTTTTGCTGGCCACCAACCGGTCCAATCTGCTAAGCCAAACGAACCAGGACGAGTCCGCCTGTGAAAGTTTTCATCGCCTCTGTGCGGACGAATGCGACGAGGAAACATTGAGTATGCTCAGCCAGCAGTTGAGTGGTTGCAGCAATAGCAGCGCCGGAAATTTGTCGCTAAGGTCCACCCCCGTTTGCCACTCGCCTGCGCCGACAATATCGCAGCGGACCTTCCAGCCGCCATCCTCTCTTCTCTCCCTGGATTCCCTGCATCTATCGAAGCAGCGCATGGAACAACAGGCCTGGTCCTCCAACTACGGAGGAGCGTCTACATTGATCGCACCACCCGCCCAACCAGCAATGATGTTGCAGCAGAAGCCAATGAGGCAAATGGAGTCCCAATGGTATCGTCCTGGGTCAAACAACCTTGGCCAAAGTCAAGCTTTTACCAGATCCTCACAGAATCTGTTGATGCCATCACGGTTGCCCATGCACCGGAATGTCGGCGGCGATGTTGGGGCCTGGGTGGCGGCCAATCAAAGCATGAACCAGGACCTGAGCACTGCCAGTCTGATGCGGCACTACGAGGAGAAGCAGCAGCAACAATTGTCGCGCACATCGTCGCAATCTTCCGGCTTTGAATCGCAGCCTCGTCCGGAAACCCAATGGGGAACGGCTGCTCCGACAACGAGGGACTACGGCTGGTCCGAGACCCGCGGAAGTCTGCGCAACCTGGCCGTTTTGCCGCCCCTTGCATCGCCCACGCCCACATTGGCGGCCAGCGAGTATCAATATGCGAGAACAACTGTGCCGCACCAACAGCCAACCATTCAGCCGGGGGATTTACTCAGAAAGTGGATCGAAGGCAGTTCCAAGGCCTCGCAACCAATCCACTAAAATGTGATAGGTCATATAACATCGGAGAGGATTTTTAGAAAGCCGAGAGATCACAAGGAGCATAGGGATCATTACGAACGCAGAACAAATCACTGCCAGTTAAGACGTATTTAGATTTGAGTTAACTTAATCATCAAGTAATTTATTGTTTTTGACTATTAGTCAATTTGACCGAGAGCTTGTTCTGCTTTTCATTTTGCGCTAAGGGTCCCAAAAGGGCCACTACCTATTTCCATTATTGGTTGTTTTTTTTAGCTTCTATGACTAAATGAAGGGGACTTGGTTTACATTGCTATAAAGTGCGAATGCTAGCCGCTTTAACTGTCTTGATTGCCAATTGCTCTAATACAAAGAGGGATCTTCACTTCGAAGCAAAGTGGTACGACAAGCAATGTTCTTGAAATAAAAGCAAAGATTTCAGGGTTCGTTGCATTCGCACAACAGCAGAACTAATGCAAGTCACTTTTTCTCCAGACCTTTGATAATAAACAAAGATCAAAATGGCAAAGGGAATGGCCCAAAAAAGGACGCATAGGTGACCCGTTATTATTTTATCTTAAAGCAATAAGGGTAGATTGATAAGACTTCAGTAGGCAAACCTTAGTTCAATTGAGAAGCATCATTAACAGTTTTGTTATTCCCATTTGAACTCAGGAGCCTTTTCTCAATCTTGGCGACTATTAACATAGTTTAGATAAATTGTTTATTATACAAATTGAATTATTTTGAAATAAAAGGAGAATTAACAAAGCTGATCAAGTCATGTTATTACCATCGAAGGTTCCTTAAATCTTTAATTTGTTAGAGATACAACCTTTTTATTCTGTGGTTTCTCTTCAGTTTTGTTTTTGGCCTTTCTCTTAAATGGCTCTCATTCTCACTTTTCATTATTATTTTCTCTTAAGCAAATGCTCTTCTAAAACGTTGTTGCCAGACCTTTGTCCTTGCTAGTATATTTCCATTTGCGCTTTTAAACTATTTGTGAGTATTTTCTGCATTGTAAGACAGAAATTTATATAAGTTGAACAAATATTAGGAGATATAAATCATAATCATAATCGCATAACGAGATATTCTAGTTGATTATTAGATTTTTTAACGGGGACAACAGTATTAAAATAAGGTTTCTTCCCGTAACAGGTCCATTTTTAGTACGATCCGTGTCCAGAAATGTGGCAGCTCCGCCACAATATGGCTGCCGTATCGTAATGTGAATTTTTTTGGGAGACCGAGACGTACATACTTTTGTTGCTGCCAAAGTGGATGTGGAGAGAGGAAAATAGTAATTTTTAACTGTGTTGCGTGAGCGGGACGAGCACCGTGGGCGATTTGCGAAACCGCCATCGGCTTTATCGGTTAATAATAATAAACCGTCTCAATATCAAGTTACCCCATCGCGGATACACATTAGCTCGCGAAGGGCAGAGCAGCGCAGAGCATATAGCGAATTTCCATTTGTTGCCAACAAGACTGTCGTTGTTGTTGTTATTGTTGAGTGGGGTGGTTAAAAAGAAAAGAGAGGGGGAAGCAATTGCGTTCGTAATCTTGGTGAAAAATCGGTGACCGTTCTTCTTGAAAACATCGCGATAAGAATATAAGAAAGAAAAATCTGATTGAAAACCAAAGAGCTGCTGTGTGCGAGCGAGCAAAAGAGCGGTCGAGCTAGCGAGTGAGCGAGTAAGAAAGCTATGTATTGCATTTGCATTTCGTTGTGTGTGTTGTCGTCGTTTTCGTTTTCGCCTTTGCTTCGGTAAAAGTCGGTAAAAAAGCCTTTCCAACTAAACCACTTTCGGGTAATCTGAATCGCAATCGGGAAAAGGAAAATCGAAATTAAATAATAATAATGCGTTACATCGATGGCAACAGCGTCCAGCTAGCGATTCCTCTCTGAGCGAGAGCGCGGAAGGGAGAGCCGAAGCAGCAGCCATAACGTTTTAGCTTTTCACGCCTCTTTGGGCCGATCGGAAATTGTATTTGATTGGTAAGTAAAGTACAAGAAGTGGCAGCGCCATGGCCAGCAAATCAATACTTTAAGGGGCTGCCATTCCGTTTCGTTCCGTTCGTTAGTTTTCCTAGCCCATTCGTTGGCGCTCACCCACTCTCTTTTCCTTGCTCTCTTTCCCGAGAGAGAGCCGCCCCCCGCCCGCCCCCACACACCAAATAAACTGTGTGTGCGTGCTTTGTAATAACGAGTACACTTTTCTGCACATACAAAAAGAAAAAAGCGTAAAAAAAGAAAGACCGAATAAAGAAATTCACATAATTTTATGACACTCTCCGTCTCCCTCGCGCTCTGATTGTCTTCTAGTGTGTGTGTGTTTTAATTTTTAAAAAACAGTTGTTTTGGCCGAAAGGGAATTTTCTTTTGGTGGTATTTATAGCTAGCAAGCTCCTTTCGGAAATTATTTATAACCCCCCTCGAAATGTTTCCACGCAACAATTTACGCGATAAACTTTTACAAACTATAAGTATACAAAGTGCAAACCCACTATATTTCGTTTGTAAGTCCACGAATTGCTTACGTATTTATGAAATATTACTTTGCGTAGGTCGGTGGGCGTGTTTGCTCGGCCCACAGTTTCTACTCATTTTCCTGGGGATTTCCGCTTGTGACAAAGGCATTTAAAAAAAATAGGGGGCGTGGCACTACTCTCTGAAATTATTTTAGATCAATAAAGCGTTTTTATTCCTATGTTTTTTAGAACGGTTCAAATTAATTACTCATTATTCGAAATTAAACTTAATTTTTAATTAGCAGATAACATTTAAAATGTAAAAAAATGGCACAGAGATATTAAAACTGGGAAAATCACAATAATAACTCCTTTTAAGCCATGAATCATTGCCACTATCAAAAATACAATCTTAGTTTAAATGTGGAAATCGAACATGGAAGTGTGCATATAAACAAAGAGTTGTTTTTACTTCGAAACTTGTATCTATTAACTTTCTAAATTAGATTAAGTATCTAACCAGTTAAGCAATATATATTTTAAGTAATTTCCCATCTTTAGCAAGTAATAAGTATTTATTTTATCTAATTAAGATCTATAATAAAAACATGTTTACTTTTTTGTAATAGAAAAGTAGAATAAAATGTACCTGGGTGTCAACTATTAATCAACATATTTATTCAATCCATAGAAGTTTAATGTGTCTAAGACAAATGTTTACTACACTTTATTTGCAACCATCGGATAGCCATTTATTAAAGTTAGTCTTTGTTTTAGATTGTAACTAAATCAAGAAATTGTTAAGAATAATCCATACCAATAGAAGTAATAATGGGTGAGCTGGTGGATAATCTAGAAAGGATTGCTGTAGAGCTTGTGGCAAACTTGGTTAAAGGCAATGCCACCTTAAGGATTCCCCGTAACTCATCTTCAAAAACCCCCACGGATTATAGGAGAGTCTCTTATAATAACCGTAGAAGTCGGCATAGTTTCTGCCTGCTGGTTTACATGCTTTCCCGTGCTCACCGATTGCAAGTTCATGGAGGAAGCTTTACAGTGCGTGGACTGTATTATGGAGATCCCTTGCTGATCCGGTCGCAGTCCAGGATTGGCCAAGCCAGACTTGATGTGTGTCGAATGCTGAACGCATCCCCATTGGCTTTGGGCGTACTGGCAGCCTCCAAGGGCCTCATTGCAGGTGAGTCGCCCTGGAATTCCTCCCCAAAAGGGTGTCTGCTAATCACCGCTTCCCTCTGCAGGCGACGTACGTCTGCTGATGACCAACGGAGATGTTCTGGACAGCAGTTTGTACAGTGGAGCCATGACCCTGCCCGCGGACCCAGAGAAGGTGGATCGCATTGAAACGCTGGCAGATTTTGTTCTAGTCGTTGAAAAGGAGTCGGTGTTTGAGAGCCTGCTGTCCAGGAATGTTTTTTGCAACCTAGAACAACGCTTCATCCTGGTAACTGGCAAGGGATATCCGGACTGCTGCACCCGGAGGATTGTCCATCGCCTCAGTGAAGAGAATCTGCTGCCGGCTTACATTCTCGTCGACGCCGATCCCTTCGGCATTGAGATAATGCTTGTCTATCGCCAAGGCTCGCAGGCAATGAGTTTTTCCAGTCAAGGACTAACCACACCTTCGCTGCGTTGGATTGGGCTACACCCCTCCGAGATTCCCGCCCTAGGCACTGGAGCGGTTGCCCTGGGCACCGGCGACAACAAGAAAATCAATGACCTCCTTGCCCGCAACGATTTGGAGCCGGGAGTGCGCCAGGAACTGCGCATGCTGCAGGACGTTCAGCTAAAGGCCGAAATCGAGAGTGTCATCGACTTCCTGACCGACGACTATATACCGAACAAAATCAATCGGAATTTGTTTTTGTAGAGCTCGGCTCGGTTTAACCCAAAGGGTCAAGTGATAAATATAAACTTTCATTCATTATTAAGTTTAAAGGCAACTATGCGTTTATGAAAAGACTAAGAACATGTTAATATACCTATTTATAACCGTATAAGTCCACGTAATCGGTTAATCATATAAGTATATTTGAGTTAATTAAAATGTAATAGATATTATGCAAAATAATGAATTACTTATTCCAAGCTAAATTAAATAATCATTTTTTATGTTCAGATAATATTCTGCCCTCAAAATTGTATTGTTAGTCAGTAATTTCATCAAATTTAGCTAATTCTCTTGTGCAGATCAGTATTTCTTAAAACGAAATAGTGTTTGAATTAATCTATATCTGCTTGGCATTAAGAATACCTAAGTAAGATCCAAATTTCAACAATCTTAAAGTAAATATTTAAATAATTGGTGGATAATGGCAATTGTTACCCCGGTAAAGTCTGAGTAATCTGCTTCTAGTGGTTGGTTTTGAGTGGACCACTTGATTTTGTGTGTCACTTTGTGTGGACAAAGCTAGTAAAACTCAGCAGACAAAGAGATTATTTATTGTGCCTTTAAAAGTATTATGGCTTGAGGTCGATAATCGGAGTCGGGTAAATGACAAGGTTTTTGATAATGCCAATGCAATGACCAGCCGTATAATAAGAAAAAAACCCAGTTTGTTCAATTCTATACTAATTGCTCTTATTTTCCCTTGCAGATGTGAAGAAGTTCCACAGATGGTAAAAACCCTCTGGGCATTTGACTAATCTTAAGCACCGAAACTTGAAAGACTCACCGGAAAATACTCGAATCTCACGTGCAGAATCTCTAAGAACCCATTTGGACTGTTTGAAATATGTCGACAGCAATGCGAACCACACTGCAGCCAGTTCCTGAAGCCCTGCCAGCGGAGAGTGTGTCCAATGGCACCGCATCCAATGTTGCAGCGCCGGCGGCGCCAGTTTCGAGCGCCACAAATGCGGCGCCTCCACTGGCCGCCGTCTCCAGCACAACCGCCACCTACGCCACCAACTCGATCAGCACATCCTCGCATTCGGTGAAGGATCAACAGCAGCAGCAGCAGCAGCAGCAACAGCAACAACAGCAGCAGCAGCATGATTCAGCCAATGCCAACATTGTGTCACTGCCACCAACGACAACGCCAGTTGCCAACACAACAATGATGCCCATTGTAACGTCCTCGAATTCGGCCAGCAACAATAGCACTGCGGCCACGCCCACACCAACTACGGCGGCGACAGGTGGAGTGGGCTCAGTAGCCGCAGCGCCCGTTTCTGCGGCATCGGCCAACACCAATCACTCGCACCAGCACAGCCACCAGCATCACCATCATGTGGCCAACAACATGACCACGGACGGCGGTGCCCGCTTGTCCGGCAACAATTCGGCAGCGGTGGCCGGGTCAGCGATCAACCACCACCATCACCACGCCCCCGGCAGCGGTGTGGCGCCCTCCGTGAACAAGAACGTGCTTAGTACCCATTCGGCTCATCCCTCCGCGATCAAGCAACGAACCTCGTCCGCAAAGGTGAGTCCATTCTTCATTTTGCAAGTCCTTTTATCTGTCACCCGTCCTCAAGTCCGTCCCTATTTGGAGCCGTGTTCGCCAGCCGTGTTAGGTTGCCCGAGTTGTCCTATTTGCCACTATCATACTCTCAGTGGGTAGGGTCATTATTTTTCATATTGTCTTTTGTTCCTGCGTTTCATAGGGTGGAATCTTGGTCATTATTTAATGATTTAGATAAGAACAAATTTTTAATCTCGTATACTATACATATTTTTTAAATATATTTTTACATAATAGTTCTGTATAAAAAACCATCACTATTATAATCCAGTTTATTACAACCCGAACGTCTAGCTTATAGGAATCCACCCTTTGGGATCTGTCTCTAGTGTCTTGAAAGATTTGAAAAAGTTTGTTAAAATGTAAACAAAATTTGTCACCCTTAATATACCTTGATTTAATGTGCTTATTCATATTAGTTATATACGCTTTATTTACGTTTCAAATAAATGTGGGTTATTTTGTGGTCACATCAGATACCATCTCATTGGTAAAGTAAAAATTTTAAATACTTTTTATAGTTACACCGTTGAGTTTACATATTTTTAGGATAATTTTAGAACCGATTTTAAAAATGTATACGAATTTAATACTTGTAAAGCGAAAAGTTGTGATTTGAAATATTTTCTCGCATGCTAATGGAGAGCAACAATAGGATTTGGCTACTTGCTAATTGGTTCATACAACGTTGACCATAGTATCAGCCAGTGATGTGGACTTTGCTTTGTTCGAGGTACGAAAAGGCTGAGTCAATATAGCTAACTACGTCCATTCAGAAATGCAATTATAGTATTTTAAACCATTCTCGATAATCACATCACATTGGACTCGCTCCCTCTCTGTCTCTCAGTCTTTCTCTTTGTTGTCTAAGCCAAATCCGTGGGATCCGGAGTTCTCTCAAAGCAAACATATAACTGTTTTGATTTTAAAGATTGTTATATGTGTGTGCTCTTATCCGACATACACTTGATACATTTACCCTTGTATAGGTAAATAAGCTTAAGTAGTTGCCTTTGTGGACGTCAGATGTGGAATCGTGAGTGAATATAGGTACTTATAACGGTCTTAACTAGTATTACTGGTATTATATCTTTAGCGCTCCACGTCTGGGGGCCTAGTTGCTTAGCTTCATGGCATAGAATATTTTAAAAACAGATTTTTCGATTTCAAGCGTTGTTTTGTATAAAAAAAGATAATCAAAGTTTTCTTAATTCTTTGCTCTATTTAAGAACCCTCCAGTATGATTATATTCATTTAGATCTTATTAAGATCTTATTATTATTATTATCTTATTATTATAAGTAAAAAAAAAAATCATATCTGGTTAGAACTGAAAAAAAACGTAATAATTTAAAGAGATCCTAAATATTTAATCGCATATTTTTGGTCAAATTTTTTTGTTTCCCTGGTGTTAAAAGAGTTACAGGTTTTTAAACACCAATATCTCTGATTCTTCGTTGGGGATTTCTCAATTTATGCTGAGTGGCATATTCTAGTTTTTTGGTTTTCAATGGTACTTTTGTGGGCTTCAAGCTCGGCTTGCAGATAGGATCCAAAACTTATCCAGAGATCCCTTTGCTAAAAGCTCTTCCGAGTTCTCTCTCCTTCTCTTTAAAGTTACTCAATGTTTGGCGAGCAGTGTGTGTTGTTCCTACCAGTTTTTTTTTCGCATGTGTGTGTGAGTAGGCTTGTGTGGTTATGAATCACCTGCATTTACCTGCAGATTGCATACGATTTATAGGGTGTGTCGTTGTTGTCTTGGAGAAGCTACAATAACAAATTATAATGAACAACAACAACGACCTTCCCAGACGCAGAACTTTGGCGAAAATGCCAAGCTCACTTGTCAGCCACATCCACACTTACATTCCACAGCCACAATGGCAGTCAGCATATAGCGATGGTCGAAAGCTTGTTTTAGTATTAAGTTCCACTTCATTCGTGTGGTCACCGTCGCGCTGTTTTCTGTTGTCATTATCCGTCGCTCTCCACCGATATCGTTGCCGTAGTATAGCTATAGAGCTGTATCGTTATCGCCCCGCGATGAGTTGACTCCCGGGTATTGTTTTTTTTACTTTTCTTTCAATTTTTTAATTCGCCTTTGCCATTGTGACCAGTTATTATCGCACAAGCACAAGGGCGTTACGTCAAAACAACACAAAAAGCGAAAATATCAGCAAAGAAAAGTGAAGAGATTGCAAAAATAAAGGCTAGAGCGCAGTTTATAATTGTAATCCGCGATCCCTAATCCGAAATCCGTCATCCCAATCCCATTCGTTACAACATCCGCGATAAAGAACGACACTGGCTAATCTGATCAAGCGAGAGCTTAGAATGAAATCAAGGGCATGAGTACGCAGCTTAAAATAAACCAAATTGACGTAGGAAAAGTCACAGTCACAGTTAAACAGTCGCACTCTCTAAGTACTAAGTACACACGCACGTGTGTTTATAAATAAATTCGGTTAACTAGTGTTTAATTTATAAATTTCCAGCCTGGGCTGGCAGTCTGTGTATGTGTGTGTTTGTGTATTGCAATTCCAGTGAAATATATCCAGCTTTTTTTGAGCCAACCACTTCATCTCGCAGATACATTGAGAAATGAGCCAATTGCGGGTGATAAGTTAATTTAATTATAAAGTACGAGTATAACAAGAAATACAAAAAGAAAAAAAAAGAAAACAGTAGTAGTGCAAGCCAAAGAACGAAAGTGGAATGAAAAGGAAAAAAACGAACAAATTCCTACCCAAACACACGCGCAAAAGCAACAGACTCAGTGTGTTGGTGTTCGTGTAAGTAACGCTTAAACGAGGTAACTAGCAGAAGAACGGCAACAACAAAACAGAGTGGCGGAGAGAGAGCTAGAGGGAATCACAGAAATAGCAAAAGCAATGTGTGGGGCTTCATCGTTGTCTCTTTAATGCCTTGCTTGTTGTTGTTGGTCATCTACTATCTGTGTATCTGCGTATCTGTATCGGGCGTGCCAAGGCTTAGGATCCACAATCCGCACACACACTGCCGCAAGCTCAGTTGGAACGCGAGTGGATCTTATCGCGAGTGTCTTGTGTCCACAAAAACAGCAATCCCACAGAGAAATGTGTAAAGTGCGATAACTGATAAGAGGCAAATGTTTTCTCTCTGAAACCACCCACTTTCCGTGTTACCTCCCCCCACGCGCGTGCCATAAAAGCAAAAACTTTACAAATATTCCAGATCTTAAACTATAGAAAAGAAAGCAATGATAACCTGTTATCTATGTGGACAGAGGGATTAAGAATATCCTTTTTTATTTTTAACGGTCAATGTTTAAACTTCTGAAGATCAAAGCTTCCTTAAGTAAAACTATTTTCGCTAAATCAATTTTATCCAATCACCGTTATAAAAGAATCAAATGATTTAATGATGAATATTTAGATGAGTCATATATCTTTTTTAAACTAAATAATTACTTGAATTACATGATTTTAGTGTGAATCACCAAACTGATATAATTGTGCTCTGTAAGATCTGCGCTGTGACTGTGACTGCAATTTAGTGACTAAGCTTGTGATTTTTACTGCGACGGCGTCTTTAATGTTCACTCATTGTGCTCTAATAGAATTAAACAAGATGGATTTTTCGAAATAAAAGCGACAAAAGCTTCGCCAGAATTGGGATTGTGCCACACAAAACGAACAAAATTTATTCATACTTTTATGCCTGCAAACACACCCGCGATTTCAGGGCTCTCAATGTTTATACACGAAAATCACTGTGATAATTGCCAATGTGAAAAACTATGTTATATGTGTCAAAGTTTTGTTGCAACTGGGCCAATAATCCGTATACCGTGAACACCGAAACGCCTCGATAAAGAAGAAACACAACCACCGAATACAACAGACCGCACCGCCCAGCCCAAAACCACCAAAGTACCCACCATGGGCCAGACTTCGAGTCATCGGCAGACGCACCACAACAACAACAACAAGGAGGACCCGCAACTGGCGCCTCAATTTGGCAATCGCCGAACCTCCACTCGAAAATCAACGTCTTCGAAGCATTACCCCACATTGGTGCAGCCATTGCGAAAGGATGAGCTCTCCCTGTTGCGAGATTCCCTCCTGCGCAA